CCGTGGAAGTTGTTTCCAAGGCAAAGGGTGGCTATGACGCTTGGTCAAAGTTTTAGCCCTAGTGGTTTTAGTTCGGGGAGAGATTATTCCTAGAGCGAAGGATTATACCACAGGAGCTATGTCGCACGAACCTTGACACTCAGACGGAGTTGGTTCCGTGTTTAATATAGCGCAAGCCATTTTGGAAAGCGGGCTTTGCGCCACAGCGATGTCGCATTCAACGACGACAACCGGGCTTTCAGGTCAGGTCAGTCAAGCTTCGTTCAAAGTTTGTGGGACACTGCTGTGGCGACATTCCCAGCGCATGTAAATGGTCTGGGGTAAGCGTGGTCGGAACGAACCAAAACCAGCGCTAAACATTGGAATGACATTCATCTCCGTTTTTGGAAAATATCCCATGATGGCCCTCGCGCTCAGTGGCAACAATTTCTTTGTTCCCTCAGCTAGTACATTTACTCCATGCTGCCGTGTCCTCCTCGCTCGGGCTGAGAAAACGCTGTTTCTCAGTGTTGTTGATACACGAGAAGTTTCAAGTGCAAACCCAGCCTTCCAATCCGATTCTGCCAAAGATGAAGACATCACGTTCGGCTTACCTTCGGTGGTTGGCAATGCTAATGGCTGCTGAAGAAATCCATGCAGCAGGGAGCGGCCCCCAATCGAACACGACATCGCTATCAACAATAATGTCACAAACCAGAGAATGCGCTGTGAGTCTTGCGCGTAATTGAGTGGCTCTGCTAGAGCAAGGCTTCGTAGATCAGTTCTGTGCACCCTTATGTTTTCAATTCAACTACCGCCCCTCGCATGCCTCTCTAGCTGAACCGGAAAGCAATGCCTCGACTGACGCTTATTTCAACCTTTCTAGATTCCGTGCATCATTGAAGGATTATCCAGTGGGAATTGCTCTCTCGATGGATTGGCGGGTTGTTTCTGTCCTAACATCACCCTTCGAGCTCATTTGTCTCAATGCGTCCAAGAATCTTGTTCCTACGAAGACCAAATCGGTATGTGCAAGACGTTTATCTAAGCCAAGGAACAGACCAAAAAGTTTAGACTGACGCGTTTGCCTACTCTTCAGCTTCACTCGGGGCATCGCAAGACCTTTGCCAAGGATACCCAATTCCATATCGCGGAGACGAAATACAAATTGTTGGGATGGTGCTCCCTGCTATCTCTTCATTCATTATCGCCTTGAGATTTATATCTAGGTTGACCGTTGCCAAAAGGTTATGGTGGGATGACTGGACTGCTTTGATGTCCGGGGTAGGCTTTCCTCGGCTTTATGTTATTGCCGGAGCTCTTACTGACAACCATCAGGTTTTTAACATGGCAACAGCCATTATCAGTATCATTTGTGAGGACATTTTCAAGTCCTAATCGTTCTCCAGAAGATTTGCAACTAACTCTTATCTTCTCAGATTCTCGTTTGGGCTTCGGACGCCACTACTGGGACATCGACGCAAGCAACGGGAAGACAATTCTGCAGGTTTGTAGGGGCCTCCGACTAAGGAACATGCAAGCACTAAAGACTATTCATAGCTTTTCTATACTACACAGATGCTTTACATCTGGGGCCTGTAAGTCTATTGTGTTTGACTCAACTCAGAAAAACACTTTGGCTAATCATTCCAACTAGTGTCTGCGCAAAAGTTTCGCTTTGTTGCTTTTACTTGCGAGTGTTCATGGACCGCAGGTTTCTTCGCGTAGCTCAGATATTACTTTTACTCTTTTTGTTAAAGGGGGTTTTGTTTTGTTTTTTAATCATGTTTCAGTGCCTGCCAGTCCAAGCCATATGGGATCTATCAGTCGACGGCCACTGTATGGACATAACAGCTATTAGTTACTCGGCAGCAACTCTTGCTATTATTGAAGACATCATTCTTCTCGTCATGCCTATTCCGGAGCTTCTCAAACTACAACTAGGCCCACGGAAAAAGTTGGCGCTGGGTCTCATGTTCAGTATCGGGTCCTTGTGAGTAGCTTGGATAAACGTCCCTGCCCCTAGGAATAGCAAAGCTAATACCAGACAATAGCGCTACCATTACAAGCATAATCCGACTCAAATACTTGGTCTTATTTTCTCACACTTACGACCCTACATGTAAGTTTCTGCAAATGCCACTTGAGCCCCGCGCCAACTGGGACTAACTCTTTCAGGGGACAATTCCTATGTCATCACTTGGTCCGCCATCGAGGTGAACGTAGCCATTATCTGTGGCAGTCTTCCTGCGCTACCGCTATTGTTCAAGAAGATGCATGCTTCTTTCATCGAATCCAATACTACAAAGCACATATGGCGCTATATTCCACGCTACTTGACACCATCGACTAAAAACAATGCAACGCCTGAGGCCGATGTTGATTTAGTCCGGAATCCGAAACACCAAAAACGAACAGGTCTTCTTGTTCCCGTTCGAAGTGTTACTAAAATAGAGGAATCGTTTTCGAGTAAAGACGATTCAGAGGTTTGGGAAGCTTAGGTACAGGCGGATATGGTTGTGGTCAGGAGAGCTGTGTAGTTGAATTAGACTAAATCAAGGTTTATTACTTTGTCTCCAAGGACCACTTCACTGTATTCAGATATACACATAGGAAACACGCGGGGCACTGGGCATGACGCGGTGTATAGCGCGCAATCAATAAACACGGCACTGTAGTGCTGTGAGACGTTTCACTGTCACCTCCTGGCTACAGTTGTACGATGCTACCAACGGCAACCTGTCTGTATTCACGCCATCTGGGAAGCTGCGCAACGTTTGTTGAGCTTATACACACGAAGTGGCAAAGGTTCTACTGTTATAAATCAACGATATCAATAAGTGTCCCTGCTCGACAAGAGTAACGATACAGGTTGAGGAGAACACAGCGACGAAATGTTATATCGGCCTTGTCGTTTCTTCGGATGCGAACACTGTGCGAATCATCCCATTGTTAAACCTTTCCATGGGAACCACGAAATCAGAACCAGGCTGCTACTGCTTGACACAGTGTGTTCACTGCTCAACAGTGGTCCTTATCAATATTGTATTCTATAAGCAGATATTGTCAGTATTTCGAGCTCAAGTCACTAAGTAGTTTTATTATCTAGGCTTCATCAATGCTTTTTGTTTCATTGGTGCCCCAAATCATACGTATGGTACCCAGGTTTCCATCAGGATATGCTCTACAACATTTGGATTCGGTACCAGCTTACCAAGAACTATGTCTGACAAGTCATCTTGAACAATCCACGATTACCAATCTTCCAGTACTTCTTCGTATTCAAGTCGACGGTGTCATCCGCAGAGCAACTGTCCCCCTTGAAAACCGTGACTGGAAGTGTTAGCAATCATTGTACGATTCCTTAGGAGGCGTAATTCACGATGGCACGAGTGGTGCTTGGTGTTGGCGAGGATCATCCCGTGGATCCCCAGCGCCGAGTTTAGATGTCTCTCTCGTACCAACCAGCGAGTTCACCGCCGGTGCAGTTATCTTCGTTGAAGAGATTAACCGCGAGTCCTTTTTGAGAAATTCCTTCGATTGTAAGGTCCGGGGGGGGGGGGGGGGGGGGGGGGGGGGGGGGGGGGGGGGTTCCATGAATGAAGAGAAGATGATCATAGCAGGTGTGATCGGGAGTCTCATAATGACTACTGGAATAGTATTTTACTACTGAGAAAAGAGGGGAAGTGATGCTAATATGGAATAGAACGGGATCGTTATAATGGGTTGAAACGTAGGTTTATCACAAAAGGCACCCGGAAAGCGCTATAGCGCCTTTACTGTCCTGACGACGCATCGGCTGTTCGGCTTATGGTTTATACCATGGTCTTTGCAACCGAGTGGCCTCCAAAACTAATCTCTAGTACCTCAATCACCGCGAGAAGCCTCGGGTATGGTTTCTAAAAAGGTGAAAGAACCTCTGAAAGTGATTTCAGGAACTATTGCAAATCTTGAGGGTCAAGAAGAGGCTTCGCGATGGAAAGAGAGGCAAACAGCGACCCGGTTGGTGATGCCTCGCCTGACATGAACACCAGGGCAGCGGTAAACCATTAAACTTCAACCGCAAGTATCAGTGTCTTTCAAACTAATACCATCTATCCTCAACCCTCTGGTATCATTCGCCCCGGAATACGCCACAGCCAACATTCACCCAAGGACGTCGGCACCCCACCACCCACCTCTTCGACGTGCGGGTATTGTTGCATTATCACTTGACACAGTCAAAACGCCGGGAAGAATTTCCGAGAAACCCCCAAAGTCTAGCGCTGCGTTGTCGGATGGTACATGACCTTCGGGTTGCTTCTCGCTTCGTGTTGTGAACATCTTTGTGGACAGCAAACCTGAGGGCTCGAATCATCGGGCGGGAGTTTTCAATAGGTAACCTGAAAATTTTCATCTCCTACTGAACCTTCACATCCTCAAAGATGCGCTGTTCCCGTGCGGCGTAGTCGGACACATGTCGGAACTGAGCTGCAGGACATCGGCACGGTGTCTCCGGCCCGTATCCCCACTTCGCCGATCAGCGTCCTCTCTGGCCGGCCCACGTTCGAAAACATCAGCTGACCGGATTGACATATTTCACGGTCCAAGTAACACTCATACGTCAAAGCACCATTCGCACTCGGATACCCTTGATCATAGCGTGCATATATTAAACTCGATATCTCTGTCATCAACTCCAAATACTTTTGATTCATTTCTTGAATAAGCCCAACTCGGTAGAAATCCCAAAGAAGGCGAGATATAGCCATTTCTCGACCTCCTCTTCTCCCGGGAGCCCTCTTCTCTTTTCGCAAACGCAAAGCCAAATGTCATCTATGCCTGTGTGCGGCCGCCATCTAGGCGTGCACTATGCTCTAGCAAAGTACGTGAGTATGTGGCGCCGCAGTCATTCCCAACCACGACGACCCGTTCTGTTAACTTCCCTCCCGTTCCTCTGTACATCAACTCACTGTATACACGGAAATGCTGTCCGCCCAGAACGTTAGGTTGCATTGTTGGGCGGTCTCCAGTCCTCAGGTTTAGTCGACCTGCTTCTCGCAGCCGATTCTACCGAGCAACTCCTTGCGGTCGCTGTGACCCGGTAGACTGACGCCCGACGAGCTTGCTTGTCTCTTGATACCCGTTCTCCGCTCCCAGCTCTTGAGGTCAATGTCCTCGACGCCAACCTCCTCCTCGAGAGGTTGAGCCTCCTCGTAAACGTAATCTTCCTCTTCCTCACACTCGCCCTCGTCGTCGCTGCGGGTGTCCTCGGCGTTTCCGCCACGGAGGACCTTCATGACGACACGCAGAATCATGAAAAACCATCCGATGGTAATGACCTGCAGCACGAGGAGAGTGGAAAGGAACGACCAGCGAATGGTAGAGTTCCAGCAAACGATGCCATCCGTCTTGTAAAAAGGCTCCAGCATCCAGCTCTTGCCTTCAGGGATGGGCAGTGGTCCGTTCAGGTTAGGGTGCTGGCCTGTGTAGCAGGAGTCGGGGATTTCCTCGGGAATGTGGGTGTGAATAGACCAGCAAACCATCAGGTAGAAGACATGACGGGCAAGCAACCACGACAGAACAAAAGCGCCGAACATGAAGTCGCAGAGGGTGTTGAGCCCAACGTACTTGAGGCACTTGGCAAGCTGTGTATGGTTAGCAGAGGGAAGATGAAAGACGGGACAACAAAACGTACAGGAAAGAAGAGGTCAACAACATCCATAAGAACAAGGATGAGGTTTCCGACGCGAGTCTGGTGGTAGCTGTAGCAGGCGGAAATCAGGGTGCAAGTGATGATGTGGTGGGTGAACATCTGCCAGTGGTCCTTGCGACGCTCCTCAATGTTGATAACCAGAATCTGCTGCAGCCAGAAAGCCCACTGCGCTAGGATGTAAAACTTGTTGAGGCCAGAAAGCTCACGCTGAGGCCAGTTCGTCCACAGCTCCCTGAGGTTCAGCCAGTAGGGAGACGACTTGTAGATGTACTAGGCAGCTTGTTAGCCACCATCGCGCAAAACCTGTCGAGGTCGCTATTGCAGACTTACCACACCAAGAGGCCAGAAAACCATGTAGTAAATCAACAGCCAGGCCTGCTCACTGAAGCGAGTAAGGTCCTTGCGCTTCTTGATGCCCCATCCCTTAGCCAAGGGTGCCAGCACGTACTCCATGGTCGCGGCGCGGAGGCCGGTGTAGAGGACAATGCAGAAGGCGAGGAGGCAGGAGTCGCCAAGACCGGTGCCATACTGGCCAGTTTGTTGGTTGTAGTATGAAAGAGTAAAGAACTTGACCGTGTGAGGCTGCGCTTTCGGGATGAAGAAGTGGGCGAGAAAGAGGAGGGCCAGAAGGTTGAAGGAGAGACCTAAGAGCGCGACATGTTAGCTTGGTGAATGATTTGATACGGGAATGAAGAGCAATGTCTCGTTGTGGTGCCCGCCGTGGACCACAGGGAAGCTCCCGTAGTGGCTTGAGCGTGAAGAGCGTGGGGTAGTAGAGTAGGTAGAAACACAAGAGACAACGCACCAACTTGGTTCTCGACCATCCAGCGGCTCAACATCTTCCAGGCGCTGTCGTCTGTCCTCCTGACTCTTCGAATGAGCACAACGTTAACATTGTTGTGGCCTTGCTGGTAAAGGGGGCCGTTCATCAGCTTCAGCTGCTTGGTGCTGGCATTGCGTTGGATCTGAGGGGCGGAGGAGCTGGTGACAGGCTTTTCGAATGTTGGCGACGAGGCCTCGTTGCTGGCGGTGTCGCTCATGGTGGGCGGCTGAGCTCCAATTGGAACTCAATTAAGGTACAGAGGAAAGTGGCTACTCGCGATTGAAGTCGTGAGTGAGGCCGGGATGCTCGGCGACGGCTAGGTCGTGGTTTGGCGTAGGGTTCCGCCGAGTGTCAGTTGTGTCCCCAACCTTGTGTGGTGGGTGTGTCCGGCGAAGCGCGATAACGACGGGCGCGCTCGCTATCTAGACGTGGTAGGGTGGTAGGGCGGGCAAGACGTAAAAAGTCTTTGATTCCGCAAAGCGCGAGAGGTCGTCACGGGCGCTTCTGGGTTCGTGATCGAGGGAGGGGAGGGGAGGGGGAGAAACGAACGTCCTGGGTGGTTTTAGGGAGGTTGAAGATCTGGAGAATGGAGGTGGAAGGGCAATGTCGCACACAATGGACACCGAGGACGGGACCGTAGACGGCAGCGGGAGCAGGACAGGCTGTACGGTACAGAGGTACGGCGGTACTACGGTACGGTACACACTGGTCAGGATCTGCTGTGTTGCTCCAGAAGCTGCTGGGATTGCCGGGATTAGGAGTGCAGCAGGTGTGCTCCGTGTTGCGTGGTGCGTGGTGGTGGTGTGGTGGGCTGCGACGGCGCTTCTTTCTGCTCTCTTCTGCTCAGTGATGGTACCTGTGCATGCTCAAGGTGGACTGCAGTTGTGGTGGGGAGAGCGGGACAGGGGACGATGGACAGAGAGTGGAAGTGGGAGAGGAAGCAAAAAAGCAACAGTGGCTGGGACAGACTTTGGAAGTCCTAGATACTTGTTTGGATACGCCTGTCTCCGAACATAGGGGCTTTTTCTCTTAAGGAAACTTTGGGATCGAACCAGAAAGCGGCAGCAAATGGAAACGCGTAAAACGGTAGAAGCAAGTACCAGGTACCGAGGTGGTTTCCGCCCAGAACTGAGAGAAAGTCCAGCTCGTCTCGGGCAAGAAAAAAAAAAAACACTCTCGACTCCACTTTTCCCTTCCTTTGCCCTTGTCCACGGCCCCGGGGAGGGAAGGGGGATGTCAACCGGAGCAAGGCCAAGTCAATTTCACTGGTCCAGGGGGAAGAAGAAGAAGAGTGAAGAGAGCAGGGGAAAACTGATCGGGATTGTACCTTCAACGGGCACCAGGGACGGCGGAGAAGGCATTGGCACTCTCCTACAGGCGGTCTAGCTCAAAGATCACTGGCCACTCCTAGAGGGAAGCACTCAGTGGCCCATCAAAGGCGGTGAAGGAGACTGCCATTAGGACTCGGGACATGAAGGACAACGAGAAAAAAAGGGATGCTCGACATGGAAAGGAATGTGGGAAGGCCAGGAGGGAACTTTGAAAGCGAACAAGGGGGTCGAACCAATAGCAGCACCAGGGTTCCCCATCCCCCTGGTCGGAGGGCCCCGGTACGTGCCTCCGCCGCAGAGCGAAGGTGGCCCAAGGGGTGGGGACCCCTTATCCCATTCGAGGCTGGCTGCAGATGGAATTGGACGGAGCTTTAAATTGTGAAAACTAGGGGCAGAAAGAACCAACAATCCATGCATCCTTCGCGCAAATGTCCCACGTTTTGTCCAGGAAAACCAATGGATGAAGTCTATTTGAACGAAAAAATGGACATGGGGGTGGCAGATGCTCCTGCGAAATCAATTTCGAGATCGAGGTGTGAGAGACTGAATGGACGTAGAGATGGGGATGAAGATGGAGAGAGCGAGACGACAGACGGGAGAGGGGAGAAGATGGGCGGGTCTTTCCCGCCCTCAACAAGTTTCAACAGTGTCATGCCATTGCTCCCATTGGATTGCTCTCGTTTGTTCGATCCTCTCCTCGTTTCCATCGAATTAGCTCCGTCATCTTTAGATAGGTGTGGTCGTTGCCAATAGATGACTTGGCAAAGTTGCAACTGGGAGTGTGGGATGTTCACTGACAATCTTCATCTTGCACCACCCTTAAAATGAAGTGATTTGCTCTCCCCAGCCTCTTATCGGCCGCTTGGTATACACTATACGTGCCCCTGTCAACCATGCCAGCCTTTCCTTCTCTCCTCTTGCCCTTTGTTTACTGTATCTGCACACTGCTTTTCCTAACCGCGCTCTGCCGCTGTCTTTGGGTGCTCTCAGACCTTCTTACCCCTATTTCCATTCCATCTGTGCGGCCAATAACAACGACAATAAATGAGATGTCTCCTCGAGCATCAACAATGTCTTCTGCGTCCTTGACACCGCCTGGACTCCCGAAGCCTGGGCCAGGAAAATCCGACCCGTACCTGGCGGGGCCAGGTACCACACCCACACACACCCTTCAGCTCCCCTAACACCGCCCCTCATGATGGCGACATGCAGTAGCCAATTGCCAGCTGTCGTAACAAGGCCGCCCCTCAGGAGTGGCCGCTTCCTGTCAGAACACTAAATAGCAAGAGCCTGCAAATGTGAGCTTTATGACCCGCAGTCGCAAGCGCACTCCGCGCGCGCCCGACGCACCTTGATCTCTCCAGCGTATCCGTAGTGACGGGACACGATTGCTGTCCGTTGAAGATGCCGTGATCCATCACAATACAGTAAAGTTTCTCTTACCACAGACCCAACGTATCCGTAATGCGATGCATCGTGGAACAGACGAATACGGTCAGACCTGGCATCTGAGGAAACACTTGCTCTTACTTCCGTCTTCCCGTACTTATGCTTTGTCTACCGGTTGTTCCGTGCAGCAATCTAGAAAAGCAGCCCTGAAATGTTGCTACTTGTCAACTCGACGCTCCGCGTTTCATCTCGTCTGCTCTCGGGTGTCGACTCTGGTCGGGGTATTGGGGGGGCTTGCGGCGTCTTCTGTCGAGACTGCCACTCTTTTCCATAGTCATTGCAGTGCAGTGGTGATGTGCAGAGCTGCAGAAATGTTGCCAAAATCAGACCACGCGTTTGCCAAGCATGCGGTCACTCATGGTCCAACATTGCCGGCAACGATTCAGGGAGATCAACAAAGTACGGATACCCCAAGGAGCTAGGAAGGTGCCGGCTTGGATATCCATATCAACGCTATCATCTCTAGGAGAATACTATCTCGATATATGCATAAAATGGTCTTCTAGGAGCTATATGCATCCAAGAGAAGAGAACCTGAAAGATGTCGCCCGTGCATTCCTCAATTCCCTTCGCCATCACATGACCCCACTTGCGCCACACTCTACCCCAGACTTCCAGCCACTTAAATCTGCAGTCAGGTAAGCAAGCAGTGACCGTTCGCAGCATCCGCCACCCCACATGATCCCGTCCTGACGACACGACCTCCTCCGGCGCTTCCTTGAACCGTCCATAGGCATCCAACACCTTCCGAAGCTTTCGCCTCGAGTGACCCAACCTTAGCACACAAAAGCTGCCGCCCGACGACGAAGCATCCCATCTAGCACATCCGTCTGAACGATCGTCAACGATACAGTAACGATGGCTTCAAACACGAAGTACGCCCCGGCGCCCACCCAGGACCCCGATGAAGCTTCGAGCTACGCGCAGGCGCCCCCCGCTTACCAGGCCGAACCCACCGCCGCCTCCGACACAGATCGTCTCTTTGGCGGCGGCGCACCTCGCAGCAGTGAGGATGACCTTCCAGATGACTTCAAGGTACTTCTCTTCCGTCCTGATCTCCCTCCAGCTCCCTGTCGCCTCGTCGTAAACCCGCGTTATCTCACGTACACTGTATCGTATAATCACAGCTTCACTAACACAACCCCCTGCAGTTCGGCGGCTCGGTAGCAGAGGCCACGACCGACATTCGCAACCAGTTCATCCGCAAGGTCTACGCAATCCTCACCGTCCAGCTCCTCGTCACCGGCGCCGTGTCCGCCCTCAGCTTCTTCAGCGATGGCTACAAGACGTGGATTCAGGCTCACCCGGGTTTGGTCTTTGCATCCGTACGTGCATCCAAAGTCCCCTTCTCGAGTCGCAACCCGACTGGACGGCATACTAACTGACCCTCCACAGCTTATCGGCGCCATGGTCATGATGCTCCTCACCTTCTGGAAGCGCAAGTCCTACCCGACAAACCTCCTCTTCCTTTCGGGCTTCACCCTCATGGAGGCCTACTCCATCTCCGTCATTGTGTCCTTCTACAAGGCTAGCATCGTCCTCAACGCCGTGTTCCTGACCGCAGGCATCTTCATCTTCCTCACCGCCTTCGCCTGCCAGACCAAATATGATTTCACTTCATGGATCCCCTACCTCGGCGGCGCCCTCTGGGGCCTCGTCATCTTCGGCTTCATGTACATGTTCTTCCCCTACAGCTCCACCGGCGAGCTCATCTACGGCGGTATCGCCGCCCTTCTCTTCAGTGCCTACATCCTTGTCGACACTCAGCTCATCATGCGACACCACCACGTCGAGGAGGAGATTGCCGCCTCCATCAGCTTGTACCTCGACATCATCAACCTGTTCTTGGCCATTCTGCGCATCCTGAACAGCCAGCAGAACAACTAAACTTAGACTGTTATCTCTATTTCCTCCCCACGAGAAATCCACATAAACTTTGTCAACGAACAGCTAGGTTGGGCATGGTCTTTTCCGACAACAATCGGGCTAGGATGCTTCGCAGTTGGTGTATGGATAAGATGGGCGCTTGATATGGGATTGGGTGGTTCATAGCTATCCGTTGCTCTTGCTTTCTGGGACTCCTATAGTAAATCAATTAATAAGACATTCAATTCACAATGCACATGACGACCACAGCGACAGCGACTGATAGTTTGGAGAAGCGGTAAAGTAATTTGATATCTGCATTAGAAGTCCACTAATAGAAAAGGAAAATGGGGGGCGTTAGTGAAAGGGCTACAAAGGCACAGCCGGAAAGATGCAGGCGGGCGGTTTGGTAGGGATAAACAGAAACAGATCGATGAGCAGTTTGTGGTCCGCACGTGCCATGCCCCCGATGTCAGCCCCTCGACCTCGCCCAGAAGCCTCCGAACCACCGCCCCGAGAACGTACACCGCCTCTTCCCACACCCTACCAAACCGATAGCCTCTCTCAGTCGTCGCATTCGTAGTAGACCTTTTTGGGGTTTTATCTTCGTGTTAAGAGAAACGAACTCGCATAGGGGAATAATGTTCTTTCTCTTTCAACACAGCACGGAAACCAACGCCAGTATAGAAAAAGACCAACGTCGTAGTTTCGGGGGTAACCATAAGCAGGGCCAGAATAGTTGCATTAGTTGGCTTCGTGGTCGCCGTTGGCCTCGGGGGGCCCACCGGCTGCTGCTGACTGTTCCCTCTGCATACGGGCCTCGATCTCGCGAAGTTGGGACTCGCGGGCCAAGAGCTCCTGGCGCTTCTCGTTGATCTCGCGCTGGACCTTGATCTCGATCTCGCGGAGCTTCTCCTCCTCTCGCCGCAGCTGCTCCTCCTTGAGGCGCACAGATTGCGAGGCGAGATCCTCGGGGTTCATGGACGAGTCGCTGTGACATTGTCAGTATAGAGTAGAGTACAAGTAAGACTAGGGGCATGTAAAACGTACACTCCAGCACCGCCCTCAACAGACTTGCTGAGCTTCTCGGTACGGTAGTTCTCGTAGAGGAAGTCGTGGGTGATTTCCTTGAGGTCAGCCAAGTGGCTGTGGAGAAGGGCAGAGCGGATGGCGAGGAAGTCGGAGTGGCGCGGGTTGTCGACTTCAACAACACCCCAGGGGTACTGGCGGGCGCGGACGGTGCGGCCGCCAATCTCGACAATGTCCTCGGAACCGACAATGGCGAACGGCATCAGGCCTCTCAGCTCAGCGTTTTCCTCGACGGTATCCTCGTCGTCCTCCTCAATGTCGTAGGGGAAGTTGTACACGGGGATGCGGTAGTGCTCGATATCCTCCATCACAAGCTTCTTCGACTCAGCGAGCTCAGCCGGGGTCAGCGAGTCGGCGCGGCCAATAACAGGGATGACGTTGACACGGGGAGCAAGACGCTTCATGAGCTCAATGTCTAGCTCGCGAAGGCTAGGAGTGCGTTAGTGGCGGCCAATGGTAGTAGAGAACAGACAGTGGGCTTACCCGTGACCAGTGGGCGTGATGAAGTAGAGCATGGCGTGTACACGGTTGTCTCTGAAACGGGGGTTACGCTTGATACGAGACTCCTCGGCGAGAATGTCGTCGTATTGTCTCTCGAGGTAACCGACAATCTCGGAGAAGCTGGACGCACGTGTCAGTATTGATAAGGGTATCGAGGCGTTCTCGGGTTGCCATACCTGGCCTCATTGTCAATCTGATCACCGAAGCCGGGAGTGTCGACAATGGTGAGAGAGATACGGGTGCCCTCCTCATCTAGCTCTAACTCTGCAGGGTGGTCAACATGCTGCTGGCGTATTGTAATAGTCTAACGCGGGAATCACGCACCAACAGTGATGGGCTTGATCTTGACACCATCCTCGACGGAGGCGGCATTGGGATCATCCGCCTCCTTGTGGCCGAGTACACTCTTTCCGCAAAGGGTGTTGACGAAGGTGGTTCTTCCTGTAGAGGCAAATGTCAGTCGACGAGGCTCCGAGTTCGAGTGGACACGAGATTGTTCAGGTAGGGAGACGCACCAGTGCCTGATGCTCCGCAGACCATCAAACAGAACTGGATTCCCTTCTTCACGTTCTTCTTTCTGCGCATCATCTTCTGCAAGGTTGAGAGCGGTCAGCAATTGTATATCTCGAGGGATGTAGATGTGTCGGAGCCATGGTGGCTTCGTGGAGTCGGGGGAGGGTTCATTCATGGGGGCCGGACGGTGTAATAGTAGAATAGGGAGACGGTGGGCAGACATACGGCGGTTGTTGAAGGCAAGTCTTAGTCTAGAATGGGGTCGGTAAAGGAGTCGTCGAACTATTCAACGACGGACGAGAAAAAGAACGGCGATGGTGTCGTGTCAAGGGACAGCGAGCGTCGTGTTCGTGTCGTGGTTGAACGGAGCAAAAGGACTGCTGGATCCCAAATGTCGTTGTTCTGGAATGGGACCTGGGTGGTCGGACGGGAGGTGCAGGTGCTAAAGGGGACAGGAGGGTCTTGACCGACGGGTGTTGGAAAATGCAATTTCACACAAAATGTTGCGGCAGGACGTCCCCAAGCAGTCCCCAGCCAATTGATTGCTTGCTCCTGCGCGCCCAATTCAGGGGCCAGCAACTCCCCGGCCCACGCTCCTTTCCCCCAAAATTAACACTAGACTCGTCTAGGAATGGTCCAAGCAGCGGGGTATCCTCGGGCAATATTGGGAGACAGAGGATGACAGGTCACGAGACTGGCACTTGGTCAGTGCTGAAGCTTCCCGCCGCCTCACTACCGACACTGTTGGCCTGTTGCAGCATGTTGGCGCGTTGCACCGTGTGTGGTGAAGCGGCGTAGCACATAGGTATGTTTCGCGTTTCTTTGGGAGGCAGCGAGGTCAGGTGGTTGACAGCTGGTAATCTGGTAGACGGCAGCTGCCTAGAACACGCCCAACCTTAATTAGTGCGCCTTCATCTCAACCATGGCAGGCAAGCAGGCACGGTACGAGTCGCCTGTGCCTCTACCGCGGTCGCTAAGAAGTCGGAACGGACGATACGTACCTCATTTCAACAACGTCCCAGGCTGACTTCTGCTGAGACACTGTCCACGAGGACTTGTTTGCGAACATCCGCCTTGTTACCCCTTACTCCTTGCAAACCGTTGCCCATTTGAGGCTCTTCGTGCTAGCACTTTGGCCGTTTGTTTGCTGCACAAGCCCGCCAATCTCCCTTGTTATTTGATTCCGGCAGCTTCCTGACTCGGCTGTCCAGCTGACTCCGACCCGCCCCAAGTCGCTGTCATCGTTTGAGAGAGCATCTCAAGTCATCCTCATCGACCACCGCGAGCTGCACGCCTCTCACCCCGAGAGATGCACTTGTCAAGGATGATATCATAACGAGCAACTTCAGAAATAGCAGAATATTGGCTTGGTCCGCCGGCCTTGCATCCTCCTAGCGCTCATCCCTTATTGCTGAGCCCCTCACCGTAGGATAGGCCACAGCGTCACCAACCCAGCACGGCGACTTACAGGCACAGTGCCGTCTTCATTGCAATGAACACCCGCCCGCCTATAGAGACGGCGCCCACGACTGTGGTGCTATCCGCGTCATTCAACAGCGATGCTAGCTGCTTCTCCGTTGGTCTCAATTCAGGAATATGCAGTAAGTCGTGGTTGGCTGGTCGAGACAAGGACGTGCCCCTGACAGCGTGCAGTCTTCCACACCAAGTCATGCCTTCTCAAGGCATCGAGAGGTTTGCGCACACTATTCCCATGATCAGCACGATGATGAAGCTAAAGCCCCAACCAGACTTCAATGCCGGCATCGGTCTTGTTGAGATGATGGGTACGACGAACTACCTCGCTCTCGTTGGTGGCGGCAGACAACCAAAGTTCAGCACCAGCAAAGTACGTATCACACAGTCCAACCCGTTAGAATCAAACTCACCCTGTTTATACAGACTATCATATGGGACGATATGAAAGGGAGAGTCGCAATAGAGATCGCCTCTTTAACTCCAGTGCGCGGCGTTCGCATCGGCCGCAATCGAATTGTCGTTGCGCTTCAGAACAGCGTTCGTGTCTACTCGTTTGCGAAGCCGCCCGACCTCCAGTCGGTGTATGAGACCACTGACAATCCTCTCGGTCTTGTTGCCATGTCGGACAAGACGATTGCTTTCCCGGGTAGAACGGTGGGCCAGATCCAACTTGTCGATATCGGCACTGGTAACGTCAGCATTATTCCGGCTCACTCATCTGCTCTCCGAGCCATCCAATTGAGCCCGGATGGCGAGCTTTTGGCCACAGCAAGTGAAACGGGCACTTTAATCAGGGTATTCGCAACCAGCAATTGTGCCCGCTTGGCCGAGCTCAGACGAGGCGTCGATCCCGCAACCATCTTCTCTCTCGGCTTCAGCCCCGAAGGAACGAAACTGGCTTGCACATCAGACAAGTCGACCCTGCACGTGTTCGACGTTCCACATCCCAAGAAGCCCATGACCGCGCCGACGAGCCCAACGGCATCGCAGATGGCAGGGTCAGGCATCCTCGCGGGCCGGCCGGCTGACGACGGCAAGGGGCGATGGGGTTTCCTAGGGAAGATTCCCTTGATGCCGCGGATGTTTTCAGACGTATACTCCTTCGCGTCTGCACCATTTGAGGCTGGCGATGACCCCTTGATCGGCGGGTTGCCCATATCAGACCAGACGACGCTCGGGACGACAAGGCCCCAAAAAGGCGTCATCGGATGGATCACCGAAGATAGTCTAGTAGTTATTGGCGCCGGACAAGACGCCAGGTGGGAGAAGTTCGTGATATCCAAGGGGGAAGATGGACGCCGGTACGTTGTGCGAGAAGGTTGGAAGAGATATCTGGGTAGCGCATCATGATCATGAGCAACAACAGCTACTATTATCCAGACTCTTGGAAGTCGTGTGGGTGTTAGGTTCACGGTATGGCGTTACATTTGGAGTTTTCATAGGACCAGGCATGGGTATCAGCGATAGCATCGCTCTTTTTATTAGGCATTATGTCACCTTTAAGATCACGGCGACTTACTTCTGCTCCGCCTCCTATGTCGCCGCTCATCATCGCGGTCTCTGTGCCGTCGATGATGGCGCTCTTCCGAACCGTCTCGGTCACGATGCCGGCGCTCCCTCCGCTTGTCTTCGTTCTCGCCCGGGTCCTTATCCCGCCTTTCCCTCGAACGGTCTTTCTCCCTCCGCCTCCTGTCATCCCTTTTTGGTTCTCTCTCTCGAGACTCGTCCTGCCGTCTGTGGCGTCGAGAGCTTCTGTCATCGTCCCTCCGATCCTTGTCGTCTGCCATGTCGTCGCGATGTGACCTTCTGCTTCGGTGCTTGTCCTCGTCGCGATCAGCATCCCTCATCTCCTCGTCACTATCATATCTCCGTGACCTATGCGACCGGTGCCGATGCTTGTGCCTCTTTTTCCTGTCTGACTTGTCGTCCCGCCGCCGCAGCGCCTCCTCAATCTCCTTCTTCTTCTCCTCAATCAAGAACCCTTTCATAGGATCGTCCTCGTCGTGATCCCGTATCAGAACAGCAAGCTCCCTCTCCTCAGGAAGCATCGGCCGCACCTCTTCTTCATCTTCAGATTCCTCCTTGTCTGTCTTGTCTCCGCCTTCCTGCTTCGCGACCGTCGCCCAGTCCACCTTGCCCTCGTCTGGATCCTCGTCGTCGCGGAACTTGTAGCGCGCGTGGTCCACGCTGATGAGCCTGTCCTTGATGGTCGCGCCACCGAGATTGTCTACCGCCAGATCGGTGCTGCGCTGGTCCTCGTACTTGAGCCAGCCAAAGCCCTTGGACTTGCCCGTCTCCTTGTCGCGCGCCAGCTTGAGCCAAACGGGCTCGCCGAACTGGGAAAAGACGGTGATCACGTCGCCCTCGGACATCTCGTAGGGAAGGCCGCCGAAGTAGATATAGGCCGTGTCGCGGTAGTCAACGTGCCAGGAGCCCTCGGGGGAGCTGCTTGGTTGTCAGCGCAAGATTCCAGGTCGAAAGAGGAGAGCGCAGCCGTGACTTACATTCCATTTTCGATTTCTTTCTTGTTGAGCGCCTGAATGGCGCGGATCTTGTTCATCTCGGCGCTCTGTATCGATCTTCCCGTATTCTCTGGGAATGAGAGTTGTCGAACTTTGAAAAAGAAGGCTTGTGTAGGAGCCGCAATCTGCAAGGCTGAAAGAAGGCGCGTCGAGCTTGCTAGAGCTCCACGAAAAAAGATCGATAAGGTGTTGGCGTAGCATGGCTGGTGCGTCATCCCCCCTAGTGCGCCCCGGAAACGACCCCTAAATTTTTGACACTTCGGTAGCATACTGTGCCGCATGTCACTGCACCACCAGCCAACGGCCGGGAAAACAGCCGGTCCGGAGCTCAAATTCCCCGACAGTTCAATGAAGGGGCATGAGTGAAGCATTGCGAATGCTGGCTCCAGGACGATACTGCCACTGGTTCAAGGCGGAACTCCAGCTTCTAGGGACATTATCTTCGCCTGCCCTGCCCCGTATATTTCTCTGCATTTTCTGAATTTGCCGCCTCCAAACCCATCGTGATCCATCCCACCTCTCGCCTACACCGCGACTCGACGCGTCTGTCTCTGCCCAAAGCTGTCCACTGTCAACCCGCCGACCGCCCTCGACCGAAACACCACACCTCGGCACCCACGACCCGCCATTCCCCTATGCGTTCTCATCAACGAACTCAAACATGACGGCAAGCGCGAATCGGGTGTCCACGTACACCTCGGCTTCCGCAGGGTCGGACGGTCGCAATGGAGAAAAGAAGGACCTATGGAGCTCCATGCTGGACAACGTCGCTAGCGGCAAACGGTTACCTGAGAAGAACATTATTGTGCTGGGAGGCTCGCCAGATTCGCAGCGGGAGTTTGTGGAGTCGCTGTCGCACAGCGAGAAGCGAACTCTGGACCGTCAGAGCTTCAAGACACCTCCTATCGCAAACAGCTTCGCTTTGGGTTACACCTATTACGACGTCTTGGATGCCGACCAAGAAGGTCCGTGGAGAGAGAGATAGTCTTTTTGGGCACATGATGCTGACTTGACTAGACATACTGGCGCGGATCTCCCTCTATATGCTATCAACCCCAGCAGAAGCGTTCCCAAAACTCATCCAACCCCTAATTACCCCCGAGTCGATACCGAACACCCTAATGGTCATATTGCTTGATTGGTCCACGCCGCATCTGTGGATGCGCCAGCTGAGAGAGTGGATTTTGTTTATGCGTAGCATCCTCGAGAACTCCAGCCACGAGTGTCAAGCGACAATGGAGGAGGTGATGGTCAGTTGGCGGGACAGAGGTAGGGGCGGCGGCTCGACGAATCTCGATGGCACAGGAGCAACCACAAGCGAAGGCGATGTCGCTCTTCCCCTCGGCCCCGGTGAATGGGAAGAAGGCATTGGTCTGCCACTCTGCGTTGTCTGTCAGAATGTAAGAGAAATTGCCGTTGAGGAGTGGATACGCGAATGCTAATTGTCTTGTAGGCGGAGAAAATGGAGCCTCTCGAGAAGACACAGGGTTGGAAGGAGGGTGACTTTGATCAAGTGCTGCAGTATCTCCGCACAGCGCTTCTACGGCGTATGTATGTTCCATGCAGAGGTTGGGTCAAGGCTAACATTGCTTCTTCAGACGGCGCATCCCTGATTTACACGACCCCGAATGTCCCTTCATCCATACCCAGTTTGGTGCACTCGAGTCTGGGTATCACATCTCTACTGAAACGGCAACCCCTGAAACATAATGTGATCGACAGGGACAAGATTCTCGTTCCGCCAAACTGGGACTCCTGGGGCAAGATTCGCGTGCTGAGGGACGGCTTCGACGTCGAGACCACCAGCCAAGGCTGGTCGCATGATTTACAATCCACGTTCCCGTCACCCGCAATGACTACCGAGGGCTTAAACATCCTCGCAAAGGCTAAGGCAGACGGCGATTACAACGGCGAAGTATGGTCCTCCGCGGTGGCGCCGTACGAAGATTGGATCCGTGACCTCAGCAATGCCGGAAGCGCAATTTCCTTCGCAGGACGCGACGGAGACCCTTCGCAGCTGGAGATGTCGTCAACAGATACCCAAGAGTTCTTGGGCTCCAGCCTTCAAGTACTAGAATCGCACCGTAGCCGTACCACCGATGACAAGAAGGCCGACGCCTCGAAGTCGAGAGCAGGCCAGCGGAGCGACGACTCGGACTCCGGTGCTTTGCGGCAAGGAACCGACGGCAAGGTTAGCCAGCACATTGGACCTGTACAATTCAACATGGGAGGCATCCAGGTGGATGCCGACGACATGGTGCAGCGGCTCAAGGTAAGTTTTCGCCCTAGCCCCTGAGCAAGTTGAGCATTATGCTAACAAGAGATAAAGGACCGACAGGCATACAGTGCTACACCGGATCCCACTACGCCACCGGGTGACGCCGCCGAGGAGAACCCTGATGAGATGGACAACGACAAGCTCCAGGCCTTCTTCAGCGGCTTGATGAACCGCAAACAACCCGCAAACGGCAGCCCCCGCGGCGGTTCTTGAGGGCGTTGGCCATTAGTAGAGGAGAAGAGATAGACGCTTCGGCATTTGATGGACTGGGTCTTTTTCCTTTTACCAGGCCAAGTCGGAGGTGTAGCCGATCTTCTTCTTGAGGGGATATTCATTTTGAAAGAGAGTGTGTACCATATCTGGCACAGATTGGGCGGCGAAAGTTAAAGCGACGAGAATCTGGCCGGGGCGCTGGAGGTGGAGAAAGAAGGCGAACCATACAGACGATACGTGTGGCGGTTGGGCGGGTTTAGTCATGTCAAGCAGTCAGTCAGTCAGTCGCTGTAGAATAGATACCCCGATTATGACAATGGTATGCGTTTGTTGTTGTTTCAATGGCGAGTTCTCTGTCTTTGTCATCCACGTTCTCAATGTGGCGTAACAGTCATGAATTAGGGGTGCTTCCCGCTGATTCATAATGGATGAAGGGGGTACAGAATATGGCATGTTTTATTTTGTTTTGCCTAGACAGTATGCAAGAGCCAGTGTTCCCGGAAAAGAAAGAATATGTTATGTACTGTAAAGTATCATGTCTCGACCTTGTCCGATTCGAGACTATGCATTTCGAGTCGGCTTATGGCGAGCAGGACAGCCAGTCGATAAAGACCAGCAGAGCGCAAAATCCTTGTCACACATCTCATCCGTTTCCAGAGTATTCTCCGACGTGTACTCGGACTTGTGACACGCAAGAAAGACAGACGAGATATACATCCGACAGCCGAGTAGCATGGCGAGCGTCTCCCGGGTACGTTGTACAGCATATTGAGAATCTGGACGCAGATGGGTGAGCCGTGGAGTACAAGACGGCGGAACCATATGGTTTACGCGCGGGACTACGGCATCTGCCGGCGCCCGTTGATGTTGACGTATTCTGGAGAGAATATTTACTGAATATTTACTTCAAAGCGGATAATTATTGGCAGCATGGTAGAAGATAGTAGAGTTTCATACTGTCTCTTGGCGTTTGGAGATGCTGTTGTACATGAAATGCATATGCCGGAAAAAGAAAGATAGGATGACACCGACAAGGTCTACTTGATGTTGGTGTGACGAAGGCCTTCTCTTCGAAATTAGATTCCATGTCAAGCAGTAACAAAGTGCCCTCTAACTGATTCGGTGGCGACTTCTTCTTTTTGACTTATTGTCTTTACTGATGACCGTTCATGCCCTCACATGCTGGCTATATCCGCTACGATCATATATGAACAGAGCTGGGGGGATGGCTTCAGTTGCACATCCACATCAGCCTGCACTGACGTACTGGAATAGCAAACTACAGCATTTGGAAGTCGATGAAAAGTACAATATTGAGCTAGGGTCTTACTGTGCAACAGAACTTGTCTAAAGATTGGGTACTTGCGCCACCAAAACTCCTTCCACCCGCCGCCAGCCTTGCATCTCATCGAAGCCGTGTCATATATTCGACCAGTTTTCGTTCACACACACAACGAACTGCTCACGCCACATCCGCAGCCGTGATCGGACGGTAAACGCCGTTTTCGAGGTAGTACGTGCCCGGCTTCTGCATCAGCTCCTTCAACACGGGACTTCGCTTCGCCAACAGGTCGTCCTCGCTCTTAAGCAAAAGCACGTTCCTCAATCCGCCCCTCGCCTCAAGGCTCAGCTTCCGCAATAGCTTCTGCGTCAGCTCGTCTTCGCCACCATCAGCACCGCGCACGACAACCCACGTCACTCCGCCAAGACGGGCCGTGACCACGCCCGACAGCAAACCCGGGAACAGCCACGGGTACTGCAGGATCTCGGCCTCGAAGGCATTGATGGACTCGCGCGCGATGGCCGTGTAGGCCTCGTCGTTGAGCATGATGCCGAGGCGGAAGAGGTTGGAGACGGAGACAGCGTTGGTCGAGGGGAGCGCCGTGTCCATGCCGTCCTTGAGGCGGAGGATGGTGTGCGGCGCGTTCTCGGCCGTGGTGTAGAAGGCGCCGCAGTTTGAGCGGGACGCCGGGGGTTCGGGGGCTGAGGTGCCGACTGAGGGGGTGTCATAGAAGATGTTGATTTGGACCTCTGTGGTAACGTTAGTTGGTTCATGGGCAGGGACGAAGGAGACTCACTCTGAAGCTCATCAGCGAACTCTATCCACTTCTCATCCGCAGTCGCCTCGTAAAGACCGACAAGACCCTCGATGAGATAGGCATAGTCTTCTGCTAGGCCCTTGGTGTCGCCGCGGCCTTCGTTCCATATCCTGTAAAGAACCTTGTCCGTCTCATCCCACAGGTTGGCCCTGATGAACTCAGCAGCCTTGCTCGCGGATGCAATGGCCGCCTGGCTCTTCGCCGCATCAACGGTTGCCAAAGCCAGTCCCGCCCTCGTTAGAGCAGAAATCACCAGACCATTCCGTCCGACCACAACCTTGTTGTCGACTTCAGGCCTCACGCGCTCCTTTTCTCTATGCGCCTTGAGCTTTTGCTTTGCTAAAGAGATCACCCGCTTGACTTCGTCGATGGTGATGCCAGCTTGTCGTCCAATCTCCGATATGTCCTTCACGATGCGCAAGATGTTTTCGTTCATAAACTCATCGTTGGGGTCCTGATCCGGCTCGACATTACCATGCTCGAGGACGTTCCAGTATGACGCAGCCAGCGCGGCCTCGTGGTCGTCTCCGATTACCGTGTCGAATTCCCGACGTGTCCACAGGTTGTACGCTCCCTCCCGCATGTGCCTGTCCCCGCGTCGGTAGTACGAGTCGGCGGCCTCGCTTGAGACGAAACCACCCTCGGGCAAACTAATCGGAGAAGTCGTAAGGTAATCGACTAATTCCACCACAACGTCGTAGAACTCTCCATCCTTCTCTCCGCCGCTTGCAATCACCCATGCGTCCAAGTAGAGCCCCAAAAGCAGCGCGTTTTGCGCAACAAGCTTCTCAAAGCGCGGGACGCTCCAGTCTGCCGTGACGGAGTATCGCGCAAACCCACAACCTCCTACGTGGTCGCGCAGACTGCTATCCCGCATCTTGCGCAACGTAAAGAGGGCCATCTCGGTGGCGTGCGCGCACTCGGTCTCGCCTACCACGTCTTGCACAGGTGAAAGATACCGAGGCAGTCGCAGGAGGAAGGACAGCTTTGGCGGGGTTGGAAACTTGGGGGCCAAACCGAATCCGCCGTAGACAGGGTCGAACGTCCCGGCAATGTGCGTGTAAGCCTCCTCCAGCTGGTCCAGGTCTAATTCACTCGACACCGCAGCGGCCGTCCTGCCCGTTCCAGGAAGCTCCAACCCCGTCTCCGATCTACCAATTGCGGCGGTCTGGGAGCCAGCAACACCAGGCTGCACCGTGGCCGTTCCCAGGGTTCCCTCGGCCGCAAAGTCGTGGAGCTTAACCACAACCTCCTTGGCCTCCTGCCTGCACCGTGACTCTTGCTCCCTCCAGACCTTCTGCAGCTTGCGCAAGATGGCCAAAAAGTCTAGACGCTCCTCGTCGTCGGAGCCGCCGTTGTTCGGGCCGGGAGCCGGGTAGTATGTGCCACCGAAGACGGGTTCGAGCTCGGGGGTCAGGAAGAGGTTCAACGGCCAGCCGCCCGATCCGCTTACGGCCTGCACATAGTTCATGTATATCGTGTCAAGCTCCGGGCGCTCCTCGCGGTCGATGATGACGGGGACAAATGACTCGTTCAGGATCGCGGCGCATTCTCGGTGGGCGAAGCACTCGGTGGATGTAAGTCGCGAATCTACGGAGAGGTCAGCGCAAATGTCGGACAAACGCAGTCGCGTCGTTTGATCGCTTACAGTGGCAGGCTTTGAAACCGATGTGCAGAAAGATCAGCTTGTTCTCCTTCCTAGCTCTCTCGATAGCCTCCTCGTCGAGCAGCTGCCAGGCGACACGGCTCTCGGCATGGCTTCGCACGTACGGGCTCTTGCTCTGGCCGACCCGGTTCACCAATGGTGGTGCCGGTTCTTGTGCCTTTTGCTGGGCCGCCAGCTGCGACTGCTGAGGGTCGGCCTTCTCAGCGCGTGCCGCTTGCGACAGCTCAGAAGCAACCATGGCGGAAACGCTACTCCAAAGACTGCGGAAGCCGTAGAATACGCAAAGCTAGTGGTAGTGCGCTTGCGACGGTGGTGTTGTCCAGCGCAGCTAGCAAAGGTCGCGGAGTTACTCGACTCTAGACAGAGATCACGAGATTATTCCGAAGGTGTTAGCGGTGGGGAGGTTGAAGACGCTACTTGTCGGGCCGAGCGGGAGGGACCTGGCAGTAGATTGTATCTTGCGTGTGTGTATATGTATTTGTCGTACAGATCGGAGACGCAGCCGAATCAAGTTATGTAGCGTGGTTTGTGAGTTTTCCCAAGTAAAAGGCTTTCCAATTGTTTTGATCCTGCGGTGTGGCAGGCAAAGCGCATGTGGAAACCGGCGACCCGTTAATTGTCTTACAGCGGTAAAGTCGAAAATGCTCGAAGGTCAGCTAGGTTCTTTGTCGAGGGGCGAGACGTCACTGCTGCACAGCGGCCGAGCGGTCATATGGTACCTGAGATATGCCTGCCTAACCACCGAATGAGGGGTATTTCTATTACATAAGCAAACGCTCGAGCTAGATACCGCAATTCACCGCACGGCGGCCATCCTCATCTCACATCTCATTTCCAAATGCCATCGCTCACTGGCGTTCATTGTGCCACATAACTCAACACTTGTTGAAGAATATTCTCTTGACATAATCGTGTCCACATAAGGGAGCAGTCTCTCCGGTCGTCTTGATGCCCAATGTGGCATCCAATCCTCACGCTTTGGGTTTGAACTCTCCTCCGATTCATGCGCCGGCTGGCTCAGTTGTCCGTTGGTGCAACCCGATCTACATTATTGTCAACCTTGACCGTGACTCGCGGGATTGCTAGGTCTATACCCGGTCCATTTTTGTGTAACATACCTCGTCCGAAGTTGCGACGAGAAAAAAAAAATCAGCCAGTCTGGCTGAAGATCCGCTTAGTCACACGAACCAGATTCTCTCGGCTTCCAGAGACAGTTGATGGAAGTAGGTCTAACCTTAGGCCAAGTCGTAAGACCACGGGATTTTTCTCATATGAATGACCCTGCCATTAAAGCCAAAACACAAAATGACTTGCTTAAGGTTGATCCAGTACTGTGGGAGCTTGACATGATTAGTCATGTATCCACGACGATCCCGTTCACTCACGAGAAATTCCAAAAGGACGCAAGAGCGAGTAAGCTCAAATATTTAATTTTTCCGGCTACAGCAGTGCCAGTCTATCCGACGCGTCGCAAATTTTCAGCAATGCAAAAAACAATCCCAAACATAACCAACCTTCCGGGCTGTATGTTGTTGAACTCCCGCCGGTTGGCCCATTCCACCGGCCCCCAAACCCCACCCCATGCATGTATATAATGCGTGTAATAATTTCCCTGTTGAAATCGTAGGAACTCATATCCCCTTCGCTTGCTATAAGAGATGATGGAAAATTGTTGAAAAGGTCGAACACTAAACAACGGCCGTCCGGATGAAATGACAGCCGTCTCATGTTGAATTACGTCGACCCAAGGTTCGCAGACTTGTTGCTTTTTTATCATGTAGTCATGATTCTAGGTCGTCTGCTGGTATCATGGTCTATCAGAGGAAGAATCATCGATTTACTCTTGCGTGGTGTCCTCGACCGGAGGGCACGTGCAGAAGAGGTTCAGGTCACCGTATGCTGTGCTCCTGTTAGTTTTCTGTGATGCCAGTATAGGCTATATGATAGAAACTTACTGTCGTCAATGCGAGCCACGCTGGGCCAGAACTTCTTCTCCTTCAGATGCGGCAGGGGGTACGCCGCCTTCTCGCGGGTGTAGGGACGGTCCCACTTGCCCTCGCCATCGCCCAAGATAACATCCATCTGCGGGTGAGGCGCCATCTTGAGGACGTTGCCCTCGCGGGGTTGCTTGCCCTCCTCAATCTCGCGGATCTCCTCACGGATGCTGATGAGCGTGTCAATGAAACGGTCGAGCTCCTCCTTGCTCTCGCTCTCAGTGGGCTCGATCATGAGCGTGTTGGCGACAGGCCAGCTCATGGTCGGCGCGTGGAAGCCATAATCTTGAAGGCGCTTGGCAATGTCGATAGCCTCGACGCCCGCGGTCGCGCTGAAGGGCCGCGCGTCGAGGATGAACTCGTGCGCGCAGCGACCGTTCTCGTTGGTGTAGAGGATCTTGTAGTGCGGCTTGAGGCGGGCGAGAATGTAGTTCGCGTTGAGGATGGCGGTCTTGGTGGCGAGGCGCAGACCGTCGTTGCCCATCAAAGCGTTGTATGCCCAGCTGATGGGCAGGATACCAGCGCTGCCGTAGGGAGCGCTGGCAACCATGGCCTCCCCAGCCTCAGGGGAGCGGCCAGGGAGGTAGGGGCCAAGGTGCTCCTTGACGCAAATGGGACCGACACCGGGACCACCGCCACCGTGGGGAATGCAAAAGGTCTTGTGGAGGTTAAGATGGCAGACATCGGCACCGATCTCGCCAGGCGAGCAGATGCCAATCTGAGCATTCATGTTGGCGCCGTCCATGTAGACCTGACCGCCGTACTGGTGAACAAGGTCACAAGCCTTCTTGACGCTGGGCTCGAAGACGCCGAAAGTGCTAGGGTAGGTGACCATGAAGGCACCAAGCTCGTCCGCGTGCTTCTTGCACTTGGCCTCCAAATCCTCAATGTCCAGGTTACCGGTCTTCTGGTCACACTTGATGGGGACGACCCGCATGCCTGCCATGGCGGCAGAAGCAGGGTTGGTGCCGTGGGCCGAGACCGGGATCAAGCAGATGTCACGCTTCTTGCCGGGCTGCTGCTCGAGGTACTTGCGGATGACGCGGAGACCGGCGAACTCACCCTGAGCGCCCGAGTTAGGCTGCAGGGAGACGGCGTCCATGGCAGTGATGCCCTTGAGCTGCTCTGAGAGGCTCTCAATCAGGGCGGTGTAGCCCTTGAGCTCACTCATGGGAGTGTGGGGGTGGATCGTGGAGAAGCCAGGGAGAGAGATCAAGGCCATCTCGGTCGCGCTGTTGAGCTTCATGGTGCAAGATCCAAGAGGGATCATGGAGTGAACGAGGGACAGGTCCTTGGACTGAAGGTAGTGGATGTAGCGGAGCATCTCTGTCTCGCTGCGGTGGGTGTTGAAAACAGGGTGAGTAAGGTAGGCGGACTGGCGGCGCAGAGACTCAGGCAGGAGCTCGGTGATGTCCTGTGTGAGAGAACTGTAGGCCTTGCTTGCGACCTCGGCGGTCTGAGTACCCGTGGCGTTTCCGAGAACGGTAGCGATGGTGTTGAACACCTCCTCGTTGACGTTCTCGTTGACACTGATGCCAATGTCACCGTTGCCGTAGTCGCGGAAGCCCAGACCAGCCTTCTTAGCCTCGGCGAAGATGTTCTGAGAGCGGTCGCTGGCTTTGATGACGACAGTGTCAAACAAGACCTTGCCGTCGGGGCTAGCACCGCTCTGCTCGGTCTCCAGACCAGCAGCCTCGGCAACGGCCTGGACGCCACGAGCAAGACGGACCAATCTGGAAGCAATCTCCTTCAGACCCTCGGGGCCGTGGTAGACGGCGAACAACGCAGCCATGTTGGCCAAGAGAGCCTGCGCAGTGCAAACGTTGCTGGTGGCCTTCTCGCGGCGAATGTGCTGCTCACGGGTTTGCAGAGCCAGTCTCAGGGCCTGCCGACCGTTGCGGTCCTTGGAGACACCAACCAAGCGGCCGGGCATGCGGCGCTTGTGGGCCTCCTTGACGGCGAAGAAAGCAGCGTGGGGTCCACCGAAGCCAAGAGGCACACCGAAGCGCTGGGCACTTCCGAAAGCAATGTCGGCACCCCACTCGCCGGGCGGCGTGAGGACCGTCAAGGCCAGAAGGTCGGTCGCGGCACTGAGAAGGGCACCCTGCGAGTGAACGAGCTCGGAAAGGCCCCTGAAGTCCTCGACCTTGCCCCTGGTGTCCGGGTACTGGACCATAACACCGACCAAGTCCTGTCCAAGGGTCTTGATCTTCTCCTGAGTCTCGGCGGTGCTGACGTCAAGGATCTCGACGTTGATGCCGAATCCCTGAGCTCTGCTCTTGAGAACAGAGATGGACTGGGGGTGAACGAGGTGAGAAACGACAAAAGTCTTGCCGGGTCTCTTGGCACGAGAAGCAGAAAGGGCGTTCATTGACAAAGTCATGGCCTCGGCAGCTGCTGTTCCCTCGTCCAATAGACTGGCGTTGGAGATGGGGAGACCGGTCAGGTCGGAGACCATGGTCTGGTAGTTGAGGAGGGACTCGAGTCGTCCCTGGCTGATTTCCGGCTGATAAGGAGTGTAGCTCGTGTACCAAGCAGGGCTCTCGAGGACGTTGGTCTGAATAACACGGGGCGTGACACTGGGGTTGTATCCAGCGCCAATCAAAGGCTTGGGGGCGGCCTCATTGGCCTTGGCCCAGGCGGAGGCCCTCGCCAAGATTTTGCTCTCATCCGTCGGGCCCTCGGTGTCCCAAGCGAAGCTCTTCCTCTCGGAGATAACATCCGCGGGGAGAACCTGGGCAATAAACTCATCAATTGACTTCGCCGGAGGGTCGAGAGCCTTGAGCATGGCCTCAGCATCGTGAACGTCAGGGCCGATGTGGCGGGGAATGAACGACTCATGCCTCTGGAGCGGTTCAAGGGAGGCATCCACCGTGGTACTCGCACTCGTGGCGTTCTGGAGAGATCTGATGGCGCTGAAAGTCCTCACACGGGGGACCCGCGAGGTTACCGATGAGTTTGAGACGCATGAATTGCAAACCCATGAGGAAGCTGGCGTCTGGCGGGCGAGGACCCTTGACCTCGGGGCAGCCAGCCGAAGCTGGCGGGGGAGGGGCAATCTCAATGATGCCATGATGGGAGGAGAGGCGATTGTAATTGGCAATTCAAAGAGAGATTGAAAATGCCCAAGACTCGCCGAAGTCCAAGAGTGTGTCTTGGAGTAAACAGAAAGTGAAGAAAGGGAAGGGAAAAGAAAAGAAGAAGCAGCGTGGTGGTGAGAGTCGTGCGCGTGTATAGAAATGTTGGCTCGGATAATGGCCCGATATCGTTGTAGCTCGAGAAGCAACACCCTTGTCGCCACACGTAGATCCGAAGGGCGACTCGGGATAAAAGCGAACAGACTCGCACGCAACCTTTTGTGTTCGATCCAAAACACTTGATGCAGGTGCCTTCGCAACGGACTACCTACTGGGAAGAGACCAGACGCTTTTGTAAGACAGCTTGAGAAAGAGTAGGACCTGCTGAACGGTTCAGATATGAGGGAGTCGGTGAGGAATCGGCGCCGGCAACCATCCGCCCTTTTTTTTTCTTCTATTTCCTCGCATTGCAATGTACGGCTACTTATCAAGCCAAGGTACGTAGAGCCTCCCAGGGATACAGTTCCTGAGTCGAGTCGATCCCAGCGCGCTGGACTGGTCGCCCACCGCCGAACGCATTCAAACACAGTCCAAGGACCCTTTCGGTTGGGTACAGCATCCCTGGCACGCCGCCTGGGAAACCGCCCGAGCAGAGAGGTGAGACTGGCCTTATCGGGCGGTCCGCTGATAAGCGCGCACCGACGACGGATTGAGGCGATAAGAGCTGCTACTCCATGTTCCCCAGCCATTCCCTGGCTTTGGGGACCCCGGGTGCGTTCGAACATTGCTAGAATAGGCACCACGGGCTATTCACGGCCCGGGATTGTGTCCAGAATGAGACTACTCGACCAATGAGATGTTGACAAAGCATCAGCGGTCTGGGTTCTGGGCCCCAGTATTCCAAGGTCGGGTTTTCTGGATATGCGGATGAGAAACCGAGCACTCGGCAGAAGAGCCGAGCTGCTGCAGCGCACAAGCTTGCACAACACTAAATTTCACAAGTGGCCTAGCCGTCGTGCATGTGCAAGACATGGGGTTTTGATTTGCTAAGCAGGTAGGTCTCCTCCCGTCTTGAGGCTCGAAGTGAGCTCAGGTACGTACCGACCGGGACGCAGCCAGGAGCTAGACAGATTGGAGCTTCTCTAAATTTTTGCGACGACATCATCGCTGAACCTGGCACCGACCGCGAATTATCACCATCTCACGAACCGCTTTCCTGTACCCTCGCCCACCCACCGCCCCAGTCAATACTCTATAGCAAACCGTCAAGATGTTCGGAGGATGTATGCACTCAATCAACTAGACCCCAAGCGCGCCTAAACCTTGTCGCTAACCCGTGCCTAACAGTCGCGCCGCCCCAGCTCTCCGAGGAGGAGATCAAGCAGATGGAGGCCGAGGCCAGCTTCAGTGTCCAGCAAGTCTTCGTCTCTGCCGTCCTGCTGTACCTCTGTACGTACATCCCTTTCGAGCCGAGTTCACCCAGCCTCTTAGTATACCAAGGCCCACGAACACTTTCTAATCAGAGTTTTTACTTAGCCCCCTTTGCCATCGACGCCGTCTCCAGCATGCTGTAAACGGATCACCTACGACGTATTGAAGAGCCTCCTCGGGGCTTGGTATCTCAGCCATAACGCAGCACGTCTGTCTCGTCTGCAAACCAAACCAAGGCCGCATCAGTGATGTGCTGAGCGGCTATGTTACCCGCCTAGGGGATATGTAATGGGACAAATACCCATATTGTAAAATATCATCTGTACACTGTACACAGGGCTGGTCGAATGGGCTATGGACATAGCTTGCATAGGAATCAGGGTAAACAAACATCACGACTTTTGTTCAAGGCTGCTTCGTCGCGTGCGATATGTGAAGGGGGGCGTCTCCGTGCCCTCTCCCCCTTCTTTTTGTCGATACGGGTTTCCTAATATTCATGCCATTGCCTTCCATCCTGTACATCGCAAACGGTCCGCTCGCGCCTGCCCTCTATTATCACAGTTCCAATGATGCTCTAAAGTCCGAAACGAGCCTCTCAGCTCGGGTTCCGCTCCTTCTCCCAGTCCGCAAAGTCTTTTGTAATCGACTCGACCTCTTTCTTGAGATGCTGGATCTGCTTCTCGTAGTCCTCCAAGACCTGCGACAACGATTAGCATCACTGGCCGGGCAACTCGCCTCTCCGGGACATAAACTTACCTTCTTCGTCTTGTGCTCCGTCTCCTCACTCAACCCCTCGCCGCTCGCGAAGGCCGGCTTGTTCGTCTCCTTCATTAGCTGGTCCGCATAGTCCCTGAGCACGATCAACCGACTCCAGAGCTCCTCCTCCCTCGCCGCCAAAGCGGGATCCTGTACACTGCGCTCCAGCTCTACCAGCTTGAGCCGCAGGTCATCCTCATCGCCACTGAGGGCGTACCCGCGGTTGCGCAGCACCTGCACGCGAGCCGCGAGCGCAAGGCACCGCTCGCGAAGCACAACGTGGCGGCGGCGGGCGGCCAGAGCACGCACGCTCGTCTCAAGGTCATGCCGCGAGAGGATCGCGTCCAGGCTGGCATTGATCTGGTGCAGGCGAACGTTAAGCTCCCCAACGACCTTCTTCTGTGTCTGGAGGCGGGCCGCGACGCCCGAGAAACCCGTGCAGAGCACAGGGATGTAGCCCGGCGCGGGCTTCTTCTGCAGCGCCTCCTCCCATTCTTTGGGGTCCTCGTGCGGCCCGGGCTTGTAAAAGGGAACCGAGGCCTCGTCGACCTTGTTGTAAAAGTAGTGCTTGAATGCGCAGTTGGGGTTCGTAGGGTTCCACTTCTCGAAGATGAGGGCCATCTGTTCGGGTATGGGCTTTTGATTCTCTGCGCTGGTGTCAGTGGGTATCGCAAGACGAAGATCTCGGGTAGAACATATACGTACGAGGCGTATCCCTACCAGGCTGCCAGAGGGAGCTCGAGAGCTGTGCTTGCGACTGCGACAGGCTGGGCATCTGCTGTTGTTGCTGTTGCTGTTGCTGTTGCTGCAGCTGTTGAGGCTGGGCCATGGAGTTTCCGAAGGCGTTTCCTTGGTTCTGCGTCTGGCCAAAGAGGCTCAAACCGCCTTGCTGCTGGTTGCCCTGCTGCTGCTGTTGTTGCTGCTGCGGCTGCTGTGTCGACTGTCCCAGCGTAATGCCGCCGCCGACTCCACCACAAAAGAAACCCCCAGTGTACCCAGCGGGCTTCGGTGCTCCGAATAAACTCATTTCAAATGATGAAGCTTATTGATTATGCTGGTGTCGAGGGAGGTGTAGCGTCGCTCTGTCGCCGAGCTCGTAATGGCCGAAGCAGATGATTGATACGCAAAGTTGTAGCGCGAGAGAAAACAGTGAGCGAGAGAGGCCCCAGCGCATAGTCGTCGGAAAAGCTGCAAATAGGTCGCGGGTATTAGAACAAAAGCGCAGCTTCCAGCGCGATCGGAAAGCAATTGTCGCAGACGTCTCGCAGTGTGCGGCGAGGATGGTCACCGGGTATCGATCGCAGGGTTTGCTGTTGAGCTACCCTTGGTTTGGTACCCAGCAACGAACGCGAAAATAATAAATCGGAGCTCGCAGCTGCAGCAGTGGCAGCCTTCACCGGGCGCCACACTTTTCCAGACCGAGTGCACACCACCTTGGAGCGGCGCCACACCCAAGGCTCCACCTCAGCCTCGCCCTGAACCGAGCCAATCAGAGGCGTTCTAAATCGACCTCACCTCAATTCGCAGCGCCCATTGCCCGGAAAGCTTGCTCTGGATGACCATCCGAACCCAGAACCGACCTCTCCCTTCCCCTCCGACTCCATCAGCACAACCACAACCATGGCGTCCCGACGGCCTCAGTACGTGACTCTTCTTCCCGTCGCTGGACTGAGCGGTTCAATTGGCCCAATCGCAGCTCGTCCCGGACGAATCTTGGATCGCGGATCGCAACAACAGAGACTAACCACCATGCGCTCGCAGATTCAACCAGCAGGTCCAGGTCGACACGACCCCTCTGCCCGACGACATCCCCAAGGTCAAGGAGATCGGTGCTAGCTCCGCGCCCCTGCTGTCCGCATCCTACTTCATTGGCGCCCGATGCCGCGAATACAATGACGACTTCATGCAGTGCAAGACGGATAGCGCGGGCCGCGGCGAGTTTGACTGCTTGAAGGAGGGTCGTCGGGTCACAAGATGTGCCTCCAGCGTGTACGTTGATCCACTGTCAATCTCCCTTGGCTATGTCGGAAGGAAGAAGCGGGCGTTGGCCCTCAATTGAGCTTCGCCGACTTGGAACCACCGGACTTTGGGCATGGGCCATGATAGGGATACAGAAATTCTGACTTGAAATTCGTTCTGCGTAGGCTGAAGGACATCAACACCCACTGCCTCGAGCAGTTCAAGGCCCACTGGACCTGCATCGAGAACCGCAACCACCAGCTCTACCAGTGCCGACAGCCTGAGTGGAAGCTCAACAAGTGTGTCTTTGAGAACCTGGTACGTTGCAACCGGGTTGATAAGAGGACTACCGGAGCCTCTCCTGTCTTTACACCGTATGAAATGGAACAAAACTAACCCAACCGTCTGCAGAAACTCGAGAAGCATATCCCCGACCAGCGTCCCGGCGTCACCCCCGTCGAGCTCCGCCCTCACATGATCTACGCCGACCAGGCCATCAACACCCTCGAGGGCAAGCCTTTCATCCCCCGTCAAAGGCCCAGGGCAGCAAGCAGGCGTCGTAAAAGGTTTGTGTGCGTGTATGTGTGCGAAGAGCGCTGTGGGAAGACGACTCCCTTCATCCGGTACAGATGCCGTGGACAGAGAGAAGTCTGGGCTTTGCGTTGAGAATGTGGGCTTGGGGATTGGCGATAGAACGCTGTGTACATATGTCATCAATCAGAGTTGGGATCAACCAAATGGCTCCCCTTCGTATTTTCTCTACTTTCTCTTTCGGCAGGTTCCCCATGACGGTCCAGTCAGCGGCTGCAACGACAAAGCTGTCTGGCTCAAGTCGGCCTGCTAGACGTTGTCAATGGCTTTGGACCAGCACTCAAAATCTGTCAAGGGGCAACCCTCCATTGTTCGAGCGGCGATCGGGCGAATTGCAGCTCGTGGCTGCCCTGTTCACTGGCATCGTGATGATGGTTTCCAAGCGGGCTTTCTGCTACTCTGATGTGGTCCATTCGCATTGCAGACGAACCTAGCAGCGGCTTTCATAGTCAAGGATGTCTGCCAGCTGGCTCCAGGGAGCGCGGTTACAATCTGTCCATCGTCAAGAGATTCCTCGAAGCAAACACCTTGGCCAAAAACAGCAGCAATGGACCCAGGTTGCCATCCACGAAGAAACAACCCTCACCTAGCCCATTGCTACTAACTTGCCCCTCGCCTGACGAAAACAAACCCCTCCATCGGACCCTCGTCCTAATGCCAGCCCGAAAAGCACCTAGCCGCCGAATGTATGAACACCTCTCTTGCCAGTCATGCCCCGCCTCCGTCGTCGACCTCGGCCCCGCCTTGTGGCTCGTACGAACACAAGACATCCATAGTTTACGATCGTGTTCCAAGGGACCAAATGCCCTGCACCAGTGCGATGTTGCGCTTGCTGCGTCTCTTATGATCGGGGTGCGGTTGGGGACGAGGGCCGCTTCCGATGTGGCCCGTCTGCCTCGAGTGCTTAGCTACTTTTACCTAGGATGTTATCCATTCAAATGTGTCTCTGCAACATGTCAGATAGGAAACCTGGGTCGGGTTGGTCTGCTTTGGTCTGCCTTGTGATTCATCCGGACGTACTACGTTACCACCACGGGATCAAGGTAGCCTCTGTGGCAGGGAGTACGTAAAGCTTGCCCTTCAGCTGTCAAGACCACATGTGCAGCTCTCGGCAGGCAGCCGAGACAACAGTGACAGCGCAAGATGGATCCGGTCACGCTTCCGGGGTAGACACGGCGGATGAGCTATCATATCTGTGTTTACGTTGCCTTGACATATGAGGAGAGGACAGCGACCGTAGGAGACTGTGAGATTGGTTGTGTGATGGCTCAGCTACGGCAGTACCGATATGTGATCCGCCACCACCCAACCAGCCTGCAAGTCCTCCGCTCAGCAGGTTTCAAGGCTGCTCTCCTTGGGACCACCCGAAAGAAACATGCTGATAGCACATCAGAACCGATCGGGTAGGGCATGCCGGTGCTCTGGTCTGAAGGAAAGATCACAATCTACCTCTGACGCGGGGTTCAGTCCCGACGGACGCCACCTCACCCACCGGCTCACGTTCGCGTCGTTCAGAATTGCATGACGAAACCGAAGGCTACGCACCAAATGGGTCGGAAGAGGGGGTCCATCGAGGCAGAAAACCATCCTAGGTGGGTAGGACATGTCATGTGTCAACATGTAGGCTGGTGGCGCATCTTCTTGCACGACCACGGCCTGGCATGATCACACTAGCTGAACTGTCATGTTGGCGTCACAGGTAGAAGAGGTACAACAGAAGGCGCTACAGTTTCTAGAAACGCTTTCCAAGGCAGGGCAGGGTATGAGATGGAAAGACGAGAGAAACGGCAGTCCAGGGGGTGTCTTCAAGTATCCTCAAGGTCTGTGAGCTTCGCAAAGTCAAGTTTCGGATCAGTAGGCTACCCGATGGGGATCTCGTACAGTCAAGCGGCGGTTTCATCGATGCGTCCTTGAATCGAAGTTGCGAAACCGGGATGGCTGAGCTACTCGTCTTGAATATACTTACCTATGTCCTTGATGATATTGGACATAATCACTTGGCAGCCGTGCAAGCAGGTGCATCTTTTGGAGGTTTTTGAAATACATTCCTCATCTGCTTACGTTGGTACTCTATAAGTTGTGGATGAGTACGAGCCTCGGACAATGAGGTTCAGGCGGTCAAGCTACGTCACAGCATTCCGTGATGGATCGGTCATGTCATGGATCACTCCTGTCCGTACGGTTGTGATTTTGATGCCCGTCGTCGATGCAATGAACACCCTGGAACAAGTTGTTGTCTCTTGTCTCGGACAGCAAATTTCATGGTGCGGTTAATCAAATGGGTCCAGATCCTGCGGCGCCTGTCGCCTTTACTTTGGCCCCTGCCATCTAACAAGGTCATGTTAGCATGACAAGAAACCAAACTCCTGGGACGTTGTCGCCGTTGTGGACATTTAAAAGGAACAATGTGATCGAGCCTGATGCTGTTGTGAAACCTCCGTTGGCTTGACGTCAGGGTTGTTGCTTCTGAGGGAAATGGGAATAGAGGGGTTCCGCTAGGCCAGGCGCTAAAGGGCGTCAGTGTAGTGCAACTCTACGTCCATGGCGCTGGATGCCGAGGCCGCGCAAAATGGCCGCAGCAATCGTCAAACGACATGTTTTGGAAACATCATGTTGTTTGGGCGTCCTGATGCGTGTGAGCCAACCACATGCCCACCGAAGCATGGAACCCGTACAGAAGGCTTGAGGTTCTCCGTATGTGGCTCTGTAACCGCGAGCGCTGTTCACCGCCGATGACGGGGGTTTGAACATGCGTGTCGTTGCTTGTCCGGATTTGCCTCGGAGAATTTCGTAGACCCAACAGATTCTGAAGTTTATACCAGTGGGTTGCAAATCTCGCATGCGGCGGTGCTGGTGTTTCGCCGGGCCGAGAGATGAGTCGACAGCGACAGCCTAGTCGCAAGTTGGAGTTGGGAACTCCAGCAGCGACCGGGTCAACCGAACCAGAGTCCAGGATGGACATGCCGTCTTCCCCGGAGGTCGGGCGTCTGAACTCTGAGATGATGTGCCGTGTGGCCCGCGGTTCGTCGGCAATCAGAAAAGAGGGACACGGGGCAGAAAAGGCCTCAGCGGAACGTCGTTGGCAAGATTAAGGATGTTCAGGGCCCCTGGATGTAAACAAAAGCTCATTTCGCAGTTGATGAAAGCTCCCGCTGCCCCCAATCACACCCTGTTTTCGCTCTCTTGGTGACCAGGGGCCCCCCTGACTGTGATTAATGCATATAGCGGGGTGGAAACGCCCCATTGCTTCGCACTCGTATGCATTCAAGATCCGGGAAAATCAAGGACTCTTCCTCGACGCCGTTAACGCATCCCAAGTTATGGCCGGCTGGGATAGCGATGTCGGAAGACCTGCTCTAGCACCGCAATAAGTTTCACCATATGGGTGGCAAGTTAAGCTAGCAGCAGCTTGTGGCATAAGAGTTAATATCGAGCCGTGTCAAACAATGCCGCGTGGGCGAAGGTAAGATGACATCTGGTCTGGGATGAGATGAGACGAAAACTGTCTGTCACAGGTGCTGAGTGTCATTTGCGACAGGCAAAATCGCATTCAACTGCCTCTGAGGGATGCTTCTGTGCATTTCTTACTCGCAGGGGGATCATCCCGAACGATCGTCCTCAGAAGCACTCTGTAGTTCCAATCGGACGGTTCCAGATGCGTTCCGCTACGCAGACAAACAATTTCTCCTTTGCAACGTTCTCCTCTTAAATGCCACTACTGTCACATTTATTGGCAGATAGTTGGGCATCGAAACCTGACAACCCGCAAGCAGATGATAGTGGATCCCGTACGATTTATTGGACTGAATCAAGAATCGAGTCGGTGTCTGTGGTTCTAACATTGGCTATCTACTGCTTTGCTCAACCGAGGAGCGGTCCGCTAGGTGGCTAAGTCTGTTCGATCAATGGTGTAATCCGCCGCGATAGCTTCCTGTCACAATTGTCATCTCGATTACTGCTGCTGATTACGGCTTTAGGTCAGAGAACAAAGCGGCAGATTGAGTTTCGGGAGGAAGATGGCTCGGGCTTTGGAGGATGCAAGCTGCTTTTTGCGCGGATATAGAATCTACCTAGCAGTACGATTTGGCTCGAGAACTTAGGCATTGGCCGCTTTGTTGCTGCCATGATCCATTCCCCTCCGTGGGTCAAGTACCGGCTTGCGAAGTTCAGGCTGTCTCGTCTCCGCCCATAGGACATGATCTATTTGTCCGCAACCATGCCTTGGCGCGGACCGAACGAGCACCACCGGGACTAAGTGGAACGGTGATGGCGTTAATCTCCCGCTGCAGCACAGGCTTCCATCGCAATTGCCCGGAGAGCGAGTAGGTGGCTAACCAACAGCACGGATGGTGTCGAGCTGCCTACATGATGGCTTGTCTAAACGTGCATATCAACAATGTGCCGGCAGCCTGCAGCTGTGTTCCGGAGGGGTTTCTGCTGCCGCCGCACTCACGATGCAAGGTCGTTTCTCTCTTTCCTGGAAGCTAACCGAACGGGTTGATCGATGCCGTTTGGTATCCGCTTCGGCCTTCATCAGTCATGCCTAATGCCCACAGTTGATAAGGCGGGTGGCTCCTGTTCCTGGGATCTACGCGTCTGTACCCCAGAAAGCAGCATGATGTTGGGAAACCGGAAAATTTTGCAGCTTCATCTCGCTCATCTCGAGCCCCGCGCAAGGAAGTCAGGTTTCCTCGGAGACCCTTCGTCATCGGCAATCAAAGGCCCAGAAGGGTGTCGTATACACTACGATGAGGAGCTGATTAACCCTGGGCTGACAGTAAAGCGACGGGTGAAAAGGTGGAGTTTTAACCAACGACAACTCCACGACCGTAATGAGGTCATTTGGCGAGACAGCGGAGAAGGAACGGCCAAAGTACACTACTGCAGTGATAAGGTTTATGAAAATCCATCATGGACCAGGGATGGCTGACAGGAGTATCACACCGTATGATGTTGCGTTGCAGCGATCGACCGGACGAAAGCGCCATCGCCTGCGAGCATCCAATTTTAAACTGTGGGCGGCAGTGGCAGCAGTCGGTGTATAGGTAGTCGGAGAGGACGCGGACGAGACGCTGGCAATCCAAATGTTCTTTGGCAGGGGCGGACTCAGAAAAGACGTGCACAGTCCAGGCCGACGCAAGACTGGATGAACGGGTCCCCACCGAAATTAAGGCCGTTTCAGAAGAGTGGGCTGTCCCCGGGCCAAGTGGCTGTTTAATGGGGACACCTAGCAACCCTTGCAGCAATCAGGGCAGGAACGTCCTCTTTGCTGCAAGGTACCGGCTCCCTTAGCCGTTGCCATTGGACCACTCATCAGAAGGGGATCCGACGCTGCCGCATGGAGATTGGTCGAACATACCGGAAAAAACAGGTGTGGGACGTGGGCGGAGGGGCGTGTATCGAGGGAGACGAGGCGCCGGGACCGACGAGGGGCGATGAGGGAACAAGGGGCGGGGCAAGCTGCGCTAGTTGATATTGGCACGAAGAAAAGGCGTCTTGGAAGTCTGCAAGCCCCTATTCTTCCCCCCTTCGTCAGTGACATTTCTTCGCCTCTAACAGAGTTTGCATTCAGAAGGCACTTCTAGCTGTTAGTGCTCTGGCGCCTTGCGGTTAGCCAAGATTGCCGCGCTGCTTTCTGAGGGATTTCGCGACTCAAGGAGAGGGCCGTCCACGTTCAGGAGACGCTATCGATGCCGGAGCTGATGGAAGATCAGACGTCGCTTGTACCTTCGCTCTGAAGTTCCGACGGACGGAAAGCCAGTGTCTAGGGACAGTCCAGTTGACCCTCAGGTCTCAGCCGACGTTTGACCCAGCTCCTGGATGCTTCTGCACACAGCTTGACCTGGGGAAAGAGGCCTGATGTCGTGGTGTTGAAGTGGTGGGGCCGTGGTGGTTGTGAAGGACGAACAGTATGGATGAATGATTGCCGAAACCACAAGGGTCCGATGTCGAGATATTGTGCAATGGTAACCCTCATCCGAGAGTGCTTTATCACCTTATGGAGCAATCTAGAATGTCAAATCGGCGCCCCAGATCGGGAAGCTGACCCAGTAATGGACAGTATCTGGGCGTCGCACGGCAGAGAGGATGAGATGCGAGCCAAGATGCGAGGATCTGCTTTATGCGTAGTGGGCAGAAAGTGAAGTGACGCGACATGGCACACAATGAGCTCAGCTGCACATTGGGCTGATGAGCTGAGAGATGGGGCGAAGGTGAGGCGTAGCAAATATGTTATTTTTGATGTTGACGTTGATGCCGAAGCGGAAATATCATCCGAACACCAATTTTGAGTTGTTTCCCAGTCACCACGCCAGCACTAAATGAATCATGTCACGCCTGCCGCGTCATGGGACGGCATTATAACTCCTCGCCCTCGTGCCTTCCCGCTACAGGTGAACATGCTAACTAACATTACTATGAATGGTAATGGCTCCAACATGAGAAAGGACCGTTTGCATAAGCCATATTTTCGGGGTGCTCCTTCCCTTCCATCCCGCGCCTACGCTAGTGATACAGCCACCCCCGGCATGACCTTGATCCAATGTCCACCCTACACACCTTCCACTTACACCTACATTATTACCATAGTACACAAATTGCGTGTGCGGTCAGGCTGGCCGCTCCTTCCCTCAGTCAGATCGACCTTCGTTGCGAACCCCCAGACAAACCAAACAACGGCCCAATTTCTTTTTTGGTCCTGCGCAGCTTGCTTGTCTCGCCTCCAGATCGTTGGCCCTTCATCACTGTTGCCTCCACTTCCTCTCCACGACCCCACGACCCTCGTCGCTTTCCCCCCTCTTGTGCTGTCGCATTTACCATCGACACAGCCGGTGTGTTCTCCAGGGTTCACACTGCACTCCCGGCGTCCTGTCCATCCATCTTTCGTTCGAGTTTCCTCGCAAATCTCACACCTCTCCACACACCCAACGCACCCCACCCCTCTACATCGAAAACCTCCACAATCCACAATCCACAGTCCACATCCACATCCACACCCCGCCGGTTTAGTCGTCTTTCACCACCGGAACAGAGCAGAGCAGAAGCAACAGAAGCAACCCAGCGCTATCCACGGTCCGTCGCACACACACGCACCAACACAAACACCACGGCTCACATTCACTTATCGCCTAGACGCTGCCACCCTGGCTGCCCTAGATTTTCCACCCTTGTCGACGCTAGGCTTGGACTGGGCTCACTCTCAGACTCTCGCCCAGTCCCTCAATCCCAGTCGCGCGGGTTCCATTGCCCCGTCCGTTCCCTTTTAGTAGCCCGTCGTCGCCATCCAGAACATCTTGTCTCTCCTTCTCGCTTCACCACTCCCAGGAGACCAGTTCTTTCGACCCCCTCACCCCCTACCCTTCTCCGCCTCGGCCTCGGTCGCCTTCGTGTCGTGTTTGACACCGTCCATTCTTTTAAAACCAATTACATCGCCTCCGGGTCGAGACCTCGAATCCCCTCTTTTCCTGCACCCTCAACCTTCCAGGATAGAAGGATAGGCTACCGACATTCCTTTCGGAACCGCGACTCATCTCCACGTTCTCTACCCAACAAGCACCAGCTTCTTGTCACTCCTTCGTAACTGTTCTCACGAGAGTTCTTTTTTTCGGCTTCACCACCCCAAAAAAGAATTTACGACTCCTTCGTCCGACCTTCATCCAACTTCAACAGCGGCAACGTTGTTCAACCACACTCTTTACACATCACCACAAGGTCCTAGACGGAACCGTATCAGCAGTGCTGCACCATCACACAGCTGGCTCTGAGAACCACCTCACGGGATCATATTTGCCTCCGCCAAACCACTCTCAAATATTTCCCATCGTAACCAACCTCTTCGTCCGGACCGGATCCCTGACTTTCAGATTCCGCAAATCCTTCAAGACATCCATCAACAGCATCACAAGGTGAGTGGCGCCGTGAGAGACATCTTTCTACCCCACTTTTCCCGCCATGTCCTCATTCCTATCGCGTGAATGGCATTGTTTGCGACACCACCTACAAGACAAGCGCATTCCAGCACGACTCGTACCGTCCCTTCAACAACGGCCTTTGTTCATTGTCTCTCCCCCGTCGTGTTGTTTGACTCACGCGGTTGAACAATGAGCTCAGTGGAGCTTCGAGTAGTGTCAACTGGGCACGTTCCTGAGTCGGGCAAGTCCGAACAACTCCCGCTCCCTCACGAAGGACCTATATCTGGATTGTGTCCCTCGTCTTTTGGCCGAGAGGTCATCTCATCTTGCCTGCTACATCACACTCTTTTCTCATCAGTCGCCAGTCGAATATTCCTTTTTTCGTACACAACCATCTTCGCGGGCGAAGCTAACTGACTTTCAGACCTTCATTCTCATTGATACCGACTTTGTACACCCTTCAAAATGAAGTCTTCCATCGTCCTTGCCGCCACTGGCGCCGTCATGGCCATGGGTGCTGCCATCGACCCCCGTGCCTTGGAGACTGTCCTGGATATCACCTACGTGACCGTCACCGTCACTGAGGGTGTTCCCATCGAGGAGCCTACTCCCACCCCTACTCCCTCCACCCCTGCCGTCTTCTACGAGGCCCCCAGCTCCGTCCCCAAGGTGGAGGAGACGCCTGCGCCCGCGCCCGCACCCGTTTTCGAGACCATCATTACCAAGCCGAGCTCCAGCACTCCTGAGCCCACCCCGACCCCGACGCCCACTCCCACGCCTGAGCCGGTTGTCGCGCCTGTCGTTTCTTACGCTGCTCCCGCGTCTAGCGTTGTCGAGACCACCCAGGCTGCCCCTAGCACCGCTCCTGCCGCCAGCGACCTCCAGAGCACCTGCATTGACTCCCACAACTACCACCGATCCAACCACTCTGCCCCCGCTCTGACCTGGGATAGCGCCCTCGCCAGCTACGCCCTCATCACCGCCCAGACCTGTGTCTTTGAGCATGACATGTAAGTTTTAACACCAGCATCAACTGCACCATCAACCAGATACTGATATTCGACTAGGACCACTGGTGGTGGCGGCTACGGCCAGAACCTGGCCATGTGGGGTGCCACTGGCTCTGAAAGTCTCGGCGAGGCCAAGGCTGCCCAGCGTGCCATCACTGAGCAGTGGTACAACGGCGAGCTCAACCTCTACCCCGGCTACGGCCAGGCCAGCCCTGACATGACCAACTTCCTCCAGTGGGGCCACTTCTCCCAGTTGGTCTGGGTTGATACCACCACTGTTGGCTGCGGCGTTCACTACTGCGCTGCCGGCACCCTCAGCTCCATTGGCAGCTGGTTCACCGTCTGCAACTACAAGTCCCAAGGTAAGTCGAGTCTTCGTATTCTGGCTACATCCCCACACACGCGCTAACGCGACCCAGGCAACGTCATTGGCAGCTTCGACAAGAACGTCCTACCTCCTGGCAACGCCGCCACGATCAACGTTGCTTGAGTGGCGCAGCAAGCTGTGGAGCGTCCTTGACTTGTTCAAGCAATTGCATTTGCATACTTCGTCCTGCCCGCTGGAGGCGTTTTGGGTTTCAGTTTGCGACACGGCCACTGGGTACGAGATGCGGATGAGCTCCATCGCACTAGCGAGGCATTTCTTCACTTCTACCGCTGTACTTTATCAGGGGATCGCTTGACTTTACCGATCTCCTTGTCCCGACTCCGGGACCCTTTGAATCATGCGCATAGGTCGCTCATGAATGGCATGGGTACATTTCTCTTCGTACGAATTTCCATACGGCACTTGCGTGATGGATAGGCACGACCCGCACCTTCCTGCGCCAGCCGAGAACATGATTCAAGGAAACTGGACATTGATGATGATGCACTTATGGATCTGGCGTGGAATGACAAAACTTTTGGGGAAAGGGAAGCAACCCACAATGGAACATTGTCTTTATTTCTTTCCCTCTTCGATTCTTGACCCAGTTGCTGTGGCGATCTTCTCGAGCCTTCACTCGAGGACTCGAGGTGCGGTCTGCCAGACCATCGAGGTACACTGTTCGTGTCTTTTAGCTCTTTGTACCTACGGTTTTCTTCGACTTGATTTTCGGGTTAGGGAGGCTGCTGAACGGGAATCGATTTCATGGTTTTGTAAATGCTTCTCGGACGTTTTGGTCGCGGCGGTGATGTTGAAGTCGAAGCTGGTCTTTGACGATGCCTTCTGTTTGTGTGTTTGCTGTCTTTTCCCTTGATGTGCCGTAACCCTTCGGTATTGAATAGGATGACTGCACCCTGCTACCGGCTTCGTTTCGTCAGCTTCCTATGATGTATGATGCGTCGTGTATCGAAAGTGTCGTTGTGTTGGCTGTTGCATGGCGTTTAGACTCGAAACGACAAATCGTGTGCCGCCATCGGGTGTGAAGGATACTATCATGACGGTAAGAGGAGTGTCAAATCAACAAAGAAGAGCGCTTGGCGGGTGTCGGACTGGTAAAAGCTGATCTCCGAAGAGAAGAGCCTTCGATCTGGGGGACATGGCACAGGCCTCAGTTATACCTGAGAGGAGTCGGAGGTTCTCTATTTCAATGGGATGCTTCTCCTATGCGCACCGCCGCTCAATGGCACGTGTGTTTTGTGGTCCATTGCATTGTGAAACGTGTACTGCGGCTCATGGCTGTGTAGTATGGTTCGGACGATTGGAGTGGGGTACCAAGGGTCGGAGGACGTCGTGATTGCCATTAAGCCTGCGGCTTGGTGCTATTGACACAGGTGGGCTTGAAAAAGGAGGGCATAAACATCGGACGAAGACAGGGGGCTCAGGGGACGTTGGCAGGTTTTGTGGGTTTTGGGAGGCTTCGGGGGTCGTTGTCTGACCGTACTAGAGGATAGGGACAAAGTTCTGCATTGCGTGGTGTTGAACATGCTCTTATATCAAGTGCGGTGGATGCTGGCGTTCTGGAAGTTGTTTTCCGACCCATTAGATGCCGCTCTTTTGTCGTGATGTTTGGCAAGGAGAGAAGTGCACCAAAGGTTGCGGATGTGTGTATGATTAGCACCAGAATAACTCCCGTTGTGATCTTGACCGCCGCGTCCCTTTTTGTCCGAGACCTTATACTCTGGAGCTTGGCTTGGCCGGCTGCTCTGTTTTCACTGCTGGGTTTGATACCATGCTTGAGTTTCCGGGTGAAGGATGTGAAGTTGAGGAAGGCTGCCAAATTCCACTGTTGCGTGGCGCATTTGTAGACTATCAGAACCAACGAGAGTCCTCAAATCCACCATGGTCGAGAGCTGTTTTGCTGACGTTGAATAGCTCGGTCTCAGAGTAGGCTCCCGTAGGCCGTATGCCGCGGGTTTCACGAATTTCAATACTTACCTCAATCGCCATTTGTCAGCCGAAGGAAGCTGCAAGCCCCAGCCCCACAAGTCAGTTGAGAGAAAGCGGCAGATGCAGCCATACGGAAGCGCGCGAACATGTGGCACGGAGGAATTAAGGGCGAACGGATTCCCTCCGGTTGGACTATGAGTATCAATCCGGATGTGGCGTTGTGAATCTGGCGGCGCGCGGCGGGGAGCGGGGTGATAATCTCACCGATGCGACGTACGGGCCATGCCGTGTGGCTCTCGAGCGGCGGAAAGCCGCCCCGCGTCAGCGGGTGTTGAAAGGTGCTGGTGAGGATTCGTATTATGGGAAAACAGTATGTCGCCGAAAAAATGGCTTGATAGCTCCTTGTCGATGCTGTTCTACGTTATATTGACGGGGCATTGCTTCGAGTGCTGCCAAATGAATAGAGGCTGGCTCGTGTGGGTCTTCTCTCTCTTTCTGTCTCTCCGTTCTGAAAGCATCTCTTGATCTCCTGCTTTAAAGAGAAACCTGGATACACTTGAGTAATCAGATCAATATGACAGAGACGAAAGACCAGCAGCGAGTTCCCTTGGGGCACATCTACGGCTTCTGGAGGCTCGCAGGGTCACTACCAGGAGACTCGAACTGGCACACGGCGTGGAACTGCGAGCCGCAGATGGAGGCGAACCGTCTTCTGGGGAGGAACACTGCGAGGCAGCATGGAGGATGGGATCGCGAGAGTGAGGAAGTGGGTGACGAACAAGAAGCGATGTAAGTATGCCTCGGATACGCAAGTCATCAACTCTTCCTACGATCCGAACGATAGTGTCTCGACCGAGAACAGTCACCTTCATATAGGGCCTCCCTACTAACCTCACTTCGCAGAAGTCCAAGGATCCGTGCAGAGACGGGTACCTCGAACCATTTCCCCTATCCGGCCATGTCCCTTCCGACGCTTATTCTCGAGTTCGGTTTCCGTATAGGGGTGCGATTCGCGCCGAAGATAACAGAGACCATGGTCCAAGGTGAAAAGACGGTCGAAGTGTCGAGGGAAGCCTGCGGTTCTTGGTCTGGGGCCCTGGGTTCGGGGATTGTCGTGGTGGGTGTACCTCTCATAGCAACGTAGACTATACACTGACAAGTGCGAAGTCAGGTGGCCACGACCTGAACAGGACGAACCTCGAGACACGGACGATTCATAAAATCACCACTGCGTTCAAGTTACAGACCAGTGAAGAAGAACCCGCCATGTAAGCGAAGGAACTCCTGGTTCTCGTCATTCACACAGCTGATCGTCCGTCTTGGACAGTCTTGAGATGGGAACTAGAGGAATTTTATGCGGCCCGCCGGACGTGCTTCACCAGACCGCTTATCGATCCGATGACGAAGCAAAGATCAATCCGAGGAGTATTACTACCGCATGTTTGTCAACTTGACGACGACGGACGAGCGGTATGTCGAGGAGGTAAGGGGTGTGCTATGGATGGGGACTGGGATGTGGGATCTAGAGGAGCTTGTCATAGAGTGAGTTGTTGACTTCGTTGAAAAAGTATTGTTGCTGACTATGCAGCAGTGTGTATCGCGTTTGTTGAACATGGGATGGATATATCTGGTGGATGGCCGAGGGGTTGGTGAAACGAACTCGTACAGACAAGAAGGCGCGAGACGCCAACTCATCCAAAGGCCCATGTACGGCCTCCGAAGTTCGCGTCAAACAACCCTACTAGAGGTGACCGCTCCTTATGACCCCGATTGCTTTTCATCGGTAGTCATTGCGATACCGGAAAAGCATAATATAGGGCTTCGCGAGCCGCCGCGTTACATGGTCTTGGTACCAATCCTTGGATCCAGAGGGCGAAGAGTGCCATGCCATGCTGGCCGCCGGCGACAGTAAGATTCTGCCCCAGATCCACTTGCCCCGACTTGAGGCAGGGTCCGCATACAGTGTGCTTTCAACAGAGTCCGATGCTATTACTCGCTACCGTGAGAGCGCCCGTCGGATCGAGATAGCGCCGGATCTTGACTGCTAGGCCAGATGGGCTGGACCCGAAGGCCTGGCCGCGGCCACATGGGCGACTTGCCGACATGGGAGCTCATGCAATCTGACCATGCCGGCGGCTCGTACAGCTGCGCGACACGCCGAAGCCCCGGATCGTATGTCTGACTTGAGCGTGGGGTGACCCATGCATGGGTGGTTTGTCCCAGTCGCGTGACTGCTCCGCGAGTTAGTTATGATGCTTCTGCTTCGTAGAATGCTATTTTATTCAATGACTTACACCAGATAAATCCAAGATGCCAGATGGTGGATGTGTTGCCATGTCTCACTGCGACAAACTCCATATCTATCAGCTCGTCAAGCCACCGCCGCGCCAGACAGCGCTGGCATGAAAGCCCTGTGCTTGGCGTGGAGGGCATGGAACACAGCTATTAGTTAGAGATAAGAAGGAGGCCCGAGATCTGGAAAGGCAGATGCGAGAGCCATTTCTCTCATCTTGAGACGTAAAACGTCGAAATATTTTCCCTTCAGGGACTTGGATGAGGGCGGGAGCAGTAAGGTGTGACCCCACGTTGTGGGATGTAAGGATACCGTGCTGGCAGACAGACGTTTAGGGGCCAAGGAAAGAAAAGCTCCACGGCGGGTCAGCGTTCGTCTTGGTTTGTCTTGGAAAAGGCTTTGCAAAAGCTTGACGTATCATTGCCGAAGTCGCTAAAGATTCTCTTCGACGGCGTGGTGGCTCGATGCCACACGCGCGCCAGAGAGAAGATCAGAGTTATGGGTCTTGAATATGCCATTATCATACAACACATTGACATTTGCACATAGTCCAGTCTGTTACCACAACTCGCTGTCATCGTCTTTGACCGGATAGCCAGACAGTTCTGTCACCTCGAGATGAGAACAGAACAAAAAAGTGAAAAGACGAAATCCCTGACACATGCTAAGCTCCTGCGGAGATCTCAATCGGCAATGGCCCGTGCGCGGACCGGGATCGAGGCCCCCGTATCTCCACGCCATCCACACGCATCGCGTTTCCTTATCTTTGTCCCCTGTCGACCTCTGGCTGATAAACACGCACGATTTGCAACATCAACTTAAACTCTGATGTCAAACAGCGACCCGACCTGCCGCTCGAACTAGCGCAAGATACCAGAGGCGACTGGACCGTCACTCCTTATCGTTTCTTGGCCGCCGGCCGTCTCCACCTCAGGTGCCATACCCAACCATCTCTCACTTCTGGACTATGGTCTCAGGAAGTCATCCATCACAAGCTTTACCCGTTCTTTGGGGATCCATCTGTCGAGGCCCAAGGACGGGTTGTACACTACTGCATTCCGTCTACGAGCCCAATCAGACTAGTTGTCGTGTCTTAGATCGAGCCTAGGGCTGGCCTGACCTACTGCTGGCCGTCTAAAGGAGGAGAACCATCCACGCACGCTTGCAGAATCCGAACTGGTCAATCAGCCTTCTGTTTCGCGCTCAAGCCGAGTCAGCAAGGACGTTCCATTATCATCTAGGTTTTCCGCCTCAACAGTGGTCGATGATTGGGCAATGGGCCTGGATGTCACCCCAAAGTGACAGATCTTTTCGTCTCCGTCCAGCTCTTCACACTCTCCTGAATGTCCCAAGATGTTGAGAAGTCTTCAGCAATCGAGTCCTCAGTAAAGGAAGCCATAAAACCACGGCGGCGAACTGCAGCTATTCAACCGCTACTAGCATCCTCGTAGTGAGGTCTCCATCAAAGATACGTCCCACCGTATCAAGGTCCCCTTGACGCTACCCTGAATAAGCATTCCTCTGGGACCCGGGAGGCTGCAGATCCCCTAACGTCTGTCAGATATGGCTCAATGCCATTGGCCCGGGACTTGCACACGGCAGCAACCCGCAACGCCATTTCTATGACTGATTGAATTTCGGCCTTATCTCTGTCCTGCACGCCGCATGCTTTGGGTGGCTGACTCTGCATGCCATTCTGTCTTTCACAAACTTCATCTCAAGTCTCGGGTTTGCGGTACAATGGCAGAGTACTCAATACAACCATGCATGCCGTCGCCCCCCTAGCACCAGCACCCCAGCCACCTTTGCGCCGTGGCACACATCCAAGTGGTTCAGCAGCGGTATCTCCAGGTTTGAGTGGGGGCGGAAGCGTGCCTTTGTATCAACTGGCACATGGGACAGGGCATTCCGGCCAGTTTAGCTCCGATAGCCGTAGGAGAGCAACTCCGTGCTCGACGCTGCCGCCGGCCAGCTATCTACCTGTCTGGGGAACGATGTGCATACATATATATGTCCATGAGCCCAGGCCCGACATGCTGGGATCTTCAAGTCAGGACAGCAGCCGTTTACCTCCGCCATCATACACAGAACCATAGTCTGATTCTCCGACAAATTGGCCCGAGATGGTAACCGCAGCTCTCAACCAGGGCGTCGGCTACGGCATTGTCCTCGGGTTGGGCTTTCTGTTCGCCATTGGCATGGTAGGCCGACCTTAATGCGTTCACTATTGATGCGTCCATGTGTTGATTCGGTGCAGATTGCCACGACCTATGTCCTCAAACGATACAACAGGGAGCTGCAGACTTCTGAGAACTTCACCACAGCAGGCAGAACAGTCAAATCCGGCCTCGTCGGGTCAGCCGTCGTCTCGTCCTGGACGTGGGCCGCCACCCTCCTCCAGTCCTCCGGTGTCTGCTATCGATATGGCGTCTCCGGTCCGTTCTGGTACGCCTCGGGCGCGACTGTCCAGATCCTCCTCTTCGCCACACTCGCCATTGAGCTCAAGCGTAGGGCGCCCAATGCCCACACCTTTCTCGAGGTTATCAAGGCGAGATACGGCACGGCTACGCATCTTGTGTTCATCGTGTTCGGCCTGATGACCAACATTCTGGTTACCCTGATGCTGATCGTGGGAGGTGCGGCGACCGTTAATGCGCTCACTGGCATGTAAGTCACGACAGACCAGACCAGGTTGTGGACAATGTGGAACTGACCTGGATATGTACAGGAACACCGTCGCTGCCATCTACCTCCTGCCCGTTGGTGTCGTCGCCTACACGCTCGTCGGAGGCTTGAAGGCGACCTTCCTCACTGATTGGGTTCACACCTTCATTCTGCTGATCATTATCATCATCTTTTCCTTGACGGCGTATGGCCAATCCGATGTGCTCGGCAGTCCCTCCAAGGTCTACGACCTCCTCGTCGAAGCCGCCCTTAGACACCCCGTGTCAGGCAATGCCGAGGGATCCTACCTGACAATGAAGTCGCAGGGTGGCGTCGAGTTCTTCGTCATCAATATTGGTGAGTACTGTCGAGCCGCTACCTCTGCAGCGATTGCGGTTCTAACATGAACAGTGGGCAACTTTGGTACCGTCTTCCTGGACAACGGATACTACAACAAGGCGATCGCCGCGTCGCCCGTCCACGCCCTTCCCGGCTACATCCTCGGTGGCCTCTCGTGGTTCGCCATCCCCTGGCTGACGGCCACGACCATGGGTCTCTCCGCCCTGGCCCTTGAGAACAGCCCACGCTTCCCGACCTTCCCCGACCGCATGACGGAAGCCGAGGTCTCCGCCGGTCTGGCTCTCCCCTACGCTGCGGTCGCCCTCCTCGGAAAGGGCGGCGCTGCCGCGACGCTGTTGATGATTTTCATGGCCGTCACCTCCGCCTCCTCCGCCGAGCTCATCGCCGTGTCCTCAATCTTCACCTACGATGTCTACCGCACCTACTTCAAGCCCGACGCCAGCGGCAAGCGCTTGATCTACATGTCGCACGTGGTCGTTGTTGTGTACGCCGTCGTCATCAGCTCCGTCTCCGTAGGCCTCTTCTACAATGGCATTTCCATGGGCTACCTTTACCTGCTGATGGGCGTCCTCATCTCCGCCGCCGTGCTCCCCGCCACCCTGACCCTCGTCTGGAAGGGTCAGAACAAGTGGGCCGCGACGCTCTCTCCCATCTTTGGCACCATCTTCGCCATCATCGGCTGGCTCGTCACCGCCAAGAAGACGTGCGGTGTTCTGGACGTCACATGCACGGGCTCCAACAGCCCAATGCTGGCCGGCAACGTCATCGCCCTTCTCTCCCCCCTTGTGTTGATCCCAATCTTCACCTTGGCTTTTGGTCTCGATAAGTACGACTGGAAGTCGATGATGGCGATCCGCAGGGGCGACGATCACGAGCTGGCTAGTGCAGCGGGTCTGGACCTGGAGGAAATTCCCGGCCACCACGAGTCACAGGCAGAATTCGAGCGAGAGCAGGCGATGCTGTCCCGCGCCTTCAAGATCTCTGTCTCCATGACTGCGTTCATGTAAGTGCCATACCCTGATTGTCTTTTCGTTTAGAGGGATGTTAACAATGGACCAGGACCGTCGCGATGCTCATCCTGTGGCCGATGCCCATGTACGGCTCGGGCTACATCTTCAGCAAGCCCTTCTTCACCGGCTGGGTCGTAGTCGGCATCCTCTGGATCTTCTGCTCCTTCTTCGCCGTCGGCTTGTTCCCCATCTACGAGGGCCGCGCGACGCTCATCCACACCGTCAAGTCGATGGTTTCCGGCAAGAAGCCGACGCGCCACAACACCACCGTCACGCACGGCGAGGAAGAGGTTGCGGAGAAGACGAGCCCCGGCGCCGTCACACCCGAGAAGAAGGACGAGGGCAGGGAGACTGTCTCGTCTTGATTTGGCTTCAACATTGGAGCATACATAAATGGTTAAAAGAGAAAATATGCTGTTTGGAGTTGTGGTTGCACTATACCCTCGTTTACGTATCCAGTGTTCTTCAAGGAAATGATATCCAGGGGAAGGGGATCCAGAGATTTATTGAAAGTAGCAGGAAAAAGTAACATAAAGAGTAATACAGGTCATTTAAACTGGGCATCGACATGAAAACACACTCGACCTGCTGTGCCGTGTACCTCCTTCGACGCAGGTAGCGTAGCTTGCCTATGCAATCCCACTGCAAGATTTGAAGTCACGGCCTGCAAAGCTATTTATCCGACGAAGATAACGCACGCTTGCCAATGGATGTGAATAAGGATGCAAGGTGAGGGATGACGATGACAGTTACAGACTTGGTTGGTCTCGCAACGCCGAGACGGGGTTGGAGGCGACCCCACTTGGAATCCGGCCTTCCTGATCGGGACGCCGTGCCCCAACCTTCAAGGTTCCCACTACAAAACATCAGCTTGTCTCAACTTGAACCTCTTCTTCGCTCCATCGAAACCGCGGTCCCTTTAGCCGCTTCTCATCGATTGACCGTAAATCTCATCAATTGAGGCCTCAACTGTGTAGACGGTAAACAGACATGGTCCGGTTTACGTCCCTGGCGGTCTCCGGACTCGCTCTTTTCACGGGAATCGCATCCGCGGTCGCGACGCAGAAGGACGTCGAGTCGCCCGAGTTCACAACCTTCTCAGTCCCGGAGCACCCGCACCACGCAATTCGCATCAAGGAGCAGAGCGATGAGATTTGCAATGCAGGCTCAAGGCAGTGGACTGGCTGGCTGGACACCGGCGGGAAGCATCTTTTCTTTTGTAAGTGACTGCGTCACCCAGCAATCCCGGTACTACGTTAAGATTACTAAACCATCTTTGATAGGGTATTTCGAGAGTTTGAACGATCCGGAGAAGGACCCTCTCAGTCTCTGGATGACAGGCGGCCCAGGCGGCAGCGGCCTCGTCGGTACGTTGACCTTTTCGCTTTGAGTTGATTGAACGATCTCTTACCTGGAGACCAGGCCTCATGCTGGAATTGGGACCCTGCTTAATCAACGACAACGGCACGGGCACCGTTCACAACCCTTACGCTTGGAACAGCAACTCATCCATGATCTTTGTCGACCAGCCCGCCGGCACGGGGCTCTCATACTTTGACAAGGACGTCATCCCACCCGCGACGTCCTACACGGCCGCCGAGGACATGAACATCTTCCTCCGCATCTTCTACAAGGCCTTCCCGCACCTAGCCACTCTTCCCTTCCACATCGTTGGAGAGAGCTACGGCGGCCACTACATTCCCACCCTTGCTGCCGAAATTGTTCACTACAACACCGAGTCCCCGGCCCCCGACTTCAAGATCCCGCTGGCATCCGTGTTGATTGGTAACGGCTACGTCTCGCCCGCCGACACTACCTGGGGCTTCTACGAGACGCTTTGCACGACGAAGCCCGGCGTCCCGGAGCCTGTCTTCAACTCCAGCAGCTGCGCCAAGATCGCCGCTGCGCTGCCGAGGTGCATGTACCTCCAGGAGGCGTGCTACAAGTACCCGGACACCATCATCTGTGGGGCCGCGGGCAACTTCTGCTTTGAACACATTGACTGGCTCTACTACCAAGATGTCAAGACGGGCGGGCGGAACCCGTTCGACATCACACGGCCGTGCGAGACGGAGAACATCTGCTACGGCATCGGCGAGGGCATCGAGACGTACATCAACTCGGACCGGATCCGGGCCGCGCTCGAGGTCCCCGAGGAGGTCCCCAAGAACTTTAGCCTCATCTCCTTCGAAGTCAACCGCGCCTTCGAGCTCGCGGGAGACACATTCCTGAGCACCGAGGCGCAGGTCAAGTACATTCTCGAGTCGGGCGTCGACGTGCTCATCTACAACGGCGATTTGGACCTCGCATGCAACACGGCGGGCAACGTTCGGTGGACGAACAAGCTGTCGTGGGCCGGGCAGGTCGAGTTCAACGCCAAGGAGCTTGAGCCGTGGTTCGCGGTCAAGGGCGGGAAGAGCGTGCGCGCCGGCAAGTGGAAGCAGGTGACGAAGCCTGCGAGGGGAGGCAGGGAGACCAAGTTTGCCTTTGTGACGGTGGAGGCGTCGGGCCACATGGTGCCGCTGGACCAGCCCGAGGTCGGGTTGCAGATGGTGAGGAACTGGCTTTTTGGGGACTTTGGCAAGGCTGCCAAGGGCGGCGTGGAGGTCACGTTGGCTGGAAACGAGGAGCAGTTTGTGGCTTTGGAGTTGTGAGGAGGCGAGGCGTGATTTGTCGTACTTGATGACTGGAACCACCAGTGGAAGAGGTCGTGGCGAACAGTTATAGTATCCGCACTCTTCAACTTGCCTATTCAAGCAAAGAACAACTCGTATAGACTGGTATAGACCTGACGGGTCTTTTCCGCCAAGACTCACCAGATATCTAGGCCATAGGATAGCATCACATATCTTGAAGGGGCTAAACGCTACCAGCGATAGACCAAATGATCTATAGATAATGATCTAGTTCCGGCAGAAAGCTTGACAAAACCTGCGATGTCTGATGATGGTCTCATGTGCTATCGATCTTTATCGCCGGGTTGACATTGTGTAAACTATCACAGGAGGTGAAACTACGTGACTTTCATGAGTTAACGTTGAAATGCAGTCAACAACATGGCGTGCAGTCGAGTTCGCAACTTGCTGTGTTCCGGCGACCCTGAACACAGAAGCTTGACCCACCCGGTCTCGAGGCGGGTGCAACGCGGGCTGGAGCCCGACCCGGAGACCCGGATGTCACTGGGCACTCCCGCTCAAGCGGTCGCCGAACCCAGTGGCACCCGGTCTTTTGGTTGCATTTCTGGGGGTGATGGACAAGCCAATTAGAAACATATTTCGATACGCAAGCACCTCCTCGATTCATGATGTGGGGAGACTTGGATCCACTGCAAGCTCCAAGACCGGCTCTCGTGATGGTTGGTCGTGATAAGGCGGCATTAGATTGTGAGTGGGAATACGCTGCCGACAACACGAAACGGGCAGAGTAGGTCCATAGCAACTTTGATTGTTCTTCCCCTCCGCTGTCCGATTCTTCGACAAGGCTTGGAGAATACGAGTCGGACAATAGTTGTCCCTTGATGACGAAGTTCCCACTCTTTTGCTGCGTTCAAAACCAAGACGGCCGGATCCCAGAGATTTTCAAATACCGTGCTCCGGACGTTTATCACGACGGGCGCAACGTTGTGGCGCAGATCGAGATTCTTGCAGCATTTGGGACCGGACTGGCCAAAAGGGTTGCTGAGGGATTGCGAAGGAGCGGGATCCTGGTTGATTGAGCGTCACTAGAAACCAGCTTTTCGTCGTTCAACGTCCCGCTTCCCACGAGCCCAAGTTCCCCGTTGGTTCAGTCGTCTAAGAACCATACCGGCATCAGCATGACAATGCGTTTGCTAAGCATCCAATGAACTGGTTCCACATGATGGACAACGCGAAGCGTTCGAACGACCGGGACTCCCTCATCCTAGCATAACCACGTGTGTTTTACAAGAACGTAGCAAAAATCACTTGGGCAGTTGAACGAGCCGCGCTACAGGCTATATTCGAGCTTTGCGTTGGTACCCGAGTGCGGGATGAGACGGCGCTGCGTGTTGGATGGCCAGGGCTGAGCCGAAACTATCATTGCTTTTGAGATCCACCACCGTCACTGCGAGAACCGCGAGCGTAGCTTGTCGTTCGTCACTCTGTACGCTGGTCCGCCGGAGGATGTACTATGTATTGGCGCTTCAGCGCTTGGTTCTCAACCAATCGCTCCAAAGAGCTGATCAGTTCACACTTCACCGATCCCGTGTTGGATTGGACCTGTTTTCGAAATGGCCTGGGCCTACATGCCCCCATGTTCGACCTGCCGGCTCTTGTCAGCTGGAAAGATGACATCAAATGCTCTGGCAAAATGAACAATACCAATCCTCTTCCGCTTCGAGTTGGCAAGAAGTTCGTTTTCAAAAAAAAAAAAAGAGGGGGAAACTTGCTGCCTCGCGCTGGATAAGTGCCGCGAGATCCTTCCGGGATGGCCACGGCACATTACGGCGTCCGCTTCGACCAGGTACATAGCCAAACTGCGCCAATCCACCCAACACTTTGCTCAATTTAATTCTGGAGAGGCTAGACCGTGATCGTTTGCCCCTTCGACCCATCTGGTCTTGGCCTTTGGGAGTCGGTCCCATGCGCTCGGGGCCGCACGGGTGTCTGCCTACTCATCCCATCTTCACCCCGGACGGCCGGCCATCCGTGAATCTAGGGCCGCCGTCTGCCACGGCGGCAGCCGCGGCGACCACGCGACCGCGTCAACGTTGATCGGCACTAGCACACACCGGAACGTCGTGGTACCGAGCTGTGCGTTCAAGCCCTCGGCGATGCAATTACTGCAGCGGCATGGACAATGGTGGCACCTACTTGGTCGTCCTCCAACAACAGCTGCATGTCGACGAGCCACAATGAGCAGGAGACGGCATGTTTGTCGCTGAGCTGAATGATGGCCAAGGTGGACGAAAAGAGCGTCCGCGGCATCATCACAGTCACAGGCTGTCCCTACCCGCTGTCGACACGCCGCGCTCGGCGGCGACAGGCAGAGAATGGCAACTCCCTGAACGGCAACGACGTGCGCTTGGCGCCGTTTTCTTGTCAGTGCTGCGCAACGGCTCCGTCTTCCCACCACCGGCAGTGGGCACTTTACGCAGCAGCATGGGCCCCATGCAGGTCGCCGACCTCGGAACTCGCCGCGCCGGTTCCGTTGGAGTTGTTGGTTGATCGTAATAACGACAGCGAACGCCGATCTGTGACGGCGATGGGCCGGCCTATAAACCGTCAGAAGACGATGGGCATGGGCCCTTCAGATGACGAAACAGTAGGTTGGTGGGCAACACCTAGTCCGGTATGTGTAACTTGGCTTTCGCAAAATGAATTAGGATTTTTTTTTGTTTTTTATTACAGACAAAATGGCGTTTGGGGTATGGCGTCTTGTTTCTTGCTCGAGAGTATTCAATCTTTTGGGCTTCACGACGATTTCCGATATGCCATATTTGCGTCTTGCTCTGGCTAGCGACCAATCGAATCAGTGAGCGGACCATCTCGTTGCACTACGCCATGTTTGCGGTTCCCGAGCCGGATCGGTAACATCCATTGGAGTCGAACTGCTAGTAGTGCCGCTCACCCATGTCATTAGCGAATCCAGGCACCGACAAAACGCCGTCGACATGCGCCTTGCTGGGCTGTCGAGGAACGTGGCTGAGCCCACCACCAAAAGCTTCATTCTGGATCGTGTACCCAGCACCTCTCGCCGTGCCGGCCAGCCCCTCGATATGAGGTGCCTTGGACTTGCTCCGTCCGTGTCCGAGAAAACTTCAACGTCTCGATATTCGTAGCGACGACGCCGTCTCCAGACTGCAAGCCCACCATGAACACCACTACCATCATCATCATCATCTCGATGGCGGCCTAGAAAACAAAAATTGAACAACTCGTTGTTCCCGCGACAACCTATGACTGCCCTGCACCGTATACCAGAGACCAAAGAGTCCAGGATCCCCGGATCAGACTATAGCCCATACCCGTTCGCTATCCGCAAGCGCGAACCGCCAGATGCTCCAGGAGTCTATTGCTGTCCGCTTCGAATCCGCCCAACTGGGAAAAGGAAACGGCTAGATCCCTTCAATTTGCTAGCCACGCTAAACGGCTTGGAGCCAATTGGGTGTCCTGGACGGAAGAGCTAGCTGCTTCGCTTGGAATTGCTTGGGGGAGACGACCCCCGATCGCCTCACACTCTGATGGTCTCAGCCACGCCCCCCACGAGTTGAAGGTCTGCTCTCTCGCTGCTTCACAACGCGTGGTATGCCTGAACGGAGCAGCAATACTGCCGCCAGCGGTCGCAGCAAAAGGCTGCCACAGACAGCAAGGTGGTTCAGGCTTCCGTCGCAGCTCAAGACACCATGGCACACGAGCGGATGTATCCACACCCGTAAGCTGGACCCCTGGCTCGTCACCCCTGCCGAAGGATCGCGACTGCATCGAAGAGACTCCGCAGCACCGCTCAGCGCCTGCGCGACGATGGGGATTTGCTTGGCCGCAATTTGAGCCTGCTCCCTCATTCCCCCTTCTTTCTAGCGTCGCCTCCCATTTTTATGGTTTTTTTCTTGCTGCCTGCATTACCTGAGAGATAGTTGGCCCCCCTCCCCTCCTTAGGCCCTCACAACCCCAGCTGGCTGGCCAGATCCCTCTCTTTTTCGTCTCGCGCGACGGGACACCAGGCATGGGGCTCATCGGCCGAGGTGTTGGATTGAGACCGCCTGACTGGCCAGCGCGGACTCGACGGGGGCCCCAGAGGGCGTGAGCTGGAAGGATCCTGTCAAAAAGCAGACTGCTTCCCTTGTTCCCTGCTGATCGTCTTCCGATTCCTCTCTTTTCCTCTCCTTTGCTCATTCTACATCGCATTGGCAGCTCGAGTCGTCGGCGTGGCTTGTTGCGAATAGCCTCCTCGTTGTAGGATTTCTTGGCCTTGTAGTGTCATCCTATATCTCAATACCAAACAAGTCTCTTACGCGCACGTCTCATTCCTGCTAACCCATCGCCCACTACTAAACGGGCCCTGGGCTCTCGCTCTCACCCTCCTTTACCGCCTACGCACACATACGCATACACACACACTCAAAGATGACGTCCTCAACAAAAACGACGTTCATCGCGTCGACCTTTCCGGAAAACCCGCTCCCGACCGCCGACTTCTCACCGCCTGCGTCTTCATGCTCCGGCATCTACCTCACAAACAACGTCTACGCCATCGACAACGACCTCAAATGCCTGCCCAGCAAGTTCAACGGCGCCAGCACCGCGTTCTACTCCCCCGGCACCGCCTGCCCGACGGGCTACACCGCCCAGCCGCAGTGCTCGCGTAACGGCGGCGTCCGCTCCGTCACGACCGTTACCTGCTGCCCCTACCGCGGCGACATGACGCTGTCTTGCGTCGAGGATGACATGACGCTTGCGGGCGTTTGGGAGACGCAGTTCTGCACATGGATGGCCGGCCCTGCCACCGTCGTCGACATTACATGGACGGACGACGACGCTGTGGGTACCCAGGCCGTGACGATGAAGAACCGAGATGGTGTGAATGCGTGGGGTATCAGGATGGTGTACCAGGCGAGCGACCTCGTGCCGAAGACGACGTCGGCAGCGACCACTGCACCGACGCTGACGGAGACGGCTGAGACGGGGAGCAGCGCGACGGCCGCCGCAACTGCGGCCGAGACGGGAACCGCAGCGGGAGCGAGTAGCACCAGCACTAGCAGCAGCGGTGTAAGCAAGGGTTTATCGACAGGCGGCATCATCGGCGTGGCGGTCGCCGTACCACTCGTCCTGATCGCGGCGCTCGTGGGCTTGTTCTTGTGGTGGAGGCGGCGGAAGCACCGATACGCGGGCGTGAAGCCCGTCGACACGACGCCGACGGCGCCCGAGATGGACGGGCAATCGTCCGTGGGCGGCGAGCAGAGCGCGTATGCGTACCAGAACCAGCAGTACGCGCAGCACCCGCAACAGCCGCCGCCGGTGCAGGAAATGACGGGGACGGATGTTGCGGGGTACTACAACAACGACAAGGTGCTGATGAACCCGGGGATGGCGGCGGGTCATACGCAGTTCAAGGGGTGGACGCAACCGACGCAGGTGGCTGAGCTGGGGACCGGAGAGGGGCCGACGGAGCTGCCTGCGGACAACAGCCGGACGTAGCTGGAGGGACGCTGGGTGGTTGAATGATGAGAGACGGAATGTGAGATGCCGAGGATGGAGGAGGTGTAATGAAGAGGGAATGCTTGGAGTTGGATATATCACTGCCGCGGGGGTTTCGTTTCATACCAGCGTGAGGGCGTTACGATGCCCATTTTCATGGAGAGGCGTAGTGGGAGCACGATGAGCTGCCGATGCGGCCTACCTATTTGCGATATTCATGGAAAATCCTGATTTAAAGCGTACAAATTTAAACAAATAAAGATACCTGTCAAATGCGTTACTACACTTCACTGCCGGTGACCTCGAGGACGCAGAAAGGTTGTAGCTGGATCGGGGACCATCTCCCGTTAATGAAGGAGCCTGCGGCAATGTTTTTTATGAGGAAAATCCAGAGCTGATGTGAAGCCATGAAATATGATGAGCCGTGCCAGAAAGCAAGTCGGTCCATTGCCGGCTTCGTCGGCGGACACATGGCCCGATCAAGCGCCGTGCGTCTGGCACCCGGCGACAAAGTCCCCCCGACCGATGGCCGATGACTCCTCGGCGAGCAGCCCGGAAACAGTGGAGCTCACACCGCCTGCAGTTTCTGGCCCAGGACAATTACCCCGCCACCCCGCCATCCAAGCTGCAAAAAATTCAATCTTGCTGCGCGCCATCCTGCTTATCAAGCACGCAGAACCTCCTTCGACAATTAATAAGGCAGTCTCTCGGCTTCTGCTCCTACATAATACGACACGATACCCAGCGGTCCTTTTCGACGTCATACAAGCCACCTCATACAAAAGACAATCGAGCAGGCGCATCACCCGAAGAAGTGCGAAACCACCTGCGCCAGGAAGTCGAACAAAAGAGGAAGAACAAACTCTACCTACAGAAAACCCCCCCAAAGAGACGACAAGACGAAATGTCCGCCCCCAAGGACAACACCCCCCGCGATGACGGCCACGAGTCGGAGCCCGAGATGCTCGAGGCCGACGACGTCGGCGAGGAGGTCAACGTCGACGAGGAGGACGTGCCCATGGACTCGGACGACGAGAACGAGGAGATCAACCTGCAGAACGACTCGGTCGCCTACTTCGACGCCCACAAAGACTCCGTCTTCACCATTGCCCAGCACCCCATCCACCCGACGCTGATCGCCACCGGCGGCTCCGAGGGCGACACCGACGACGCCCCCGGCAAGGGCTACCTCGTCTCCACCGCGGCCGCCGCCTCCCGCCCCGTCCTGCCCGCCTCCTACTCGGGCGACGCCTCGCAGCAGCAGAGCACCGCCCTCGACAGCATCTACGCCATCGACGGCCACACCGACTCCATCAACGCCCTCGCCTTCACCCTGCCGCGCGGCGACTTCCTCGTCAGCGGCGGCATGGACGGCAAGCTGCGCGTGCACGCGCTGCGCGTCAACTCCCCGACCGCCGAGGCCGCCAGCGTGCAGATCAAGTTCATCGCCGAGGCCCAGGAGGTGCCCGAGATCAACTGGATCGCGCCCTGCCCGTCGCCGCAGTACCCCAACACCATCGCCATCGGCGCCAGCGACAACTCGGTCTGGGTCTACACCATTGACATTGCGGCCGGCGGCGGCGACCCGGCCAACGCGCTGCAGCTCGTGCAGACGTACTGGCTGCACCAGGCCCCCGTCACGGCCGGCGCCTGGACCCCCGACGGCAACCTGCTGTGCACCGTCGCCGAGGACTCGAGCCTGTACGTGTGGGACGTCTGGGGCGAGGCGGCGGCCAAGGGGCTGGTGGAGAGCAACGGGCAGACGACGGTGAGCATGACGGCCGAGGACCAGCGGTTCGAGGTCGAGGGCGGGCTGTACAGCGTCGCCGTCGACCCCAAGGGCGCGCTGGTGGCCGTCGGAGGCGCGGGCGGCGCCATCCGGATCGTCAGCCTGCCGAGGTTGGCGAGCAGCGCGCAGCCGGGCAAGGGCGGCAAGAGCAAGTCGAACGCGGACGTGGCGGCCGGCGGACAGATCCTCGCGGCGCTGCAGACGGCGTCGGACAGCATCGAGGCGCTCAGCTTCACGACGGCGTCGGGCGGTCCGGGCCAGGTCTCCACGCTGCTGGCGGCGGGTTCCGTGGACGGCAGCGTCACGGTGTTTGACGCGGGCCGGAGGTTCGCCGTGCGCAGGAGCCTGCCCGGCGCGCACGAGGAGTTCAGCGTCGTCAAGGTGGAGTTTGTCAAGAACAGCTGGCTGCTGACGACGTGCGGCATGGACGGCGTCGTGAGGCGGTGGGACCTGCGGGCGCAGGACTCGGGCCTGGTGAAGGAGTGGAGGGGACACCGCGGCGACGGCGAGGGCGGCGGCGTGCTGGGCTTCGTGCAGGGCGAGACGGGCGAGAGGGTCGTCACCGCCGGTGACGATGGTGTCGTTTTGGTCTTTGAGGCCTGAAATGCATAGGGTTTGGTCTTGGGGGTTTGCCTGCGTTTCTTGATATGATGATGAAGAAGGGATAGATAAAAACAGGGATGGTGGTTTTGCTTCAGCCGCGGCGAAGTCGCGGCCTGGATGATAGTCATGGATCATGGACCATGAAGTCCTCATGAATCGGAGTTTCGCATATTACTAGTAACTTGGTTTCTTCCGCGTGTTTGGCGATCTTTCATGTTCAAGTCTTTGTGCGTACAATGGGAGTTCTGTTGGTATGTTACAGAAGCCTAGCGAAGCCCACGGGAACCGACCAAGACATCCTAGACACCTTTGAGTTCATCCCAACACTGAGGAGCTTAGAGCCGCAGGCCGTTTCCGTCGGACGCTACTGTTGCATTGTTATTTACTCTGCCTCTGGTCCCATCACACGACCCACGCGACTTCTACATTGAATCGCCAACTCTTTACACGAAATCGATCCGTCCTCATACGCTACGGATGCCTTTGACATGGACGGTTTGAGAGGCGATCAGGTGCTCGGCCTCATTCTCATGTTCTGCGGGATCTGGGAGTTCCCGCGGACCTGCTTCTTCCTGGCTCGCTCCTGGTTGTCGTGGGAATCGGTCGTTTGTTGTGAGTGTCGTTAGATCGCATGGCGCGTGGGTGGTGTCATGACTGATGATCTAGTGTACGCCTTGCTTGGGATATACCCATTTCTCGATTATATCATCGGTCCGATGGCACGAGATTGCCTTTTCGAGACCTGGCGACATTAATTGATGGACACTCCGTCGAGCTAATGTTGATTCGCCACAGACGAGTGAACACTTGTACATAACGAAAACAATGCAAGTGTTCCTTGGCATTGACGGGAAAGTGCAGCACGCTTCGAGTATCACACATTACACTGTCAAGCGAGCAATGGAGCACATTCATCACATAGCGCCACGCGAAGGTTTCTTTGACAGTTTATTCATATCTCATTAGGCTACTTCGTCGTAGTCACCACCAGACGACGAATCGTCAAGTCTTGATGGCCCATAATCTTCCTCTCCCCGTCTTCGCATCGTGTTATCGTGCGTTCTGTATCGTACATATCGATCTTAGTTGGTGCTGCCCCTGCCGCCCTGGCCAGCGTCGGGGCCCTGGGCAAGACCCTGGCTCTGGCCGCCGCTGGCGGGCAGGCCCTCAATGGCGAGACCCTTTTCACCCTCGGGGAGGGGCGCGGTTTTGTCGGCGCGGTTGACGTGGGGGTCCTGGGCATTTATTAGCATTTTGGAGCTGGATCCCAGCAGAGGATGGAAAAGCTCACCTTGACCTCACCGGCCCCGTGAATGATGTTGTGGCCGGTCTCAATGGCGTTGTGAGAGTGTCCAGATCCGTCGCGAGGCATGATGATTGATTTGTGTGGTTTATTGGTGGGAAAAGATTTGGGGTTTTGTGATGAAGCTGATCTTGTAGATGGTTCGTTTCTGGTTGTTGTTGATGTAGTGAAGAGGGAAGCCAGAGACAATTCTTAAGCGGCCGACAAGAGCTCCTTTAAAGAAGGATTCTCGACGGTCGAGAGCTTGCAGAGGGGCAAAAGAAGCTCTGAGTTCGATTTGACGTCACACGTTCGTACCTGGCGCAAAGCTCTTACCTTACTACGTAGGTAAGTAGAACTCACTGGGAAGCTCAGCTCTCAAAGGCGCCCATGTCCCGCCCCAACGTCATGATGTGGGGCATGATGCTTCCCGCCCACACCGGATCGCAGATCGGCGCCGTCCCGAAGCCCGCAGCGTCACCTTGCCCACCGCTGATTGCCCACTGCAGAGGCGGTCGGAGGAAAGGTCCCGCGTCGCGTGCTCAGGTACCTACATCGAAGGCAATTGACGACACCTTAGGTTGGCTGCTCCATTCTGTCACGGACCGATGTTTGAGGCGCCCAGAGCTTCTAGAATCAATTCGATCTCGATGCCCTTGGATCTTTCACCCCCTCTTCCCAAACACATGTGGTTTCTCCCCACTCCGCCCGGGTCAGCACACGACCTCTGGATGATGACGACAATTCGATTGCAATGGTCGGTGCTTGCGCCATGACGATGTTCTGCCAAGTTCGACTTCGACACTTTGCGATCAACTCGGTGGAAACACATCCACGATGCCGACCAGCTCGACGAGCCGTTACAGACTCTTGAAGATGATTGAGTACGACGAGGCACGAGACCACTGCGCCTCGCGGTTCTCGCGCTTTCTTGTCGATCCCTTGCATGATTGGACCGGTCGCTCATAACAGCATCATGTCAATACCTTGCTGATGGCATCGCAGCACCACTTTCTGTCATCGCCCAAGGCTGTTGTCGGCTTGGAAGGACTTTGTCGTGACGACCCGATGAAATCGCATCCAAATCTATGGCAGTATGGTATGCGCAGCTAAGTCTCCAGGCGGCCTGCTATTGGTGGCGCATTTTGGCTCATAGTGTTGGATAGGAGTCTGCATGCAATGCGACTCGGTTCCGCTTCTCCAGCACGAGCCGGAACACTCTAGCGAAAACGAAGGCTTGACCCCGAGCTCCAGCTTCCACTCATTCGACGGGCCCCGTTTGACGAGTCACGACACCGCGTCGTTTGCGCCGTGGCCAGACCCTGCCCTGAGGAGAGGACTCAACTTTTCCGTGCTGGCCGAGGCCGCAGGGGCCAAACATCAAAGTGCCCCAGATGTGCCTCGGGCATGCTTCGTTTCGACAACATCACTCTGCGCTTCGCGGATCGGGGCAAACATGTTGGAGATGAACATCATTTATTATTATTCTAACACAGCTCTGAGCACCCTTAGCTGCTGCTGGTGGCGATGAGCTGGGACAGCCCCAGGACCTGAGCCGTGGTGATCTCCGTGTCCGACGTCTTCCATCCCTCGGCGAACGGCAGACGCTCCTCCTCGAAGACGACCCGCAGCCACGACAGCGGCGCAGCAGGCGCGCTGTAGCTTTGGCCGATGGTGCCGAGGATGACGGCGGACTCGCCCAAAGACACGGTGACCTGGTTCGCGGCCAGGTTGAACGACGGGTTCGTCGCCTTGGCTGTGGCAATGCGCTTGCTTCGCGCCGCCGCCATGATCTTGTAGTCCACCGTGGCATCGGCCGACGTGCCGTCCTCGACGTACCCCAGGTACCCCCTGGTCTCGGCCCAGACGGTCTCGTTGAAGGTCTTTGCGTCGCCCGTCACGGCGAAGTCGGCGCGCGACAGGCTGCCGTCGTGCTCGATGACGTTGTGCTTGGCAATGTCGTCCAGGTTGAAGGTGTTGGGGTTGCCCGTGGTCGAGGTGGCGAAGGCGGGCGTGCCGAGGGTGCGCACGAGGCTCTCGTTGAAGTGCAGCGCGGAGCCGAGGCCGTCGATGAGGTTCTGCATGCTGATCTCCTTGCCGTCGCGGGCGAGGTAGCCGTGGTTGGCCAGGGAGTTGAGCATCGGGCAGGGGCCGCGGACGGCGGAGCCGTCGGGGGCCATCCACGGGTGAGGCGCGCCGGCGGCGTTGACGTTGGCGGCCATGCCGGCGGTTGCTGCGATGACTGCTGATGCGCGCATCTTGATGGAGGGACAGAGGCTCGGAAACGAGATGTATGAGCCGGACTGGTGATGCTCGAAACGAGAGTGATGGCCTTACTGTGCCGGTCTGTTCAAAACGAAAGTAGGAGTGGTGAGCAAGAGAGCACTTCGAGAACAGAGAGGCAACGATCAAGGTATTTAATACACTCTTTTCCACCGGAATCTATAAACAAACACACGAAGTACAGGGTTGGGCCTCTCGTCAAGAAAGGGGGTCTCTTGTACACTATAAAGTTGTCCCAGCCGCGGCCCCAATCACACGGCGATGCCGACCTGCCCCTCCTAAGCCCCGGCGGGAGGCCGGGCTCTCCCACGCACTCCGCGCATCGCACGCCGAGGCAACCTGTATGAATGGACAGCGAGGCTATTCTAATGGAGCGAGGAAACCCGCACCTCGGCTGACGACCCTGGCTATAAAGGCCCGGTATATGTTCATCCCTTGTTCGCCGTGGCACTGGTCGGCCCACGGAGGCCACAATGCTGACATTTCCGAGGCCGTCATTGGGTTGTGGAGCAAGTGACCCTTTTTAAACAACTATAACTAAGTTTGCAAGGAAACGTTGGGAATACGACCTGTCGTCTTGGCCGGCGTTTGGATAGGTTGCGAGGGATATCCCAAGAGGTGCAATATGGAGTTTTCCGAACGAGCATACGGTTAATTCAGAACTTATGCAGGAGGGGCGGGATGTGGGTCGCCAGGAAAAAGTATGCTAGCCGCCGACCCTCTGTGATCCATAAGCCCCATTTTCTGCGTATTCTTCAACAACAACCAGTAAAGCGCCTTGTTGGCTAAGTGGTATAGCGTCTCACTAGTATTCTAGTGTCATGAGAAGATCGGCGGTTCGATTCCGCCACGAGGCATTTCTTTTGCTGGTCACCCTTTTTGGACTTGCATACCTTGGTTAGATGAGTGAACAATGGACGTAGTAGGTATTCATGTAGTCTCGTGCAACATTTCTATAAGTCTCTAAATATGCCATGTATTTCACCGCATAGCACCACAGCTGCCGCAGCCGCCCTCTCCTCCACAACCGCCGCCGCACCCGCTCCCGCACCCGGCAGCCCCCTCGACCGGAGGACAGCAGCTCTCCGGGTGCTCGCCGCAGTCGCCGCACCTGGGGAACGCGAGGTCGGCCAGCGGCAGCACGCCGCGGACCGTCTCCTCGTCCCGTAATCTTTGCTCCAAAACTCTCGCGTCGACGCCCGCGCGCCCGCCCTCGCAGGTCCAGCACAGACACGCGTGGTAGCTCTCGCCGAACGCGCTCGCCCAGAGACCCTGCATGTCGCCCGCCAGCTCGCCCAGCCTCTCGTCCTCGATCTCGTCGTCGTGGTCCACGAGCTTGCCCGTCGTCCGCTTCGAGTAGGCGAGGTACCGCGCGGGGGACAGCTGGTGGGTGTGCCAGACGAGGTCGATGTCGAGCGTCGGCACCATGACGGTGCGCGGGTGCGCGGCGATGAGCTGAAAGAAGCGCGCGTACCTGGTCTGGGACTGGGTGAGGGTTGATGCGAGGGCCGGGCTGCGGAGCCAGGCGTGGCGGGCCATCTTGACGGAGAAGGAGAGTTGGCGCTGGATCGCGGCGGCCAGAGGGTAGGTGAAGAGGGGGGTCCCGGTCTCGGAGCGGTGGGTGAAGACGCCCGTGTGGGCCGAGGTGAGAGAGTCGAGGTCGATGTTGGGGATTGTTGAGTTTGACTGCGGCGGTGATCAGCACGACGTTGCACATATCACTTTGGCTCTGCCCGAGGTTGAGGCTTGACTCACGATCTCAGACCATTTCATCCCGTCCAGGCCAAGCCTTCCGCCGAGCTCGATGAAGCGTGCATACGCCTTGGGGTGCAGCATCAGGGCATGCCATGCCATGAGCACGTCGACTGAGGGCATCCGCTCAGTCGGCCTCTGAGCGCTGGTGCTCCATTCCTCGAAGCGGGCGACCGCGCGGTTGCAGTACAGGTCCCACGCGTGCTCGGGAGCGAGGCCTGCATCAGCGGCGAGGAGCTGGACGGTGCCGTGGAGGGTCACAAAGGTCTCGAGGAGCTGGAGATGAGCGGCGCACTCTGCGGTGGAGGGCAGCTCGCGGGATGTGGTGGTTTGCGGCTGTGCTACAAGGTCCAGCTTGGAGGCTTGTCGGAGCTCGACTGAAGGGGTCCTGTTCAGTTGTGTTAATCAAGGTCTATGAGAGTTTGGTAGGGGCATCTACGGACTGGTTAGAAAGGATGGCTGGCATGTTGGCGGTGGTAGGATCCGGTCCTAAAGATGGCTGAGGTACGTGATGTAGATTCGCAAGTATTCAAGAGTCTATTAGCACTCGATTGGCTTTAGATATTTCACAGGACGCAAATGAGATGAAGACGAAGCTGTCACTTCAACACGCACAACCAAAGGGGGACAACTGTTCTTCTTATCAGCACGGCACCTAACAGGGGGAGCTTTATCTCGCTGCATCGTCGCACATGACAAGCAACAGCCCTGTGACCAGCCGCCGCGAATCCCAAAACGGCATGGAGGTGAGCAGGTTTCAGGACGCCAGCGCGAGACGGACCGGCGGTGAGAAGACGTGATTGGCGCAGGCTCCCAACGGGCCCGACTCAGGCGGCACACTTTGGGCGACGGGAAACGCGGGGGGAAACTCGCGCATACCCACAGTTGTTTTGCTGTCTTCCATGCGGGTGTGTTGCGACGTGCCGCCGTGTTTGGCGGCTGGGTCGGAAACGGTAGCGGTGGCTCGGCCCCGCTGGCGCTGTTGGTTCAAGCGTTTGTGGAGGACCCTTGGATTCGTCCCTTTAGCGGACTTTTCCGACCGGGGCTGGCATTGGGGGACAGAGGGGTTAAGGATTTCGGGGGCGGCGTTACCAACTTATCATACCTTGAGTGAGAATGTAGATAAAAAGAGCGCCCCTTCTCCGTAACAAATCAGTCGCCAAGGTCCAGCCAGATGAGGACGGACGCTGCTGTTGGTTTCACAAGCAAACATTCCTAGTCCCCAACCTCTCGACCCTCTCACGAACCAGCCTGCTCGAAGAAACACCACAGCCTGGCCTTGACACCCTTTCATTCCGCTCACGGACGATGGTCTCCTTCCTGCATGAGCCACAGCACATCAGCTGTTCCCCACCTACATAGTCAATCGCGATGAGAACTGTATCCCAGAAATGCTCTTTGCCGTTTCTGTGTCGTAGGGATTACCGGGAATGGGTTTGGGCAGAGCCGAGCGATGCAACGCAACCAAGCCCAGAGCACCAAGCGCGGTTCCAAGAGCTGCGCATCCATCGAAAATGCCGGAGGCAAGCCCCAAGAATTGAAGAATGGTCGCCATTGGGAACTCGGGTGTGGACCCAGCAGCCCAGTATTAAAAGTGAATTGGTGGAATGAAAACACAATGCGTCAAGATGAGAGAAGATGCAAAGTTCTGTCCTCGGGAGATGGGAATGCTAGAAGGAGCACATCGCTCCAATTCATCAAACCATGTAAACGGGCTCCATGTCGGGGCAATCTTAGTACGCCGTCAACGGAACTGGTCTACCTTTTCCAAAGGTCCGGCGCCAATGAATGGTTTTATCGTACATTCTTCGAGAGCAGTGGAAGCTGCAGGGGACAGACTGGTGTTTGATTGCTTCCGTCTTTAACCAAGAATCTAAGAAACTGGATGGTACAAGGAAAACGATAACGTTAGGGAGCTGTTACGCCAATGGTTTAATGTATTGGGGGTGCAGGGCATGTCAGAGGGAACTTGACCCATGGGACACCGTGCAGTTAATGTTGAAGAAACGACGATTACGCTATGACAATGTGTTCGGGGAGACCGGTGTTGTCCTTTGATGCGACTCATCTGTTTGCCCTAATTAAGTGTCCCCAAAGAGAAAAAAAGAAGGAAAAACCACGATGCATACACTCTATAACATCCATTCGCTACTAGCCTAGAACAACAAGCCATTGCTTCGATAGTCTATAGGTCCTTGTAGTCCGTTGCGCTAGCAGCTTTGGCAATTAATGAACACGTCTATATGTAAGGGCATAATAAACCATTATGGTTTTAGGCTACCTTTCTACTTGTGGGATTAGAAATTTATATCTAAACTAACATCCAACTACTTTACTAACCCTTAAGAAATTCACTAAATTAACTACTAACATAATACTACTTAGATTCCATATAGAGTGGCCGTACTGATAGCGTTAGTAACTCTTTAGCCTCATTGCTAAATTTTACTCAGTCACTGGTGATTACTAGATGCAGTCTGACGGCTCGGTAAAGGTGGAAAGCGAAATCACGCAGAGTCCGATAGCGGGGAATGTGAGTCCTATGCTTGGGGACGAGGGTTATAGGTATCATGAAGGACGGCAAGGGGGCTACGTTTCCGGGAGGTAGCACCTGGAGGTGATGGGAGCTAGGGTTGAAGAATAGTCGAGGTGGTGTTGGTGTTCGTGTCCACGATCGAAGGCATACCGATCGATAATCTCCAGGTCGGGGGTGAGGACTACGAGGTTTCCATTGAGAACTTGTCAGTTTCTCTGGTAGACTGCACTCTTGCTATGCTATGCTATTCTATGCTATGCTATCCGTCCCATGCTCGAGAGAAACCTCCCAATAACCACTGTAAAACGCAATTCCTTGTTCATCAACCCGGCTAGAGAGGCTCCAGGCCACAGCTCGCGCCGGCGCAGCTTGGCTTTCAAATCCTCATATTGCGATACCAGCCAACCTTCCACACACTTCCTGTGCCCCAGATCAACGTTCTGCCGTCCATCACTTCGGAGGGCGCCTGGCCGGGGTATGGTCGAGCCCGATTCCCGCGAACTTTCCCCGTTATTCTCTAAAGCTTCACGCCTCTGACGCTCTAGGCCTAGTCGGAATCGCCATCTGAGCCGTATCCCTCAAAGCCGCTGTCAGAGACAGAGAGATGGCCGTCCTTAGCAGCATCGTCAATTTCCTGGTCGTTGAGTTCGAGGTTGACTCCCTCATTCTCGACAGGCGAGGCAGGGCCGGAGTAAGCGTCGACATCAGTACGCTCGAGGTGAAGGGGGCCACCATTCTGGTGCTCTTGCTGGGTCTCGTCACCATCATGGATACGCTCATCTCCAGGACGGCGGTTCTCTGCCTGGAGAAACTCGACGAGCTTTGTCAGCTCATCGATACGAGCCTGAAGGAGGACAATCTCGGTCTGATCCAGGTCCTCGAGTTCCTCAAGGTGCTTGATCCTGGCCTGCGCCTGCGCCAGTGCCTCTTTGAGTAGGCAGATCTCGGTTTGGTCGAGGTCGGCCATAGTGGCAAGCGGGTTGGGGAGATCGGCAGCCATACTGAGAAGGGTGTATGATTGAAATGGGTATGGTATTTTGGTGCCGGATGAATCTCTTGAATGAGGGGGTCCGGCCGCCTCTTGATGATGTAGAATACGGGGTTTCTTTCTGTACTCGGAGGAGGCTTGTACAAAGGGTCTTGGAGAACTTGATCTTTTGCAAAAGAGGTGATATGAAATTCGGCTTTGGGAGTGAGATGTTAGTGAGAGGGCTTGAAAAAAGGAACGTGTCTCCCTTTATATGTCCATTCAGACAGGAACCGGGTCACTGAGCCGGGGCTAGCTTGAACGCGCTGAATCGCCGTAGACCAAGATGTTGTAGACGATTCAGTGTCAAGCCAGATGGTGTCAAAGCCCACGATCAACTACCGTTGACTGCGACAACGGTTGGTGGCTTTTGGTGAATAAGGTACAAATCAGAGGAGGGAAGGTACCTGCCTAATAAGAAATTCAGACGAAAATATGATTAAATTCCGGTCCGCCCTGCTGATTGTGGAGTGATTTGAAACGAAATGAACTTGTTGTCAGGTAGTTCAAACTTGGAACGGCAACTTGAGGTTGAAAAAGAGTGCCAACGTCTGATGGTGACGATGATCTCAAAATTGAACTCGGTTATTGAGCTTTTGTGGTCAACATTTTAGACGGGAAGGACCCAGGTGATATTTGAGAAAAGGAATTCACAATATCGGAGCACATCTTCCAATTTTTTCCTTGTCCTCGGGTTGCAAGATTGTTTTTCACGTGGTAGGGGCTTATGCCGTTGCTTGGTAGCACCTGAATACACGGGACGAAGACAAGAGATAGACAGGACGAAGTACCGATTTGATATCTTCTACATTGCTAGCAGCAACATAACCATGGGAGGGAGTTGAAAATACATTTTCGAGACCCCTTGAAGGAATTCTAAAAGCTAAGAATGTGGTGTCGTGAATGTAAGGACTTCGCATAACATGAATGGCAAAGAGTGTTGCTTTATACAGGGGAGGACTGTCACAAGAGCCTCTGATAATCTGAGGTGTGAGTGCAGAGTCTCTTAGTCTTGAGACCAGTCTGCGTGCTGATCCGATTCTTGTCTTCTAGTCCTATGTTCAAGATAGTCAGTTCTGCATACGTGCTTGTTGCTACTCCGCTGCATCCAATGTTTGTGAATTTCAATTCTAGGTTTTCAAATAAAATCCATCAACACGCGTCCTTATTAACACCGCTTGGTGTTGGACCATGATTCCGGTTGCCCCTTGGTGGGACATTAGGTATGTAACTAACAAGGGATCAGCGATTAGATGCTGCCAAGAATCAATGAGACGTGTTAGCAGAAGTCCTGACGGATCAAAAAAGCTGGGACAAGCACTCATTGGGATTCAACACGTTTTTCACTTACTAATCGACTTCCAAGATATGCCACGCTGATTCTAGGTGTAATTTCACGAGAGTTACAACGGCGACAGGAGTAATGTACTTCGGCGTGGTTTCCAAAGATTAGATATTCTATTTCGCGTTGTAAAACCCTGAGCCAAAAGAAACACACAGACCTAAGAGAATGCTTCAGCATGTGTCGTCGTACAACGTTCCCCTCAGGGGGCGGGAAAGTATGAAATTTTGCTGCCAGATCTGCAAGTCGTTGATGTTGTTCGGGTCAAAGAGGCCAATATTTTAGATCAGTTGGGGTAGGGCATGCCAAGTTGGTTGTATTCTCCGAGGCCGGCACTGCAAGAGGCTAATGATGAGTTTTCAACCTTGAAATTATAACGTTAGGAGATCAAATTTAGCCTATTGAATCCGTGTTTACTCTAATTTAGCATCGGCCTCAAGACCTGACAGCTCGGTATAAAGTCATACCACTTAGCTGGGCAGCACATCTCGCTGCGGCGGCGTTATCGGCGAAATTACAAAGAAGGAAGGGAAAAAGGAAAGAAAAGGCTGCCTGGATGACCTCTTTTCATCTTTTGGTTCATGTCTCAGGTTCCTCGGGTTCGTCCGATGCGTCTCAGATCTTCAGACCATCAGTCATGTTCGATTGACCTGGAGAGGAGACTGACTCGATGCCTAGGGCGATGCTCCAATCAGGAGTAGGGAATCCTTTTACCAGCCAGGTACTGATCTTTGCAGTCTTTGTATCCGGTTTGACAGTCTAGTCAGGTTGTCGAACAATCGATTAGGAGGCTTCTGGAGCTCTGACTAGACACACCGTCTACGCTGCAAATCGTCTCCAATGCACGCCCAGACGACACCATGCTGGGCTGTCAACTGCGAGATATACTTCTTCGCTATAAGTATGACTGAACTGCATGCGTAGTCGCTAGTACCATTAGTTGGTAAGGTAAGTAGAACTGAAAAATTCACAAGACCCACAAGTTCGAGCAGGTGAACCCTCAAGGTCAATGCCAACAGACGATCTTCGAAAAGAGAGCCAAGATTGATAGCGAAACAAACAAGTTCACGAAGATTTTGATTCATACGTTTGCCAAAGCCGGAAACTTTTGACTTCCTAATTCATCGGATAGCCTACCAAACCATTAGCTGGAGTAAAAGCAATGCACGTCGTCATGGCCGGCCTCCCAATCCTTGCGATGTATTCAGCCGCCCAGACCACCCTTGCCAACCATGACAGACAACATGACCACCCCAAGCTGCTGTACTTTGAACAGCCCGCAAGAAACTAGACACATGTGCGGATTCATGTCTCGTAATCGAAGGAACACCGCCCACGCCCCCTGTGATACAGATGAAGGTCAAATTGCTACGAGCAGGAGCTTAGGGATTGATGGAGTGCCAGTGAATGAGGGAGAGTCTTGAACTAAACGGTCCATCAATCGAGTGCACACAGCTTTCTACTTTCTCAAGGTAAAAAAGGTGAGCACACGGACACCTTTCAGCTGACAAAGCGAATGCAAGAGGTGGTGTTTCAAATCGGCCAGGATGCGGCTCTGGCCAGCAGACTCTCGACCACCAGAGGCTCTGTCGACTGGGACTAGGAATTCCACAAGTTTGGTAGAAAATCAGTAAACACCACTGTCAGTCCGAGCTAAGTGAAACCCTATTGCTATTTGCCCCACCCCCAAAACGAGACAGCAACACTTTGCGTTCCCATATGGCTTACCCATGGCTTACCTACATAGTATTGCTGATGAAAAAAATCAGCCCGCGTTTGGTCCGAACTGATTTAAACAGTCTTGGTCCGGAAATATCGACGAACGGCCACTGAAGATTGGAGGCGGAATCTGAATTGGTGTTGCCCTCTGGATGAATGCGTGTGGTGCATGCTGTCAGCGCCATATAGAAAGGTAGCGCTAAGAGTGGGGAAACGTGTTCCATTAACAGGATTACCATCGGTTGCGTTGCTTAGTCGTCATGAATCCATTCCTGATAGTTTGGCCACATGGCTGCCACGTAGCGAAGATCAGCAAACCTTTAGTGACCGAACTGTACAAGTTCGGACTCAAGAAGGTTGTTGGTCACTCCCCGCAATGCAAGTCTCGGAGAGCTGACTCATCAATCGAGCGACCCCAATAGAGACTGCGGATGCGTCGGCAGCTTGTCCGTGGCCACCTCCGGGACGGGACTCTTCCGGGCTATGATGGCCGAGCTGGCAACTGCCGACGCTGGCTTCCTGGATTCAGGTCGCACACAATCGCGAGTGGGCCTGAACCATGGCCTGAACCATTCCAAGAAAGGCCACTGGTCTGGGAGTTGCATATGTAAAAAGGAGTAGATGCTTTCACCCCCAGGATTGAAGTAGCATCCTCGACACGAACGGGAAGCATCCGCGTCTATACATGTAAACTTGGTGTGGTACTCTAAGAGGCTATGCAATGACACGCGTTGTATGACGTCCTACGCGGTCCAGACAGCCAGATAACTCCATGGAGAAAAGCACAGGGGCGGACGGTTTTATGTGGAGGAGCAAAGGTGGCTGGACAATCCGATGTGCAACGCTGATTGAACAGCATGCTTACAGCATTTATGGGCCTCCCTCCAGGTAAGTTGAACAAAGATGGGTCCCCAACTCAGGGGCTCGCGAGGTTTGTCTTGATTAGATGACATAACCGGACAGGGATACCCCGGAATCGTCGCTCGCGTCCAACCAAGTCGTATTTAGGAACTCCTGAGGCGCGCTTCTCCTTTTTCGTCCGCCTGCTCCCCATCGTCCTACTGTCCTGTATCTTATCTCGGCTATTCTCATACGTGTGTATACTGCCCAGTCCACTGAGCCTCACTCTCAGATGACGGCCGCCGGTACTCTAGCGTATCTTCATCTATTCGTCCATTCATTTTAGAAGCGGTTTTCATTCTCGCATGTTTGCTCGCAACAGCCGAGGAAGACAGAAAGGCACCATGTGGGAAGAGTCCACGCGGGGGCGGGAGGGGCAGTCGGACGTGTCCCATCGGTCAAAAGAGCAAGGCCGGTACGGTGAAGGTGGTGATGAGAAGTTTTCAAGCGCGGCCGCGACGAGAAAGAATGCGGACAAGATCAGATGTCTGGATGGGCTCCGCGGTGTTGCCTGTCTTCTTGTCTTCAACTACCACTTCCTATGGCCATGGACACCAGCCATCATGCTGGGCTATGGAGCCATGCCCCCCGGATCACCTGAGCCGTACTTCGAGCGGTCATCCTTGCCCATTCTATGTCTATTGCAGCGTGGACGCCCAATGGTAGCCATCTTTTTTGCCATTTCGGGATATGTCCTTTGTCGGCATATCCTGAGGGCCATTCACGAGCGACGCCTCGAAGCCGCGTACCAGAGTCTTGCGTCTTCCGTCTTTAGACGTGTGTTCCGTCTGTACATCCCCCCTACTATCAGCATGTTCTTAGTAGCCATGCTTGCACAGATGGGAGCCTTCCGGTCGGAAGATGACATCTACAAGGGCCCCGACTCGAGGTATATCAACGGCACTGTGACAGTTGCTCAGTTGAACAACACTTGTATGAATGGGACGCATGCAGTCGAGGGAGCCCCTGGCATTGCGAAATACCTGGGGCTAACGACCCCTGCGTTTTTGGGTAATGTCACAAACAACGAGACCAACACACTTTGTGTGAACACCACGTCGCAACTCTTCATGCCCCCGATGCTGTATATGCTGGCCGATGACATTGAGGCAAAGGCAAGGGCGGCAAATGAGACCAAAGGATTGAACGGAACGGTGATCAACATTACCATGGTGGACACCGGGTACGAGGACAAGACCGAGAAGTCCAAGGGGTCCTATCACGATCTCCTCCACCTGGGCTCGAAGCCCGCAGTCCTAGACGACAACAAAACCCTGCCAAACAAGACCGACCCTACCAACTTCACTTGGGTTCAGCTCGGCGGCTCGTGGGAAGAGCATCCATTCATCCACGACAACATCACCTACGCTCTCCAAAACTTTACGAGGGCTTACATTGAATGGGCCAACCCGTTCAACTTCGGCCACTACCACACCCGCTATGATCCGCACACCTTCACGATCCCGATGGAGCTCCGCGGCTCCATGTTCATTTACCTTTTCCTCCTAGGCACCGCAGCCCTGAAGGCAAAGTGGCGATTCCGCCTTGGAGGTCTTCTCTCTGCATACAGTCTGATCATGGGACGGTGGGACATGGCTACCTTCATGGGTGGTGTATTACTTTCAGAGGCGGACATCAGGAGAGCTGATGACCGGGGGCTGATACCACCGGCGACAAGCAGCAAGAACGGTCGCCAAGCCGGTTTTAGACAATCGGTACTTAGCTCCAGAGGGACTCGCTGGGCTGCGCTTTTCGTCGCTCTCTACCTCCTCTCGTACCCCGATGCTGGAGCCGAATGGACGCCAGGCTTCGCGTTCTTGTCGTCCCTCGTGCCGAGATACTACATCCCCTTGTCAGGCTGGATGTTTTACCAGGCAATGGGCGCCCTTCTACTACTTCCCTGCGTTCTACACAGCCCGTTCCTCCGCGGGCTCCTCGAAGGACGGGTGTCACAGTACCTTGGAAAGATCAGCTTCTCGTTCTATCTCGTCCACGGCCCAGTGTTGCACAGTCTAGGCTTCTGGATCATGCCGAGGCTTTTCGAGCGCCTCGGCCGTAACGGAGGATTTGTGGTTGGCTGGGTCATCTTGCTGAGTGTGTCATTGTATCTGTCAGACTGGTGGTGCCGGAAGATTGATGCCTGGAGCGCGACTGTCGGAAGGAATGTTGAGAAGATGATGAAGGAGTGAGTGAAGATAGTTGAGATGTCCAACGACTGTTGGAACTTTTTCTTGTTCATATAGGGAAATGCAAATGGCCATGAAACCCTGGAAGAAAAAAAAAAGAATGGCCAATGAAGCATGTTGTGAGATATATAGGTTTCTTATCTTACATGCCGAGGTAGGCACACCACCTGCAGTTCGTCTCGGAGTTACTCAGAAAGCTAGGCATATCCATTTCCTGCCATCTGCGTTCATAGCGGCGGCCTGCGTTGAGGTTTCTTGCTATATCTACATTTTGAACCTAGCTCCAATTGCGCTGAACAACCAATTTCTTTCTCAGACTTCTACGCTTGGTAGGGTGTGCAGGCTGCTTCCAAATAGGCTGATCAGGGTCATAGCCAACCAGGCAGTTGACCGTCTCTGCCCCCTCGCCAGCATCATTGATCTCGCTACCGACAGGATTGCGCCACTGACCCGTCAGCTTAATGTGCCCATCAAGCGCATTAGTAATGGTCTTTCCAAGCTCGAGCGCCTTCGAGGCCCTGCTATGAGAGTAGTACGTGAGCAAAGAGTGCGCGGCCTCACGCTCGTTATTCTCGATGAGGAGCTTGGCGCTCGTCTCGACCCAGTCGATATCACTGCGGCTCTGGTTCTCGAAGCCCGTGAGCATCTGCGTGACAATCGGCAGGTAGGTGTCAGGTGCGGAGCACATGTAGTACAGTACACGCTTGAAGATGCGGCCGGCAAAGACGCTCGCCTCTTGGAGCTGGTAGTCAGGGTTCAGGAAGCTGCTGGACGCACCGGTGGTGAGGTACCGGTGCTCGCCGAACTCGGGAGGAACGCCGTTGACGCCGAGCCACCACGGCACAAACGGCGACGAAACGGAGGTGGCGGGGGCGTTCCAGATGCGCAGAAGGTCGGCGTCGATCCCCTCCTTCAGGCTCACGATTTGTCCGTAGCCGGCCTCGTCATCAGCAATGCGCTTGTCGCGGACGCGCTCCATGAGCTTTTCCTCGGTGAGAGGAACCATTGCAAGAGTGGCCTCTTCAAGGGCGGCTTGGGACATGAACTTGAAACCGCCATCGCGCGCGGTGAGGTTCTCGCCCTTCTCGCCGTAGGCGTTGAAGATGTTGAACGGCTCGCCGCTGTTGGGGTCCCACCATCCCTGCTCGACTGCGAAGGAGACGATGTTTTCGGAGCCCATGTAGTCTGAGCTGTTGGCAAAGTCTGTGGGGAAATCCTCGATGTACCCGGGGTACAGCACGCGGACCTCATCGGATTTGAGGCGTTCGGCCGCCCACAGTTTTTTGCCGCCCGCCATCTCCCATACAACCCAGCCTTCATCCTTATCAGCGACCAGGTGCGTGTTGCCGCCGTACGTCGCCTCGCCGTACTGACTCATCAGGTCACCAATGATCTCCACGCCTTCCCGCGCAGTCTTCGCTCGCTCCATGACGATGCGCGCGAGGTCGCTGTACTGGATGCCGTGCTGAGGCGTGAGCGTCATCTCAACCAGTTCTTCGCGGTTCTGTGCCCAGACGTCGCGGACAGTGACTCCGTTCTCATTGAGGCCGCCATTGGTGAGCGGCGCCGGGAAGCCCTCAAAGTCGGAGTACTCCATCGACATATACCGGTAGGTGTGGCCGACCTGGGGGATGGTGAAGAGCTCGCCGGGGATGCTGGCCTTCTCCGTGACGCCAACGGTGATGGTGGCGTTCGGCGCGTGGTCGCGGGCTGGAAACAGCTGCAGCCAGTGAGAGGAGACCTCTTCGCCGGTGCCGCCGACCATGACGCTGCCATCGGCGGTGAGGTCCTTGCCGACGTAGAAGGCGTAGCTAGCGGAGGCGGGCCCGGCGAGGGCCGCCAGGACAACAGCGGAGCTATGGAACATCATCTTTGCCCGTGGTGAACGAAGATGACTCTGAGAGACTTTGTCAGAGTGGTTAGGGGGAATTTCGAAAAGTGAAAAGGCCTCTCCGGACGGGACCCCTCTTCTCCCCCCTCTAGACTCTTCATCGGCAATGATGTCAAAGGAATCCGCTCCGATGTTGACTTCGGCTTGCAGTACCCCACACCGAAATTTCCGGTATCGCTAGCGGTGAAGATAACGGGTGCCAAGGACCGTGGGACTGGTGGTAAATGTTGCCAATCGACCTTTATGAGTGCGATAGCGACAAGGATTATCTTGTCTCCCTGGGAATGGCCCCGTGGGATAGCGGATACGCTCCCTTGTTCCTGGAGAGAATTGGTTACAATTCCCGCATTCATGGTTTGACTTGGAAAACAAGCGACTAAAGTTGCCCAATCAAACCTAATACTGCGTTGCGAGTCAACTTTCGATAGTTTCGGCCTTCGACTCCGGACGCCACCAACCCGCGTCTCAACACCCCATTAGTGGATGCACATAGCTTTGGGTTCTTGAACTCATGAGTCGATTACCTGCAGAAGGATTCCTATGAGGAAAATGTCATGCCTTTTTTTTCTGGTTTCTAGTTTCCGCAGAAATAGCACTGTGCTGGTTAATCCCATGGAATCATTAGAGCATTCTTGTGAGCATTGAACGGTCGGGCACGTACATTGATGAACTCAGATCCATCCTCTGGACAGAGATACTCCAGGCGAATAGATCATGAATGCACTCAATGATGTTATCGAAGGTGGCAAAGCCAGACGTATTGGCGCAAGCTGTGTGAGACCACCTACATGGAGGTGCAACTGAGACGAGTATGAGACCCAATTTGGTGCCACGCGATCAATACATCATGGACAAGTTACCGTGAAAATATCAGACGACACCTTTTGCTATGAGTGTGTATGCTCTGTTAAGATGACTATGAACGGCATCGACGACATGGACTCTCGGCTGGAAAAGCGCATGTGCAACGCCCACCATGTGTAGAAAACACAGAAAATGTGGCCTCAAGGAGTCAAGACCAAGATCCAATCCCCTACTTTATATATCTTGGCCTAGTCTTTGCGCCTCGCACATCTTCGCATATATCCCACCACGCTCAATAAGCTCTCCATGAGTCCCGCTCTCGGCGATGATCCCGCCGTGGAAGACGAAAATACGGCTTGCTTCCCGAATAGTGACCAGTCGGTGGGCGACGGCAACAGTGATTCTATTACCAGTGGTTGCTGCCTTCGCCAACGCACCCTGAACGATGCGCTCGGACTCAGTATCCAGTGCGCTTGTCGCCTCATCCAACAGGATCACGGCCGGTTTTCTGATAAGGGCGCGTGCAATCGCAATCCTCTGTCGCTGGCCGCCCGAGAGCTGGCTGCCGCCCATTCCGCAAGGCGTGTCAAGGCCCTCTGGGAGCGAGGCTATGAAGTCCCAGACATTGGCAGAACGACAGGCTTCCTCTAGCTGAGAGTTGGGCAGCGGGCCAGACATGGTCGTGTCAACGCCCTGCGAGATATTGTCTCGGATGGTCCCTGGGAAGAGCGTCGGTTCCTGCTGCACTAGAGAAACGTTCCTACGATACAGAGAAGGGCTGATCGAGTTCAGAGGTGACGAGTCAACGATGATGGCGCCGCTCACGGGGTCGTAGAAACGTTGCAGCAGTGAAATCATCGTGCTCTTACCACACCCCGATGGGCCTACAAAGGCGACAAACTCGCCAGGCTGAATCTAGAGTTTGAGAGTGGTCAGTGGTGCATCGTCAATTGAGGACGGGAATGTGGCTCACGGTGAGGGAAATCCCCTTGAGGACCCGGGTTTGTGGCGCCATAGGGTAGGCAAATTGGACATTTTCCAGAACGAAAGACTTGCATCCGTTTTCCGGTCCCTTCCCACTGTTCTCAGGGGTTTCCTGGATCGCTGGCTCGAGGGCAGATATCCAGAAATAGTAATTGGCGGCTTGATGGCCCTTTGTGAAATCTTTTAGAGCGAAGAGATTAGCGTTGGAAATCGTCGGGACGTTGACGAGACTCACTGCCTGCGAAGACGAATAGCTGGCTTGTTGCCTGACCAGAATAATATACGCCCATGAAGGAGACGATAAACTGATAGAGGTTAATGTAACCGTCGTTGATGAGCTTGGATCCCCACCTGAACACCGTTAGAGAAGGCCTATACAGAGACAGAACATACTTACCAAAAGCCAATGGCAAGGACGAAGTATTCAATTGCCTGGGTCAGCGAGAACCAAATCATCATGTGAAATAGCGAGGGTGCCGAATTGTGGATAGCCATGTCCACCTCGTGCGTATACTTGTCTAGCATCTTCTGCTCAAGCGCCAAGGAGGAGACGGTGCGTACCGCCATCACTGTCTCTGACGCTACGGACGAGCTCTTCAAGAATGACTTGTCTATGGCGTTCTCCATCTTCACCTCGAGCCGGATGCGTACCCATCCAGCAAGCAGCATAGGAGGGAGTCCAACGAAAACGCCAACCAAGCCAAGGCGCCAGGCAACCGAGACGGAGAGAATACTGCAAGCTGTCAAGCTGATGACGGCTAGAATAAGAAGAGCAACATTAAACCCCATGAACTCGAACACCGCCTGGGGATAAGAGTTGAGACGGCTGGTCAGCGTGCCGATGGTGTTTTCTGGGCGATCGAAAAACCGCAGGTCTTGACGGAGGACGGAGTCCAGGAGTTCTCTCCGCATCTTTCTACCCAGGGTCTCCATGTTGTCAGCAATCGCCTGGACATGAGCAAGGGTCAGCTACCTACCTGTGCGATCATATTGCTAGACCATCCCATAAGGAAATATCCGATCAGACACCCAAAGGCGATGACTAAGAACATGAGTGAGATGAAGTTGCCTCGAGACACCATGTCTGGCGATGAGAAGATATCGAGGATGTTGCCGAGTAACAGGGCTTGTGCGGGAAATAGGGCAGCTGGAAGATGTTTAGCTTCTGGACTAGGATCCCTGAAAAGTATGGCGACGTACCTCCGATGAAGCAAGAGATGAGTGCCAGCAGATACCAGAGCTTCAGTTCCGGCGTGCAGCCTATCAGCTTCGTGACGGTGCTAATCAGGCCGCTCTGCTTGAACATTGTGAAATCTTCTCGGTCCTTAAGTGACGCCAGACGTCTCTCCTCGATCGTTTTGATCTTGACGAGTGGGTGATCCGTGCCAGGGATGTCGCCCAGGATGGATCCCTCTTCTGAAAGGCGCTCCACGGTCTGCCGTGTCTCGGTTGGGGACAGGTCCTGTGCCTTGACAAGATTGTGGTAGATACCGTTCAATGCGACCAGTTCGTCATGGCAGCCTTGTTCAGCGATACGGTCTGAGGACATGACCACAATGTGGTCAGCGTTCCGGATGGTTGCTAATTTGTGTGCGATGACGATGGTTGTCCGATTCTGGGAGGCTCTGTCGAGGGCTAGCTGGACCACACCTTCGGCGTGAGGGTCGAGGGCACTAGTGGCTTCGTCGAGGAGAAGCACCCGCGGCTCAGATATAAGACTGCGGGCAATAGCAATGCGCTGCTTCTGTCCGCCCGAGAGAAGACCGCCTCTCTCCCCGATGATCGTGTCATACCCTTGCGGGAGGCTGATAATGAAGTCGTGTGCGAAGGCGAGCTTAGCAGCGTCCTCGACGCGTCGTCGTTGCTCTTCTTGCGTGTCTGTCACCCAGGGTGTCCCGACGAGGCCATTAGATATGTTCTCGAGTACGGTGCCGTTGAAGAGAACAGGCTCCTAGATGCAGGTTCGACTGTGAGCCACGTCGCAGTGGGAGGGGTGACATGTTGGGCGAGGTTTCCTACCTGTTGCACAAGACGAACATTGATTCGAAGCCAGTTGAGATTCAAGTCCTTGATATCTTTACCGTCCAATCTGACAGTACCGGCCGTCGGGTTGTACCATCGCTCGAAAAGCCCAATGATGGTGCTTTTACCCGATCCACTGGGACCCTGTGCAATCCAAAGTTAGAAATCGATCAAGAAGAGCATTGACAGAAAAGGAACGTGGGAAGGGAGTCTTGACATACAACCAAGGCCGTGACCTTCCCTGCAGGAACACGCAGGCTGAAGTTGTCGAGCACAGTGACATCTGGTCTCGTAGGATAGCTGAAAGAAACGTTTTGAAGCTGAACTTCGCCAACGAGCTTGCCTGGCCGTTCTCCCGAATGATCAAAAGGATTGATCTCGGATTTCCTGTCAATCAGCGTAAAGAGCTCGGTCGCAGCAGTCGCTGAGCGGCCGAAGGTGACCATTTGCGGGCGATGGTCATAACCGTACTGGCGGCGATGACAACAGAGAAGAGCACACTATGTCGAATTAGAGTGGAATGAACTGCTTGGGACCAGGGAGTGAACTGACGTGAAAACGGTACCGAGGTCAGGAATTTCCCCACGATTCACCATGGCAATACCTTGCCAAAAGGCCAGGCCCATGGCGGCGTGGACGATGAAGTACTCCCCACCGAACAGGACCCCGTAAATTTTGTTCTTCTTCATGCCCAGGCGAAATGAGTTCTGGAGGAATGAATCATACCGGCTAACGACCCTATTGCGGAGATCAAAGGCGTGAACGGTACGAACACCTGCAAGAGTCGTCTCGGCGAAGCTCGCTGCCTGGGCGTGGATCTTGAGAATCTCCGTCTCGATTTGCGCGTCCATTCCGGCGGCACCGCCAACAACGATGAGAAGGACCGGCACCATACCGATGATTATCAACGTGAGCTTCCACTGGGTAATTAACGCGATGACAAAGGCTGCGACAAACGTAGCGATGGCCTGGACGAGCATGCCGAGCTTTTCGCCAATGCCTGACTGGATCAGCTTTCCGTTGGACGTGGCTTGCATGGAAATGGAACCGCTGTATTTGTCGAAGAAGCCAATCTCCTGGCTGAAAGCAGCGCGGAGATACTCATGTTGAATGTTGCGGGTCAGGCGGTGGGCGACAAAGGTGAAGAAGGAGGCGTAAATGTAAGTGCACACAAACCGCACGATGCCGATGTACACGAAGTAGAGCCTGCGACGCAAATATGGGTTAGCGATTCTCTATCTCGGCGGTGGCAGTCTCCATACGCTGTTTTGCTGACGGCTGCCATGAACCCGTCTGGCTGAGAGCCTGAAGATGGGTAGGAGTCGCTCAGAAGCGATATAAACTGGCCGATGACGAGATTTACCATGGCCAGGGCAATGCCTGAGGCGATGGCGGCGATGATGGCGATGGACTCGAGAGCATAGTCGACTGCGTGACCAAAAGCAAACACTCTCTGCGAACGAGCATGGTCAGCAACATGTATCCAAAAAAAAAAAAAAAAATCTTTTCGAAAGGCTCAACCATACCAGATAACCTTTGAAAGCCGATGGCTCCCCTTGGTCCCCCTGCGATGACTGGGCAGGATTATCCACGACATCGTCGCGATAATCTTTTGTTGCGGCCATTTTCCGATAAGAAGCAAAGGACTAACAAAGCAAAGTCTAAAAATATATGAGGAAAGTAATGAAATTCCGCTGGGGGAGTACTTAGTAGGGACTGGACAGCTCTAGCTGGATAAGGGAGAATATACTGTTCACACTTCGACTCCGGCGTCTTGACAGACATGATTTTCTTTTATACCAGGCGTCGCTTCTCCCTCCCCTAAGAGACAAATCTTCGATCAGCACGTATGTTCGTTGATAGATCGACTCGTGGAATTGCGGCCTTGCTAGGGGACTAACTTTCCGGTGCGGAGCGCAAGCGAAGCCTGCCGGGCTCCGGAAACCCGGACGCCCGAGCCAAGACGGTCAAGCTCGACCGAGGCGAAGAGACAGGCATTTGTCAAGGAAGTAGTTCGTCCAGAACAAAAATCTCCTGAACTTGGCATCGTCACTGTTGTCTGTATCGGGTATCCTGTGATAGCTTAGCGTCTGGCAAAGCTCTGATGCCTTAGCCGATAGTGCCCAGGAGAGGTAGGGTTTTGACAGCTCAATCGCATGCCAAGCCTGTGAACCTGTTAACACCAGTTGGGACGGTAGGCGCGCGTCAACGTACACCGAAGAGCAGAGCTGTGACGGCGTCTGTCGTTGTTGGAAGATGCAGAGGTAAACTAGAAAGTGCAGTCTCAAGATTCGCACGACACATCCGGGCATGGTCTCGATACACTGCCTTTTCTTCGACGGGCACGTGATGGCTGTAGTCTTCAAAGAGGGAATGGAGGCCCGCGTTGACGATAATGAATTCCATCTCGGAAAAGTTGTCAGAGAAGTAGACCTGGAGGCATATATCCGAGAAGTTGCGCGCCAATATGAACTCGTAGATGAAGCCGGCTCCAGCTAAACGCTGGTCTTGAAACAGACATGTTAGATGGGATGGAGTTCGGGAAACGTGAGGATCAAAGGGCTTACTTTTTGCGATGCGAATCATCTCGACGGCTTTTTGGATGGGGGGCAACCCGTACCCTGACGGGCCGGGGCGCTGAATCGGCCGTGCGTGAGGGTATGCCATCTCATTGGCAACTGTCTGCTCTCTCAGGGTGGCGACAACGCTGGAGAGTGCATCGAGGGTGTCTCTCATCTCCGGCCCGGAGCATTGGATGGGATTGGAACTTGCAACGCGTTGCATGAAGTCGCTGGCAAACGCCGAGTGGGCGGCTAACGAGGACTCACCCTTACCCAGTACCACTGAAGACCCGCCGTCTGACCCCGGCTGGATGGTGTGGCTGGACGGGCTCGACTTAGATGAGGACATTGCCGACATATCGGCCCCAGCTGTAGCATTCAGGAATGCATGAGAGCATCCACTGAGCTGTCGGTCATTTTTAAGGCCCTGGATGATGCTGAGGACCTCCCCCATGCGACGGTCGAGCTGATCGATCTTTTTCTCGCTGGATATAATAGGGTCAGGCAGCTGGCTATGGGGGAAGAAAAGGAGCAGGCAAAAAAGCAGCGTCAAACAAGCAAGATAGTGGACGTACTATTCCGAAGTCACGAGGATGCGGGTGCGTTTCTCTCGGGGCTTCTTGTCGACAAGTATGCAGTCAATCTTGGCGCTGGCGCAGGAGGAACAAGGCTGTTGCTTATCACAGCGGATCTACAAACATCGGTAAGTATGTGGGGACCAAGGTCTTTTTGGTCCATGGATGGGGGAATGGACTCTGCTCACTGACCTTGCGAACACGGCAGTTGTCACACTATCACGTATGCTCTGTTAGTTGACTGCGAGCAACGCCGAATCCGGAAGATACTGACAGCGGCGCGGAGATGTATGTTTGGATTTAGCGCCAAGCCCTCCGGGCTATCATCGCAGTTTGCAGTAGCATCCATGATGGGATAGACGGGCGCGGGGACGGCGGTGTAAAGTTGGTGATAATGCGAGCGTTGGGTAATAAGCGGGTTCGGGAGGGATGAAATCCGCACCTGTGGATGGGGAAGGGGTGCTGTGGAGGATACCAGTCCTAAGAGGAACGTGGGAGTCATACCGAGGGTGTATCGGGATCCGGAGATCCGGGGGCCGAGATAGTTCATGCTTGTCCGAGCCGGCGTGCACTACGTAGTAAAAAGACGGCCTCGAAACCGCTCGGGCCACGAGACAAGAGAGGTTCAAGACGACCTTGCCTGGATCATCTCCCACATCGACATGAGCTGCTCCTTTAAAGGGATACCGTAGAGTTGGAAAATAGGCATGTCAGCGAATAAGAGCTTCATACCGAAAGGTTTAATTACTATCCATCGGCTTGGCGGACGATGACGGGGCGATCTGCACTGGCCGTCGTCTCGGGACGCCGACCACCGCCATTTTCGACAGCACGATCGAAGCTGAATTCTGGAAGGCGCAGGTCAGTCGATTGAATTCAATACGTTATAAGTCGTGCGGTGTATTTAGAAACCAGAAAGTCATCCCTAGCTTCATCTTACTTCTCCGGCTTCCTCTTCCATCTCACCAGGCGCAGAAGTCGGTACTACAAACGAAAACCACCCAAACATTCCACAATGAGGGTTAGCAAAGATCAGATGACGAGCTTTATGCTCACCTTAGGGTTGTTGCAGCCGCAGGTGTCACAAATCCACCAGCGTGCCCAAGGGAGTCTCAACTACACGGAAGAACTCCTGAATGCCCTGTACCCAGCCAACGTTCTTCTGCCGGAAACGTCAGCCTATTCCACGTCACTCAACATCAGCTTGTATGTGTCAGCCAAATCCATAGTGCTTTCACTCATCAGGGCTAATCCTTCAATGCAGTGGTGCTCGAGCCCGCCTCAATGCATCCCTCATCTTTGTCCCGGAAAACCCTGAACAGGTGGCTATCGGCGTTAAAGTCATGCAATTTTTCGATCGGCCTTTTGCCGTCCGTGGTCGAGGGCACACTTCACACCCGGGAATGGCCGGTATCGAGAATGGCATCCTTTTTTCCATGGAGAGGATGGATAAGATTGACCTTGCCGCTTCCAAAGAAGTTGCGAGCCTCGGTCCAGGCAATGACTGGGGAAGAGTCTTTGGAACACTGGAGAACGAAGGTGTTGCTGTGACTGGAGGAACGCTTGCGGTGGTTGGCGTGCCGGGCTTGCTCACAGTTAGTATGTATTCCCGACGAGCCACCCACACCATGTTTCAACGGATGCATTGTTCATTGCATGTACTGACATTTCGAAGATGACCTCTCCCACTTTATCAGCAGCCGCGGGTTCTCCAGCGCCGACATTATCAACTTCCAGATCGTGCTGGCTGGCGGCAACATTGTTAATGCCAACGCGACATCGAACGCTGATCTGTGGTGGGCTCTCAAGGGTGGAAGTAACAACTTTGGTATTGTCACGCGCTTTGATATGGCGACATTTCCTCTCCCGAATGGCATCTGGTCTGGCACGCTATCTTACGACATGAGTCAGGCTAAGGACGTTGCCGAAGCCCTCTACGAGCTTCAGACCGGCCCGCTCCTCGAGGACCCTCACATTGATGTCCCGTACATGGAGATGATCATTCCAAGTATCGGCCTCGCCAGGGTTGATGCCGCACCTTTTACCGACATGGTCAACTTCACTGGATGCTACCCCAGTGCCATAAAGCCCCTATACAGTGTTGGGCCACAGTCGGTGACGGCTTCGCGGAAGACTCTCACACAGAACACAGCCGAGGGAGTGACCTCTATCATGGAAGTCTATACTAAACGGTGAGTGGCAAGTTATGCTGCTCAAGTGGTATCCTTCTAACGCTTGTCTTCCAGCATTAACCGGGCGAACCTCAACGTGAAGGCTAGCAAGGGGTTATACAGCGAGATGGCCGGCATGCTCTTCAAACACTACAACTCCAGCACCATCGCGGGACACACAATCGGCGTGTCGTGGAACCCGATAACGCCGCATGTCGTGCGCGAAACCAACAGGAAGGGCGGCGTCGCCAGCGGCTGGCAAGAATTCAATCAAAACTGTGATTCGCGCTCTTCGTATACGCAACAGCTCGGCTAAGCGTTTCAATGTCTGCTAACCATGAAGCAGCCATCAATCTGAGGGTAAACTGGGACAACCCCGCGGACGATTCTGCAGCCATTGCAATGGACAACGCCTTCATGGAGAAGCTCACCGAGGTGGCTCGTAAATGGGATGCACTGATGCCGAACCAATGGGCCAACAACGCTGCGGAGCATGTGGACGTGATGAGAAGTTACGGAGACGATGATTTCAACAGACTCAGGCAGGTTTCGCGCAAGTACGACGGGAACCAGACCTTCCAGAGGCTCTGCTCGGGCGGGTACAAGCTGTGGTAATAGGCGATGGAGGGCTGGCGTCGACCGGGGAAGCCGTTCGTGGGTGCTGGGCACAAGTTTATACTTGCCTGTACCTATCACACGTGCCTGGGATGTTTTCCCTCGCGCCAATGGAAGGGCTTACAGCGACAGAATCTGCAGAAATTAGCAGTCCCCCTCAAGGCAAACTTGGTACATCAAAAGAATCAGGCCACCGCTATTTATACGCGTAGTACGGCCTAATGTAGGGCGTGCTATATTAATGTAGACGAGTAAGATGGGTCTTTATGCGTCCGGGACTCTCTACAGATGTCGAAAGGTTAATGACTGTTATACTAGAAGGCTTACCAAGGCTAAATCGGTATAAAGACTGCTGTCATGTACGCGAGCGTGGAATGTCACAAGTAACATGGGCCTGTGAAGGGTGTGTTGTGTGCTGTACTGTTCTGGCTTGTTCTCCGCTCGAGTCCCTCTCGCCATGCAATTTGTCATGGATGGCGACAAAGTCCCTGACTTGACACTACTTTCACACTAAGTATCCAACTAGTTCAGACCGACAGGCAAACCGTGACGTTAGAGGGAGGCTATTTCAAGACTGTGAGGCTACTCCTAGATAGGGGCGGATATTAATGCGTAGGGCGGCTGCTGTGACAATACTCTGTATACCCCTTTGGATGGTATTCTTGGAGTGACGTCTCCGCACTTGCGCTGTTCTCCACCTGTCAGGCGATCACCCGTGATTTCCTTGCCCTGCTTATTGCCTGACTGGACGATGAAGTGGTCGTGACAACAGAGGTTGGTGACAATCGATGTCAGCTGAGGGGACACTTCGGAGTCGTATAGTATTTCCATAGTGCGGTCGCGAGGCTTCTGTTGTTCACCGTCTACCTCCTCCGTGAGCCTCGCACCCATGTAGCACATAGCCTTGTAGCAGCACGGAAGCTGGATACAATAGCGCTCACTAGGGGATGTCGTGGTATCATAGGCCATGTTGAATACAAGGATGACTTACAAGTCTGCCATGTTGATAACTAGCTGAGGATCGCTAATAGGTACTCGGAGACAAATTGAGTATGTCATACATTATGCTACTTCATTGATATATTGAGGCCTGGTGGCCGGGTATCATTAACTCTCCCTGGGTTCTGTCTGGTTCTTCCAGATCGGTTAACCACCTCCAGCGCTCTCACCTCTTGATCTTCACTTGAAACCGTATATAACACACGGTCGTGAAGCACCGAAGGCTTCATTGCAACAGTGGCCAAGAACCTTCCCTGGCCGTCGGACTCAAAGTCAACAAAACCGATCCTCGCAATGCAACGCCATTTCCACTCAATTCGTTCAGGCATTACCTCAGCCTTACAATAACCTCCAGGCCGCTCAACTTCCTCACTCGACTCTCATCCTCAAACCCGTCATCCTCACCCTCAAGAACAACATCATCCACCACCCGCACGGTCTTGGTCCGCACCTCGACCACGCAGTCGCACTGCTCCGTAAACCACGCTGCGACTGCCAAGACCTTTTCGATGGCCTTACCGGCTCCCAGAACCACCGCTTCGCCATCGCCCCCCTTGGTCCCGTTGTCGCGGTGCAGGAGGTCGACGCGCTGGTTCAGGTTCAGGCCTCGCGTTGACGGCGCGTTGTGCTTGAGGGACTTGTCGAGCTGTGTGCGGACGCGCGAGACAACGGACATGAAGGAGCATTTCGTGCCGACGCAGATGTACTTTGACTTTGGTGAAATGGGTTGCTGTGGGCGGGCGAGCGCTCGTTTCTGTATCTTGGAGCCTGGGGTCTGTGTTAGGTGAGATCCTAGGTTGAGTGGACGAATCCGGGGAATGGGGTTAGCTTACCTTCAGGAAGTCGAGACAGCTTTTCCACCTTTGCTTGCCTTGTCTGCCTTGAGCCGTCATTGCCAGCCTGGCCTCGTGTAGGTGCTCGGGTGGGCGCCATGGTAGGCAGCCGTGTATGAGTCTGAGGTAGATGCTTTGAGCTCAGATGATCCCCGCCGATCTGACGGATTCAATGATTATTCGCGACGACTATCTTGAGTAGTAAACGTATTGCGACTCGGAGAAAAGTAGCCTAGTTATCCGAGTTTGTGTGAGCTGGAAACTTGTACTAGTTGCCTGGCCTTGAGACCGTGAATGAGACGGTCAAAAATCGACTTTGAACCCCGTCCCCCGGATGAGAAAAGTCCAGGTGCGTAATGTGGGGACGTCGTCCGCTGCGAACCGCAACAGCGGGCACAAATCCGCTAGCTCGACGCCCCCCACTGTACAAGGCATTGACCCCCTGTCCCCAAAGCCTCCCACGATGACGAGATGCCGACCCAAGCTTCAAACTGTCATCCACCATGAGCTAATCATCCACCACCAAACGCCCTGTTGCGGCTGCCTGCAACGCCCCAAATCACCGCCGTGATCCCCGACCGACGAGTATCAGCCTCTCAGGAAAAGACAATATGTCAATAGCTATCTGGCCTCCCGTGTCCCCGGCGGACCTGCTTCATAAGAAGGAGGAATCGCTCGTACGTATCCCCATTGCAGCTCTTTCCACGGCAGCCAGCCCATATCCCCCGCCGGTAGCAAGTCGCATTCTCGAAAAAGACACGATGCTAATCAGGATTGAACCAACTTCACAGAGACGCGAGCTCGATTGGATCGTCACGGAAACACACGTCGTCTTAAAGGACATCCGCCATGGCCTACAGGACTGCTACGCGCTTCTGGCCCCCATCGACCCAGGCAGCACCCTCGTCATGAGCACACAACGCAACGAGCGTGTCAAGGGGACGGTGACCCGGGTCGGCACGCGTATAGTCAAAGGAGTCAGTCCTCACCCCCCCAAGTTAACCTTTGCATCGCGGGTTTACCAACAAGCTAACATCTACAGACAATCCACCTCCAGCTCCGAACGCTCCCGACCCAGACCCTGAGCCTCGACCCCTCGCACCCGATTCACATCGCCGCACTCGAGACGATTCACACCCACCTCACCGAATGCCTCGACCTCCTCTCTTTAACAGACACCCCCACCCCCTCCACGAACCCCTCACAGCTTGCCGCGCAGCTTCGCATCATCGCCGCCTCCCTAGCCGAGTCTTCCTCCCTCCTCAAGGGCCCACCCCTCAACGAGTCCGACCCCCGCTGGCAGACCGACTCCTGCCCGCCCGTCCACTTCGCCCCGGCCCTTGGTCCCAACATCAGCTTCCACCTCGGCCTGCAGGAGTCGAGTCTGGTCCTCTGGCTGCGCGCCCTTGAGCCTGTCGACACGCCGGTGCACTTTGGAACCAAGCTCGGCCTGGCGCTAGGCACTGTCCGCAGACTGGAGCATGACGAGATGGACCGGCCCTTCCGCTTCGCGTACAGTACCGTTACGGACGGCGGGCAGAAGCATAAGCACGGTACGGGGCATCCGCCGAGCAGCGGAAGCAGTCCCGGCGGGCTGGGTACGCCGTCAAGCAACGGCGAGGCCAACGAGGTGTACGTGCGGGAAAAGGTGCGCGTCGAAAGCCTGCCGGACCCGAATTTGATGTCGTTGTCCTCGAAGCTGATTGCTCTGGGCCACACGCTGGCTAGTGCCAGAAGGAATCTGGCGGCTGTCATGGGCGAGGAGTTTGATGAATGAGGCAGAGAGTCCTTCATGGTCTGTAGTGACATTGGATACCCGGGGAGTTTGGCAGGGAAATAAAATTATCCGTTTTGGTCAAGGTAACTGATTTCAAATTTCTATGTGCTGGTTCTTTTGACCAGAAATCTGTACACATACAAGTTGCTAGAGTGTAACCTTAAAGGTCCATGAACAAAGAAAAAGACACCTGTCTTCTAAACCTCCAAATCCCAGTCCTGAAAATAATACTCTCCGGCGCCCTGGTAAGCAGGCATAGGCCCAACGAGCAAGGCCATCTCCTGGTGGTTGGTATCGTTACTGCGAAGAGGTGGACCACGCGATCGTCGACAAGCGGAAGGCGACTTGGGTGACGGGTCAAGATGTGCGATGCTGCACATGTGAAGTAGACGGAAGTAGACGGTCGATTACTCCATGAGTCAAATCAGCTCCCACCTCACGCCACAGGAGACCAGGGCATGGGGATGAGGATCCTCGACTTCATGGTCTGAATCAGCGGGACAGTCTTGTGCACAGTCTCGCTCCAGCCTTCAACGCTCCAGCTCTTCTCGCGACGGATCTTGCGCTCCTCGAGGTTGGCGAACTGCCACAAGTGGTGGACGGTGTTGAGATCCCCTATTTGCACAAACCAAGCGCCGACGCCCTCCATGACCTCGCGTCTCGCCTTTAGACCCCGTCTCCAGTGGGTCTCCCACTCAAGGAGGTTGCCAGGGTGTAAAGTGTATGATCGCAGCTCGAAGATGCCGCCAAGCTGCCGGGGTGGCGTGGTGGGCCAGAATGAGAACTCCTGCATGAGAGACGTCTTCTTTGAGGTAATGAGACTCTTGAGCTTCTTGTCGAACTCGGCGAACTCGGGGTGCGAGCCAATGTTGTGGATGGACTCATGGTAACCCTGGTAGCGCTGGTACTCCCAGATGTGGACTGCCGACCTAATATTAGCAACTGGTTTCGCTTCAGCATGGGGGAGTCGCGAGCCGGCATACCAAAGGTGTCGCAGTCTCCAACTTCAGTTCTCCAGCTTCCAACCAAATTAACCTTATTCTCGGGCATGGAAGCCATGCGCGGGTACCAGCTGCCGACGAGCTTGGTGTACTCCTCGACCTTGTCGGGCTTGACCTCGTGTAGGACGATCGAGTGAACGTACTTGCCTCGGGCGAGGACTTGACTGAAGCTGGCCTCGAGCTGGGCGTCGAGCTCGCGGCCCTCCTTGGTGCCGTAGATGAGATTGGTCAGGGGACCAGCCTTGCGCGGAGGCTCCTGAGAGTTCTCGGCCTTCTGTCCTGAAGTAGCACTCACAGATGAGCCCAAGTCCTGGGCGGACCCAGAAGAGGAAGGGGAAGAGGAGGAGGATCGAGTATACGCACTTGCTTCCCGCTGCTTCTGTTGCTCGACCAACTGCTCTCGGAACTGCTTGGATTTCTCGTTGAAAGACGCGACGCTCTGGGCCGCGGGGGTGACGTCGGCCATGGAGGGCACCTTGAGCTGCTGGCTCGTCGAGCTGAATGCTCGCAGCGCGGATCGCGGGGTTGCCGCGCCGGCTGCTCGCACCAATCGCTGGCTCAACATCTTCAGGTGAGGAGGTGTATGGGTAAAAAAGGTGTTGGAATTGTGTGTAAGGGTAGAGAGAAGTGGTGACCGAGAGGTGTCTCTTCTGCTAGACGAGGTACGCTGCCGACTCGAAGAAAGGTGACAAACGTGCTCTTTGTTTTGCAAGAACGAGCCTCTGGTACAGGAATATGAAGGATGAAGAAGAGCGAATTCGATACGTCTCGATCGGCAAGAAGCAGGAAGCACCCGAGAGCAGGGGGGCTATCACAGAACGGGAAGCAGGTCGACGTGCAGAAGGAGGCGGCGGCGGCGGCAGACGGTTGGCACGCCGGTCTGGTTGAGGGTGGTATCTGTCAGGTAGGTAGCGGCAAAGGTGTCAAGGTTGTCGTGGTCTCGACCGTGCTCGGAGTGAGAGACCAGGCTAATGGGATGATTATAATTGGATGAGGCAAGAAGGAGGTCGGGCTACAACCGTGCAACCGTGGTGTGTGTCTCTGTTTCTTTGCAGATTCCCCCGCACTTTCTGGACAGTATGGTGAGGGCGACAGCAGAGGACAAGACAGAGCTTCAGGAGGTGCAGGAGGTGTGTGTGGCAGGGACAAGATGAATGTGACACAAGGGAGGAGATGTTTGGCTTGCTACACTACAGGTTCGGGGTCTGGCACCACTACCACGCCAATCCCAATCCAAGTTTCCCAAGTTTAACTTAGCCCCCTCGTGCCCCCCGAATCTGGGGAGAGCTGATGCCGCGGGCCCAGTGGCCTACCAAACGGCGGGACGGGGGAACGGGTGATGGAGCTCAAGCTTGGGGCTTGTAAGACGTGGGTACGTATCACCTCCAAATGCGCCCAGATGCGGAGAATCATATGATGTCACGTTTCCACGCCGCCTATAAGAGGAGACAAATCAGCTGACTTGAGATGCACGGGTCCTAGGTACCTATTTTCAAAAGCCGGGGTAGAAGGGGACGACGGACAAATATTGCTGCGTGGTCCGCTATGGTACTGCAACCTGGCGAGACTTGGGCCGTGCACTTTCCAGACCATAAACGGACGAGGCCCCACTTGCTCTTCGTCGTCGCTATTTTGGCCTGAGGCTGTCACGCTCGGCTACGGGTCCAACCGCCGAAAGCTCAATCGGAGGAAAAAGGCTCGTTCTGATAGCTTCACATCGAACCTCCGACTACCGCCCGCCCATCCAGACTCCAAACTCTTTCCCCCCTGCAACCCACATCACAACCGTCAAGATGACTTGGCTCGGAGCTCGCGCACTCAAGAAGTACCCCACGCCTGTCCGTACGTATCGCGCGCCACTCGTCTTTCGTGTATGTCTGCCGGGCAATCGCTGACCTCCCTTGCAGTTAAGCCGATGGCGCCTTTCTTCGCTGCCGGTATGTCCGAGTCCCATGTTTGATCCCAGAACCCCGGGCGAAACGAAACCATTATCGCGAGAAATCGAACCACGACGAAAAGGAGTGACAGAGAGCGCAACAGGGGCTGATATGTTTGCAGGTCTGGTCATCGCCTACGGCATCAACTCCGCCCAGAACGCCATGATGAAGTGTACGTCGCGCCAATCGACACCCTCGAATGGTCCAAGACTAACACAGAAACACAGCCGACGAGTGGAAGAACGACGCCCGCAACCCCCTCGCCAAGAAGGCTCACTAAATTCGCGATGGAATAGTCCGGGGCTATGCAGAGACAAGGCCGAGCATTTGAGGAACGTGTTGAGGATAACAGACCCGCCAACGCGTTTTTCTTCATGGACGCTGTACCATAGACACACGGCTCTGCATCAATTGAGCTGTTGTACTAATCTATCCATCTTGTGTCCTCCGTCAAAGGATTGTCTGGAGACTGAGGGGCCACACTTCGTATCCTTGCGACCTGGCAAGCGGTGACATGCTCAATTGCGTTGTTGAAAGCGATCCCCATGTGTAAATGCCGCAATCGACGGATTCCGTACGAAATACCGCGAAGTCGGTCGCGGACGGTCTCAAATTGGCAATGCTTACGGTGATGTTGAAGTTGGTTGCAGGTCCAAAAGACCGAGAGGCTCGGACGGACGGTATTACAAATCACGTGACAGCAGTAACCTCAATAACGTTGTCCTCGAAGAAGTTGAAGAGTCAGGAGAGCCTAGGGATTCTCGACCTTATGAATGCTCCGAATTTGTGACGTTGAAGTCCGTTAGCTGACTTGGTCAATCGTTTCGGCGGGCTCCTTATCGCCGTCTTCCATCCACCTTGGTTTCGGCGAAGAGTCAGTGTGGATTCGTCAGAATCCACACCTATCCTACTTCACACTTCTGACCTCACTTTACGCCCTTTCAAAGACACCATAGATACAACTCCACACATGAGACTCGCACTTCAGTTTGGGATAAACTCTTTAGTTTCTGGTTCTAGATCTTGCCATTCAATAACAGCGGGATTCAAGTCTCGACCCTATTTCGCTCATATTCTCACCTGCACAATGTCAACGACAAGTGGCTCAACGCCGAACGGTGCGGCGGCGAAGAAGCCCAACGGGAAGAAGGAGATCAAGATTCTCATGCTCCACGGTAAGATATGTGCCCCGCCACTCACAGCATCTAGTCCCTCTTTCGACCGGAGCTTCCTGTCAATATACCACTCACTATGCATGCCATGTAAAAACACATCTCACTAACACTCTCAAGGGTACACCCAGTCGGGCCCCCTCTTCCGCTCCAAGACTCGTGCCCTAGAGAAACTCATGGTCAAGTCTCTGGGCTCCTTTAACCTCGTCCCATCCCTCTTCTACCCCACAGGCCCGAGCAAGCTCTCACCCCGCGACATCCCCGGCTTCGTCCCCGACGAGTCGGGCGGCGAAGAGCAGGACATCGACGCCTGGGCCTGGTGGCGCAAGGACGACTCCACAGGCTCCTACCGCTTCCTCGCCGCCGGCGTCTCCGCCGTCGCCGACGCGGTGCGCGAGGCTGGCGGCAACGTTGATGGTGTGGTGGGCTTCAGCCAGGGCGGCGCCTTCGCCGCGCTGCTAACCGCGATGCTCGAGACGCCGCACCGTGACGAGGGAAAGATCCCTGAGGACTTGAAGGCGTCGGTGCAGGCGCTGAGGGAGGCGAATGGCGGGCAACCGTTCAAGTTTGCGGCGATTTACTCGGGCTTTTATGCGCCGCCTGAGGAGCTGCAGTGGGCTTACGAGCCCAAAATCAAGACACCTACGCTGCATTTCATTGGAAGCCTCGACACTGTGGTGGAAGAGTCACGGAGTAATGGGCTGGTGGACCGCTGTGAAGCCCCGATGGTGGTCGTTCACCCCGGCGGTCATTACGTGCCCATCTCCAAGGAGTGGGCTATGCCGCTTATTGGCTTCATCAAAAAGATTGCCGATGAGGAAGCGGCAAAGAGCAACATTTAGAAATACAAGCAGGCACGGCAAGTTACGAGGAAATGATTGAGATATCGGCATAGAAATGGGGCATCAGAAAGCACAGGGTCATCATAGAATAGACCGAAGCATGTTTTACACATCCCAGCCCGGTTCATTGTCTTCGTCTAAGATAGTGTTCTACAATTACACGCCGTATTCCGTGTCATGACCCCGACAACCCATTGACCGTCTAATGCGCCTTGGTAGCCTTTCCCTTGCCCGACTTGGAGGCGCCAGGCTGGATGTTGGCCATCATCTCCTCCTTGGTAATGAGATGATCGATGCGCTCCAGATGGCCCAACAAGCTCTTCATGTTGGAACTCCACTCGTTCAGGATGTCGTCCGCGTCTCTAGGCTTCGCGAAGCTCACAATACGCGCAGGACGGTCGATCTTGGCGTAGATGGTCTTCGATGTGACCAGCTCACTGATGTACTTCTCTGTTTCGTCCTCGGTGAGATCCAGGAGTTGGGTGAGGCGCTGGGTTTGAATACGGGTGTAGTATTTGGCAACCACACGCACGTTGTGCTCAATGACTCTCTTGCGGAGGTCCAACCAGCGCTGGTGGGCCTTCTCGTCATCAGACTGGCCAGGCTGGGCGTCGAAAACGTCGGTCTCGCAGAGGTGAGGGCCAAACGTCTTGGCGACCTCGGGCCAGCGCATCAGCTCGTGGACGGTGAAGAGCTTGAGAAGGTCGGCCTCCTGAGAGACTTGGCTGATTCTGGAATCCTTCTGGATTCTATGGAGCAGATCATGCTGCTCATTGTCGTGCGGCGCAAGGATGACAAAGTAGATGATGCGTTGCAGGACCTGTTAATCATAATGAGTCAGCGAATGAGCTTGCCGCGGCAGCGTGTCGTTGCTTACAGGGTGAAGCTTCTTGGGGTCTTCCTCAACCGCCTCGGTGTCGAGGACCTGGCGGTAATGCTTGCAGACATCAAGGTACTTATCATCGTGCTTCGCAAGGATGATTTGTTGCTCGTAGTACCGAAGCTTCAGGTCGGTTGTGTCGTCCTCCTTCTCCTCGGGAACCTCCTCGCCTCTCGCCTTCTTCTTCTCGCGTTCCTTCTTCTCCTTCTCCAGTTGCTCGGGGGTCTTCTTCGGCTTTCGCGACAGGTAGCGGGTGCTGATCTTCCGGCTCAAGATGCTGGCTTGAGTCCAGTCGCCGACCTCGATGCAGAGAGCGACTTGTGCTAGAATGAACTCAGTCTTCTCCCGTCGGTCCATAGAACCGAACGTCTCCACCTGCAGCTCGCACAGGATGTCCGTTGCCGCCTTCAGGTCGCCCTGCTCCTTCTTGATGTCGGACAAGGTCTTGGTGACGCGCGCGCGCTCGACCTCGACAAAGATCTTGCCTTCGGTAACTGTCCGCAGTGTCTCGATGACGGAAAGCTTGGTTTCGAGGTTCGGGGTAGAGTCGAGGAAGCCCATCACCGCTTGGACCATTTTGGTAATAGCTTGCTTGAGCTGGCCATGCTTCTTGGAAAGAATCAGGACCTGCTCGTTCATCAAGCTCCAGTCACCAGCATTCTTAGCGATGTTCACGATGGCGATGAGTATACGCGACGTTGACGCAAGATCTGAAGACTACGGCTCGTTAGCACATTGCCACGACATCTGGGAAAAGGAGGGGCAGGTGGCCTACTTGGCGGGTCTGCTTCTCTAGAACGCTGAGCTTCTCGATGGCGGCTGAGACATCACTCTATTTTCCCATTAGCGAAAGCTTTGCGAGCTCCAAACCACAACTGCGCCAACCTTTGCGAGCTTCTCAGCCTCCGGAATCTGCTTGTCAGTCTCCTTCGAGAAGTCCTTCTCGGGCTTCAGAGCGCCGTCCGACATGCTGGGCGATTGTTCCGGGATTAATTTGTTCGTGGAGGATTGGATTGTTCGGGTCCTGAGGTCGTGGGAGAGTCGGTGTTGAGGTTCGGGGGTTTGTGATCTGGAAGGCGAGGCTAGAGTGGTTGTTTGGTCAGAGGCTCCCGCAGCTACGCAACTGCTCGTGCCTACCTTACCCTGGCCACCTCCGATGCTCAGGTACCCGGATTAGGTAAGGCGGGGCATATCTGGCGGAAGGACGTACCTTTTCCCGGCCGCCGGAGCTAACCCAGTCGCCATTGGTGGTCTGTGCACATCCTACCTGCCAGTCTACCTTTCTCACCGTTGCCTTCAGTTCTTTGGGATGACCTGGGGTGAGAGGTAATTGTACGACAGTGAAAACCGATGCTGTTTCCTGGTCAATCCAGCAAGGCTTCTCGCCAAACAGCTATCCAAGCAAATTAGCTGAGTGCTAATCAGGCGCCGTGAATATCTCCAGAGCTTCCCCGCTGAGCCGAACCACTCACTCTGTCACACTCGAAAGAGATATGCCATCAATACTAGCTTGAAAAGGTTCTGCAACACGTCCACATGGAAGCGGGAACAATAGTCTCAGGGTGCCTTGGCTTAAGTGCTGATACGATCGTTCTCAGTTCAAAGCATTAGAACGACTTGATCATGGTCAGCCGAAGCAAAAATGAACCTTTGTATTGCTGTTCATAGGGCGAAGCCAAAATCACGGTTGTTGAGTCTGGAGTCACGATATCAAAGTCAAAGCATTAGTGTCCTGTCCCTTCTTTTTTCCCATCATCTATGACTCGAGAAGAAGGGTTTTCGTGCCCGACCAGTGGTTTGGCGACAAGTATGGGATTCGCATACAGCAAATGGCAAGTATAGGCATACTCATCGACCAACCGGCATACCCGTCGTAGCGAAACGAGGGTCTTTTAGGTTTGTCGACTTCCGACGTCACGGCACAAACATTCCAGGTCAAGCCGAGAACATTAAACACCATATGGCGGGATTGCAATCCAGCACAATCATTGCCCAGCCAGGTCGAGCTCAACAGATAGCGACTCATGGTAATGTAGAAGATTGATTTATATTTTAAGTTCATACAAATGCTTTATACATTAAGCTCGATCACTAAGAGCCTTCATATTTAGCAAGTAAGTGCTTAAACATCGGGGTTGGCGTCAATAACAATAGTCGTGGGGTAAAGCTGGTTGCACAGCTCGTCACCGAGACCACCAGCATGGCAGTATGTGAAAACATCGCCCTCACCATAGAAGCCGACCCTAAAAGACTCATGTTAGTGATTCGCTAGTACAAGATGGTGTGCAACTCATCGGCGGGATAAACTTACGCAAGGCCGAGCTCATGGTAGATACGCAGAGCGAACTCGGTTGTGACGCCGGGCTGGATGCTGAAGCGGTACTTGGAGTCACCGCAGGTGATGACTTCGGAGGGAACGCTGGTAGCGCCTTGGCAAGCCAGGCCGGTAGCGTTCTTGCCGGAAAGAGAGAAGCTGACGCTGGTTACAGTGCCGTTCTCCTGCTTGCGAACGGAGAGGTCGGCGATGTCAATGTTCTCATAAGTATTGGGGTCGGCCTGAGGGGTCGGGACGGCGATGGCGGAAGCGCCAAAGAGAGCGGCGACGGTAGCGAGAGTGAACTTCATTGTGATAGAAGTGGTGAGAATTGGAAGATGGTATTTTGTACTTTTTGACTGCAGAAGGTAATGAAGTGGTCGCAGAGTGTTGACGGTGCTGTTTACTTGGGTGAGGCACCGTACTGCTTTATAGGTAGTCTCATATGGGAATGCTGGGCCGAAGACCGCCGGAAATTCATCCTCGCTAAGTAAGATGTCGGCCCAGTCGGACAAATGAGGTTGACGATTTCGACGTCACCTGCGCTTGGTAGACAACTAATCTGTGGGGAACGCTTGTTCGGCACCACCAAGAATTGCTTCCTTGCTTCCAGACTTCCCGCGAGTGAGCCCGGGGCTCGCCGCGAGCAAAACATTCGAACACGATGGGACCGTTGAGCCAGCCGCTTCCAAGGGTTCCACATCATGGCACGGGCCCGAAATAGAAGACGAGATGAACCTCACTTCACATAACGTCAACTCTTGTTAGTTTCCTTAATTCACCGTGATCCTGATTGTTCACATGATCACAATAGCGGTTTCGCGGTGAGTTGTGGCTGCAAGCGACGGTGGTGGACTTCTTTCGGGCAGGATGACGATGCCGGGGGAGGCGACGGCGTTCAAAGTCAAAAAGAGGTGCACTAGCAAACCGCTAGAATAGACTGCAACGTTGTTGCGCTGCGTTGGCGGTTGCATTGAGCGAACATGACATGGGTGGATTTGCGATGATCTTCTCGTATTACTGCCAGGATTTGATGTTCGTTTTTCGCCGCTGCGGAGACGGGAACCACGTCTAGCATTGCAAGCATTACTGACCCCGGTCTAGCTGCTAATGATTGGAACTTCTTAATGCCAGCTTCTGCGCCTGGCTCGGCTGAGTCATAAGGCTCTCCGAGTACCGTGAAGTTAAGCCTCGATCCAAAGGCTTCTTAAAATAGTCCTTACTCAACTTTCGTTTCGACAACATCGTATTGCCGCACAAGGGGTAGACACCCGAGGCCGCGCTTTGAGGTCCTCAATTTAACGAACCTGCTAGAACACTGGGCCGGCTCTCGCCAAATTATCGGTTGGGAAACCGATGCTAAGCACAATCCCAGGCAAGACTGCTGCCCGCTGAGCTTCTAGCTTTCAAGCGTATTATCAGTTATGCATAAGAAAACCCCCCAAACCCCCAGACCGACCAGCTTAAGGCCAATTTCATGTTGGCTTCTACACCTAAATTGAATACGCAGTGTACAAGATGAACGTATGCCTCCTACCAGTCTTCTGAATGACCAATTCGCGAATATGCACAGTGAATAAGAAACACGGACCATGCACGAAATAAAACCTTGAGATCTGTTTCATTCACCATTCTTCATCTTCAAGCGTTACAAGCCCCTTGTTATACATATCCCTCACAACTGGATACGTAGCATAGGCGAAGTTGCTCTGTCTCTTCAGAACATATGCTGGCGTTATTTCGGTGACGCCTTCCACCGGATTGAGGTCCCAATCTGGGGTGAAGCTATGGATGAGGTACGATGTCGAAAAGTCTTGAACCCACGCTGGGGGTTTCTCATCGCTAGTGGGAAGAGGCTGTCCCGGTACGAGATAGTCCAAGGGGGACGTTTCATTGTGAAGACCGAATAAGCGGCGAGCGTCGTCAAATGTCCAGCCGATGGGCGCAAATGCCTCTCGGTCCATGATAAGCATCTCGCCAGGATCCGGAACGAGACTACGCGCAACAACTGTAAGGGCATCGTTGCTGTGCGTGGTCCAACTGCCATCATATACCTCGTGCATCAATCTCATCCACTTTGTAATCATTTTGCTGCCCTTCTTGGCCATGAATGAACCGCTGTTCAGGTTGTTGTCTTGTTGCCGGCCGGCGATGGCGTTGAACCCGCTTTTGCGCAGTACAGCGATGTCTCGCAAGGGCTGTATATCGAAGTCTATGTATATGCCGCCGTAGTCATGGACCGCCTTGACTCTTGCAAAGTCCGAGATGTGCTCGTTGAAGCCGAATTGGACACCGTCCTTCGTGGTACTTGGCATCTCAACCCGATTGACCTTTAAGCCAGGAATCGACAGGATGCGCATGGCCCATTTGCTGAAGACTCCATCTCGTGCATCGGCGATTGCACGTTCGTAAGCATTCGTATGAAGATAAATGGTGTGCGGTTTCCAGTAGTACCACGCTGAGTACACAGAGAGGTACTGTTCAAATGTGAAGAGGAGATCGTTGCTGGTATCGTTGAGGGCCCATATATAATGAACTTGGTTTGGGATATCATCCTCAACCTTGCCCTCGACCCTGCTCCGGAAACTTTGGGATGCAGAAATGATGTAAGGGTGGGATGACGCCTTAAAAAGGCCGACAAGTGTAATGATGCTGAAAGCAAGTACAATGATGACAATCTTGAGCTGAAGCCGCGGGCTGCGCTGTCCAATGTTCCACTTAGGCCGACTAAGCACGCTCGAGACGGAAGAGAGAAGGTTTCCGCTAGAAGCCATTGTCCCTAGGACTGTAGTGGCGTCTTGTGCAAAAAGGACAAAGGAGGAGAACTCAATACGCACTGGACCGCGTAATCCTTAAATGCTATCGAGATACAAACAATTGAGTTTTGCTCAACTATCTGAATTTTATCGCTTGCCGACAGAGTTCAGACAGTGGTCGACTTTGTCGCGTCATTCGAGGATTATGCAAGGGTCATACTTGCTTGTGGTTGAGGACCTCCCGCTTTGATCCGACAGATTGGTTTGATTTAGCCTTCATCGCCAAATTGACATTCTGCGGCAGATAACTCATATAAGTGGACTGCCGGAGACCGCGGAGCGTTAACTCTATTTGCAGTAAGGCATCTAGTTGGACCTAGAATTTACTTGGGTCGCCGACCTCACGTTGATGTATTGCAGAGCGCTCGCGAGCCATCCAAAAAAATTTCACGAATGTACAACTATATAATGAGAGCCTCATTGCAAAGCCACATCAATAAATCCCATTCTAAGCGGTGAGATCCGAGTCGCCGTATTTGAGTTTGTTTCATCTCGTCGGTCTGACCCTGCTAATAATAGCTTGCGGGGTGGGGTATCTTCCTACCCGGTGGTACCGCCTTGAAGATCGACCAACCAACATGTAGATGAAGTTGCTAGAATGTTTTGATTTATGCACTGGACTGATGGCCTCACACTGTGGGATGTGCGTTCACATTTTGATGTATCGCTGGTCTACATGCTTCTTTTCTATTAGCGGTAAACTTTTGCATCAATTTGAGTGCAACAATCCAACGCTGTAAACTCTATTCAGTTGATCTGCATGCCGTAGGTATACACGCATGCAGGTGCAATTCGTCTGTATAGCCTTTACTGTCTCATCGATGTACCCGTGGACGATTTGTGTCTCCAGATCAATATCACCAGCTATCTTCCCTTCCAGCCCTATTTCCCTTGGAGTCCTTCCTCAAGTAAGAGTGTCATTAAGGCCAACTTGTTCGCATTGACAGATATCAACATGAACGTTTCCTAGTAAGTCAGGCACACGATACTTTACTAACTTAACGAAGTGCCGGGCAAATCCCATTCTCGGAGGCCCGGGGCCATGAATACCCACGGTGATGCGTCATGATCAATTGCTCGATGACCAGCAGGGGCCGATTGGGGATAAAGCTCTGCCGCCGCGGCTTCCAGGTCAGTGTCAGTCGTAGGTTGAGTAGTGTCCGCGCCACCGTCCCCTCCTTCCTTCTTGATCTTAGACGCAGACTTCCTTACGTCTCGGGGCTTTTCTTTTGTAAACGTGATGAGCCCTCGAGCCTCCTCAGGGATGTCACCTGATTCCCACATCGCCTTCAACTCGTGAAGAGTCCACATGGTCCTCTTTCGCGGCTCGGGTGACTTCCTTCGCATAAGCCGAAGAATCTCTTCGTGGGCCTCTCTCTCTGCTCTCAAATTCGCAGCTTCCCGGCGCTTCCTCTCCTTGGCGAGAGGGCGCTGCAAAAATTCAGGCAAGTTCTCCTCGTCCAGGAGGTCCTCTTCGATAAGTGATGAAGCAAACGTCTTGCTAATACTGTAAAAGTACTTCTTTTTCTTTTCAAATGCTCCAGAAACAACTTCCAGGCGTTTTTCGTTTTCTGCAAGTCGAGATTCGAGACGTGGGTTATTTCGACTCCATTCCACTGCTTGCTGAGCAGCACTGATGTCGCGTATCATTGTACGCAGCTTCTCCTGGGCGTTGTGCCATCTCTCGGCGCGACCGAGGATCTGTGCGTCATAAATAAAACTGATCTTGACCAGATTGGATAGTCTGTAAAGATCGCACCAGAATTCCCCCATGAGGAGGTGGGCTGAGTTTGCTCTGTCGCAGGCAGGGCACGGTTCACCGCGAGATGCCCTTTCTTCATCCTGCTTAAGCTCTTCCATATATTGAGCCCACTCTGGGAGCATCTATGAACGTCAATACGTGTTTGTGATCGCATGAGGTTGACACATAACCGACCTTCTAGACTTGGCCAAAGTGCCGACGAATGGTTGGTATTGAAATGGACTTGAGACGTCGGAATTGTTGCAGGATGCCGTTAATAAACGTGTCGACGTTGCGAATATGGAAGCTTCTCGAGATCAGCAATGGGGCAGCTGCGGCATGCGGGGTATAGGAGCATGGGCTCCTGACTAAGCACTACAATTTTGATCCACTTAATAGCACTTATACATAACTAGTACTTTGCTGATGATTCATTCTTCAGCTGATATTATCAGAACTAGCACATCGACTTCGCGGAATGTGAAAACTTTGTTTTGCAAAGGAAATTTTCGCTGCCAAGGAATTATTATGTTGCGCCTGCATAAGAATTCCTGGCGCTCTGCATTCTCTTAGTGCCACTGCCATAACGAGGTTGAGACTATCTGCTTGAGACCGTCCCCTCTCGTACGCTCAACGAGGTCAGTTGCATGGTACCAAATAAAAAAGCTATCCAAAAACACTTATGAGGGAACGAATCACGAATTTGATTGCTAAAGAAGCATATCAGTTGTTGCATAGCGTTTTAACTTGAGAGTCGTAAACCCCCACTTGACAGGCTCAAAATGTGACAGGACAAATAGCGGAACTGCTGCAGTCATGGCTCATATTACGACAGCCGTCAGCCGTTTAGTTGTAGGGCTTATTGTCCACTAGATTCATTCTTATGTAAGAGAACAATTGGAGAAACATGTATTTATTTATTAAAATCCGGTTTCCGTCTTTATTTAGTTGATATATTTACTGTTCTTCACTCAGTTTCATTGTTCGGCCGTGCAAAAGTATTGGCCCTCTGACGCTTGATGCAACTCGGGCTTGCAAATACCCTACCAGTTGCGAGAACACAACTAGGATCATATTTTTCTTTGATTTCAATCAATTTCTGTACATTGTCCCCCCATACTCGATACCCTTCAGTGTCTGGCGAGACGCAGTTCGGATAGTCCGCTAGGAAAGGACCGACTTGATCTTGATGCTGATATACCATATCGTTGAGGATTGTGTTAGTCCTGATTTCCACAACTATTATCAGCCGATCTGAATGTAATCTATTGTGAGAAGGGGCGCACTCTATAGTCAGATGGTCGTTTTCATAGAGGCTCCAGCCCGGTGAAAAGAGTGTCTGTCCAGCAACGGTATGAGGCCAGGAAGTATCTTCATCATTGGCAGGTGAGTTCCCATTCAACCCAGAATACATGTATTGCAACGCCCATAACGAGCTTAAAGGAACCTCTCCTGTCTTGAGCAGGGAGTTCAGCCAGTCTTTTGTTGTCGTCTTCGCGTTCTGTAAGAGCTCGCTCGTCACTTTGGTCGTCTGTGGACCCCAGAACCCTCTTCTGAAACCATACGGAAAGAACTGGTCAATGTGTTGGAAAGCGCTGGCGTATGGAAGATTGTAGTCAATATCTGACGCCGTTTTGACTCACTTCAGCAGCGTGCTGTTATTGAAGACCTGGGGAAAGCTTGGTTGGGACGAACTATTGATAGGGTTGTCGAACTGAAGCCCTATCAGCACCGTCCTTGGGGCAACGTTTGCTGTGAGATTGCGGAAATCAGCTGGAAGATATCCAGAAACATAATACATCAATGTGAATGGGTCTGTTTTAGACTTGAAGAAATTCACCGTGTTTTCTTGAGCTTGAGCATCAGACTCGTTGGCTACAACCCAAAGGTAGGAATGGCTTCGCTTTGGTTCCTTGAACCCACAGCGTTAGCATTCTTCTGGATGGATAGAACAAAGGTGACATGTAACTTACAGGGGCCACTTTCTGGTAGAACTTGGTGACGATGCCAAACTGTCCGCCACCTCCCTGGATTGCCCAGAACAAGTCCGCATACTGGTTTGCTTTCGTGGCCGTCACCATGGAGTCGTTCATCAAGACAACGTCCATAGCAAACCAGCCTGTCACCAGAAAAGCCGTAGGCACCGGCCAGGAAACCGATACCACCACCTGTGGAGAATCCACCAACTTCAACGGTGCTGTCTCATGTACCAACGGCAGCATAACCTGTGCCATTCGTGACCTCAAAAACAGATCCCCACCGTGCGCTTCCTTCATATGTGATCACCGTTTTGGCTGGAATGGACCCGTCGAAAGCCTCGTTTGTGACAATCTCGGTTTTGTTCAAATACCTGAGATCAATTAGATTACCATCGGTGGCAGCGGCCCCAGTAACTAGGAAAAAGGGTGTCAGTCCATTAAGTACCAAGTTTAGGCACAGTGCTGTGTTTGCCGCCATTGGGTAGGTATGAGTAGTATACATACTGCCATGCAATCCACTCCCAAAGGCGAGCTCCTTTTCCCCAGCTTCTGGACAGCTGGTGAAAGCCAAGACGGCATCTCTGACGTCTTCTGCTATCGAGGGATAAGCAACAACGCTCGCGTTGTGTGCATACTGAACACCCCAGTAGCTTTGAACGTTGTCCTGCTGCAGCTTAGATCCAAGGCAGCCAATTGCAGATGAGCTGGAGAAATGTCTAGCAAGCTGCGTAACCAGTCGTGTTGGCTCAGAGCATTCGACCTTGGCGTCAATCTCTAGGGCTGCGGGAACGAGGACAGCAAGCACAATGGAGACCAAAGACACGAATCTCATCTTGATACCCAATTTCGTATTCTCCTAGACCGTATGGTGAGGCTTTAAGAATGCGTCTCTATTAAAAGGGTTTCCGGACATGACAGCTAATATAAAGGGTTAGACCCAGAGCAGCCTAGAAACGACTTTCAGAAGAAGATTATACAGATATAAAGTCGGACTGCATCGACTGTGGCATTCACCCGGTCTCTTCGGCATTCACATCCTCGCAGCGACGCGTCCGCTCCATCGGAGATTGAAGGGGCTCTGTGCGAAATGTTTTTCGTACGGGTTGTAGAAAAAGATTGGCTAGCCAGACAATTTTAGGAAACTGCCCGGGAAACATGCCGCTTTCTGTTGGCGGATGTTAGTATCATTGATTTTCCGAGGGGCTCGCACCGGCCCTGCGGCCTACGCTGATTTAGCTGACACCTGTCCGGTCGTAGGGGTAAAATCGACCATGGCTGCATTTAGCCTTCGCTTGTGTGAAATACCTCCTGATTAGGTTACTGGCGTAATTGACTTAGCTGCCGCAATGGATGGCCGCTATGAATAATAGTCACAATGTAGCTGATTGTATGGCTGTACTGCACAGGGTAGCTTACTAGTGAGTATTAGCAGGTAGAGAACGATCCGGCTAGCGCAATTCAAGGTTTCTACTATTGCAAAAACAGTCTTTTGAAGGTATTGGGTCATGGGTGACATTGTAGCGAAAAGGGTTGAGAGGCGGCAACCAGGAGTTTTGCATCATGAACCAAACCATATGTGAGTTTGACAATCTTAGGAAGATGATGGCTAGTTGATATGAGATCTCCTGTTTAATTGTTATCAATTGATGAAGTAACCATAATATCATAAGCTTCAGGCCTAAGCAACCTTGGCTGTAGTAATGTACCTCCTTATCAAACCTAGAGGAGCTATCCAGCATCTGTCAAAATGTTACTAGAAGGCTCAGCACACAGAACTTAGAGAATTATAGTGCTGATCAGTCTTTTCCAAGTGCTATATCAACAGGCTTGGTGAGTTTTATGAGGACTGTTTCTCAGTCTTGATCAACTCATTTTTTTCATTCATTCTTTTGTATAGCCATTTCGCATCACAGCCCCTATCTCTATTCTCACTTCAACCCACATACCAAGCGATGGCACACGCCGGCATTGGCGAGAGACAAGTGAAAAAGACCGAAACGGACACCCTCAGGCGCACTCTTGAGGCGGGTATCCGCCGGGACCACGGATGCGAGGCTTGAAGGCATCAAAGTTAAAAACCTTGTGGGGTTTGCCAAGTTTCCTTTAGGCGTCGCTGGTCCGTTACGCATCAATGGCCAGTACCAGCAGAAGACTGTCTTCGCCCCTCTAGCAACCACGGAGGCCACTCTCGTCGCCAGTTGCTCGCGAGGATGCAAGGCCTTGCAGGCCTGTGGCGGTGTCCAGACTGCCGTGCTTGGCCAGGGCATGTCTCGAGCCCCTGTATTTCGCTTTGCGAACGTGGGCGATGCTGTACGGTTCCACTCTGCTGTTCGTGCTGGAGAGTTTGACGAGGCGTGGAAGACGAGTGCAGAGTCTACAAGCCGCTTTGCTAGATTGCTGAAAGTCACGCCACATATCATTGGGAAGAACGTGCATGTAAAGTTTTTTTACACGTCTGGTGATGCCGCGGGACAAAACATGACGACCACTGCAACGCACGAAGCTTTAAGGGACTTTTCCAAAAGCCCTGAGGCAACAAAGTATCAAGTTCTGGGCTACCTGATCGAGGGACAGATGGCGAGCGACAAAAAGATGTCATGGGGAAATGTATTTGAGCCTAGAAGTGTGCAGACAGTTACTTGGGTTACTCTGACAAACAAGGCCTGTGAGAGGATTCTTGGCCTTACGACAGCTGAGTTGGACAAAACCAGTGAGTGCCATTCGAACTTGATACTCCTCGTTAAACGAGTTTGAAACAAGTAGCTAATACTCTGCAAGTGTCCATCTGCCGTGAGGGCACCATCAGGAATGGTTTTATGGGAAACAATATCAACACCGCCAACATCACGGCTGCTATGTTTCTCGCGCGCGGCCAAGACGTTGGAAGCCTAGTAGAGTCAGGGTGGTCTCAACTGACTCATGAGTATGATTGTACTACTGGAGACATGTCACTCAGTCTGTTCTTCCCGTCTCTTCTGGTAGGGACGATGGGAGGAGGCACTGGTCTCGAAACCCAGAAGCACTGCTTGGATCTCATCCACTGCAGCGGAACGGGAAAGTAGTACGCCTTGGCTGAGACTATTGCCGCCTTCGCCCTTGCACTAGACTTGAGCATTATCAGTGCTGTAGGGAACGACTCATTCTCCCAGAGCCATGAGCGCCTCGCTAGGACCTCCAGAGCGAGGTTGTAACCGAATGGTTATCGACGTATGTTAAAGAGAGTTAGACTTCTTCAATAGTAAACAGACCGCGCTATGTTTAAATCGAATTACAGTTATTGCCAATCTATTGGGCAGCTGAGACTCGAGAGTTATAGATTCAAAGGCATGGCGCTATGTATGTATGTTTAGATAGCACATATGTACAGCATTATGATGATCTATGTCTGAGAAGAGCTGAATATGAGCATGAATGATTTTAATTCTTTTAGAGGTTTCGAATGATGTGAACTCGCGGCCGGTTCTTCCGTAATGCTTCCCTAGATCAATATATTCTTTGTACCCTCACCCAAAATTTTCGATTCCCTGAATCAAGATCGCGATATCGACAATAGCACAATTCAGAAATACGTGAATAGCTCCAACATCTCATGGAATGGGCACCAGACGGTAATGCTCGTTGTGCCGCTGTTGATCTCTTAAATTTGCGCTCCAGATATCAAAACTTGATGGATAATCACGAACTTCTTCTATGAAGTGATGGTATCAACAAGACAGACTCGCCCACGCATGTATCTCGGGCTGTGAGCTTCGTTTTCTAGTTAGCACTGTAGTCTTCGTTATTATTGGCGTCCTGTTTTGCTAAATGAAAAACAGTATCTTGGATACCGCCTGGCACACCGTTGAGAAGTTCAGAGAGCCCTGGGTTCTCTGATATCTTCCGCCAAGCTCCGGTTATAGACGAGGATGTGATGGAACAGTATATCAATGTGACAACCCTATCCACCCAATTGATGAGAGCATTAAGGAGACTTTCGGAGCTGCGAAAAAATTCATTGGAATGTGAGCTAATGTGAGCTCACTTTAGGGTCCCGGGCACGGACGCCACGCTTCGTCGACTGTGAGGGTATTCTTTAATATTACTTTTCAATTAAGTCAGGACCGGAATGAGATAGAATCCTGGCCATTGAATTAGCGTGTGATTATAAGACCAAACTCAGCATGCGGATATACAGTTAGTAGGTATCTTGTTGCGTGTCCAATAGGAGACATAAGGATTTACAGGGACTTTGTTGGTGGTCAATTGTACGCAGGCTTATGTTTTGCAGGATAATACGTTAGTTAACCATTTCTTCCCGTAATTATATCACATGCGCTTGACGCAACACGTGTAGCTATTTATTCCTCCCTGAGCTCAACCTCCCACATTCGCTGAACTTTCATGCTCCTTGAAGATCCACGAAAACTTGTAGAATGCAATGGAGAAACCTGAATGCAATGGAGAAACCTCCCACCAACCGGTAGAACTTTTCACCTACTGCTGCTGCACCTTGTTAATTCTCTCATGCAAGCGATGTCCACGTGCATTAGCGCTGATGCCTGCCCTCTCAAACTTGTTTATATACGCCAGCCCTCACTTTTATTGCACCCTTGGAAACATCTCTCGTGATTTGTCTTGTCAGAACTAAAGTTATGGCAACGTGTGCAGGGTCAGGGGGTTCGCCGCCTATTGGCCTCCTGCACATTGCTCCAGAGCTTTTCTCGATGATCGTCTCACAGCTCGAGATCCGCGAGCTAGCGCCTCTCATGGAAACGAGCAAGACCGCTAATTATTTAACCAGTGCAAGCTTTTACCACAAAATATACACAAAAAAAAGAAGCCCTCATGACACAGCATGGCTAATCGACTTTCTCACTCGGCAGCCTTTCGTTGGGCAACTGATACACTTCATCGTGCTTGACGAAATGGACGAAAGCGCTTTTAGGCAGCTACTTGCCTTTGATTTGCCTGAACTAGAAAGCATTATCCTTCAGCACGAAGGGGAACTTTTGAAGCCTGCGAGTACGAAGACCAAGCAAACTCTGAATGCGTCGATTCATGAAAAGCCTCGGGTCAACAACTGTGCGTATTTCCGTACGACTAGCAATTGACTATCCATTATTCGCGACTAACGTGATGCCATCGTAGTCACATTCAACGTTATGCACGATCCGTATCATCACGAGGCAGCGAAACGCACATTGTATAAGACTTCATTAGAAGACGCTATATTCTTCCATTATCCAACTCTCACTCGCATTCGGCTCTCCTATCTTGATCTCACGGCTTTTGGAGACCTAGCAATCGACTTATTTCCTTTTGAGAAACTGACGACACTGCACATTGAAGTTTGCAAGCTCAATCTCGACGCAATGAAGAAGTTTCTTTTGCCAGCTATATCTCTTCGCGAATTCCGTTTCTACACCCAAACTGATATTCCCTGCACTCCCGAGGAATTTCATACCCTGCTTCCTTCAGCTCAGAACACTCTCAGAGTACTCAAGTTATTCTGGCGGGTGTGCAATATGCGCGCAACCACTGGCATGCATCTCGCCGACTTCACCGCACTGAAACATCTTCTAGTCGATCCAATGCTTTTGTTTGGCAGCCTCACTACTGATTCAAACATGCAAGCTCTCGTCAGGGAGAGGCTTCCTCCAAACTTGAAGGTTCTCTCCCTCGACAATCTGCTGCCAGTAAGACCAGCCCCCCTTGGGAGACTTCCCATGATGGACGCTGTTAAGAAAAAGCTTCTCTGCACTATTGTCGAAGACAGAGACAGTCTACTTCCTCTTCTGCGGTATTTGCTGTACTACAACATGGAAATGTTGTCCGACTTAGATCCTCTGCCTCAAGGGATAGCGATAGCGAAAGGAATACTGTTGGCGCCTATGTATGCGCATGATGACCCTGAATACGACATGGACTGGTTGGAATCTCTTGGGAGAGGGCAATCGGAGGCATCAGATGGATAGGGAGTACAGCCCGGTTAGCCACGCCCTGCATGGTGGGGCCAGCCCCTCAGCCACAACGAGGGGCATATCCCACTTCACCTTGCTGCTGACTGCGCAGTTAGATCTCTTATCTTCATACCTAATATACAACCACCGGCAATATCACTACTTTGACGTGATTGTTACCATTACTTATACAAGTATTACTGCTTGTGAGACTAACAGAATCAAATGAAAGCCCTCGTATGTGAGATGAACCCCTTCAAGGCCAAGTCAAGGAAGAAAATCTGATGTAGCCAGTGATGGAGAAAATGGCAAAGAGAATGTGCCTGTAGTTTGATGCAGCAAACTCCCTATCATTCATTATAAACAGATTTCAGCTGAACTGTGCTGTCTCAATATGAGGGTAAGGTCTCAGGGAGTGGTCATTAAAGTACTGTCAACGTGCCCTTTGAAACAGGATAACAACGAAATGCATATCCAAATTCGACCCGTCTGGAGTTGTGAGTAAACCTCACTGCTCTGGAATCAACAAGGTCTGCATTGAAATACAGGCGTATCTTTCGCATCCTCAAAAACCCTTCTTCCGTCTGGAGAACATCCAAGAGGTCCTGAACGTGAGGGACTATCTCCAAGGTACAGCCATGAAGCTCGAGGAATTCCAAGTTAGGGGGGATGTGTTTAGCAAGCCGAGGTGCTTTCTCTACTTCGGAGAGCTTCTCCTCTTGAGGGGTTGGATTACGCTCATCGTCTATCGTCCAGAGGTCTGTGAAACCTACGAAAGCCTCCATGCCGATACGCAGGGTCTTCAAGGAGACCATGTCCTTCAGGAATGTGCCGATAAAAAAGTTATCCCGCTTAAAGAACCAGTCCATTTCCCTCCAGCGGTCCTGATAGTCGATGTGCAAGTGTTGTAGGGTCTCCCGGTGCGGTGACAAAGCCTGCAAAAGATCTGGTAGCTTGATTTGCATGTCGGAGAACGTGCTGTCGCCTGGAGTCCAATGAAACGACTTTAGTCCCTTGCAAGCACGTATGAGACTTCTCAGCCCCTCTATTGTAACGTTGGCATCGAGTAGAGTCAGGTACTGAACGTTTGAGGAGCCTGGAGGATTGGCCTCTTCATCGAAAAGGTGCCCGTTCGGACCACTATTGGATAAACTAGCGCAGGTGAAGGATCGAAGTTGTGGCAGTTGCAGGAATTCTTTGCCAATGTTGAAGAAATGAAACAGACTCTTCGGGCTTTCTGGCTCGCCAAAGTACTCTCGCAAGCTTTCGAGCAGGGGGCGACTTGTCTTGGAAGCTGGTCCATTGATAGAAAGCATTGCGTGGTTTGCTGCCGCCCTGATGAGGCGAGGGAGCAGCCGAGGCGATAGCGGGGTTCCAAGTTTGAGTACTTCGACTCTCGGACATGCGAGTAGTAGAAGACCAATTTGCTGCTCAACTAACCCGTCGGCTAGACCTCGGAGCCACTCATCTCTCACAGTTTCCCAGTCTTCGATATGGTCGGGCAGACCTGATGCATCTATCATATTCGTGTACACAGCAGTCTCATCGCTGGCGGGCCCAAGCGGTCTCTTATTGGCGGGGGCGAGCCTGTAGATCAGGCTCGTAGAGACGTGTATAATGTTTATACATCGCACGTTGTTCGCAAGCTCAGGCCTCGTTATGGTGATGTAACGGAGAAAGTCGAGATTGCGACTGCGCTTCTGCGCGTGCTGGCTCATGTTCTTCGAAGTGACATTCTCGTAGGTGTGGACCGACAAGGGCAAGGCAACTTGGTAGAGATGCTTGCATGTCAAGAGGACCGCATGTATCGTCTGATGATGCAAAGAGACTAATTGCTGAAGTATTTGGGTCTGGACCTCAACAGGCAGCTCAGGAAAGGATGGGGTTTGGGTAGTTGGATTGTCGTGTGCCATTTTGTAGTACTTGCTTGTCCTAGGGCGGAACGAATTGGCTTGTCGACCGGGCCTTTTTGGGAGTTGTTTGAGGAGAGTTGCATGTGTCAGAATGAAAGAGGTGGCTGGAGGGGCTAGGCACCAACCAGCGTCTGGCCCTAGGACCGCTGGCGTCTGCTGTTCCAACCAACAGACCAAAAAAAAGCCTTTTGGATTGGGGGACAGGCTGCTAGCTCAATATGAGATGTGACGAATTAATCTCTACGACCACGATCAAGACCCGGAGTTTTCATCGATCACAATTGAAGACTTAAATAATAAATTTTTGTTCTGCCGAAAGTTTCAATTGCGAGACTACTAGGTGATTAACATTGAATTGTTTCCCGCTCAACAGAATCGGTCGCACGTTCCGCTGGCTGTCTACCAGCTCGATTCAGCATCAATATCCTGAACCATAATATATAACAATGCTTTGATACTTTGAGGGTGAAGTGGGTGAGCAACTCGAGCATGCGTTTTTTCTTTCAAGAAACATGAGTTGGAGCAACAAAATTGTCTTCCAGGTACCGCTCTAATGACCTAGTACCAGAAACCCCAGAACTTTGTTTCATAACCCGAGTAGTGAATCAAGGGTGGTCTCCCAGTGCAGAACAAAGACCAAAAGTTTACGGAACTGTTTTGTTTGAATCATCTTCCAGAACTGTGGTAACTAGCTTTTGATCTGGAATGCTTCAAACATGGTTGCCGTTGCACATAGCTAAAGCCGGAAGCAGCGAGGTGAACCGCGGCCAACTACCTAGACCGACTCAGCCATCCAAGGTGACAAATCCAATACCCCGTAACGCAATTCGACTCATAAGTGCCATGTTGTTGTGTAAAACATCTGCACAATGGAATACACCACACCACAACAATGTGCGCTAGAGCCTTAGAATTGATGTTTTTGTCGACAGCTTCAACGAGGTTCAAGAAACCACAGAGTACACAAACTGAGATCTGGTAGACATGCTGAGTGCTTGGTCAGTGTCAACTTAAGGCAAGTCCAAAACTCTAAGTCTCTAGAATCGAACATACAACGTTTTTCAGGTCGTGTCCTTGTTGACTCGGAGATTCGTTTGCACAACTTAGACCAAAGTATGTTCTTTTATGTCCACAATGCGATATGAAGTCAGACTTGGAACAAAGGCCCTGCAGAGAACACTAGGCTCTAATAACCGCACGATATTTGTTCAGCAATTTGTGCCGAATGCGTCTATACGAGTCGGCTGCAACATTTTAGTTCTGACACTACTGATGTTCGCAAACTGACCGTCCTCTTGATTTTGGCGAGCAGAACCAGTGCGGGCTAACTTGACCGAGTCCGACATCAGATGGTTTCTGATCGATTGCTTTGATTTCGAACTGAATATAGCCAGCGGGACATCGATAAAGTACCGAGAAAGAGTCATTACTAAGGAGACGGCGTGGTGCCTTTAATTTCTTCAAAGTTAATTATGCGAGCCAAGAGGTATCTGTTTGAATCTTCGTGTTTTTGTAATACAACTGCACCCTGCGCCTCGCAATGCTGTTTCCCACTTTATCTAGGCCATGCACCAGGAACCTCCGTTACCGTACCAAAGAAGCCTCATGACAGCCCAGGAAGCTCCTCAAATTCAAACCCCTTGAACCCGTCCTCAACAGCCCATGCTCTCCCCTTCTCCTTCTCGTACAACGCCTCGCACGCTCTGCCAACAACAAGAAGCCCGGGCGGTCTGCTTCCCTCAGTCTCAATCGCCTCAGCTACGTACTCCAACGTCGTTCGAATGACCCTCTGATCGGGACAGCTCGCCCTCTCGATGACAGCGCAGGGTGTATTCCGCGGCCACAACGCCCTCTTTGGCGTCTTCTTCAATTCATTCTCGCCTTCGATCGCTGCCGACTCCTCCGTCTCGAGGTAGCATGTCAACTCCCGTACCAGCCCGGTAATCCGATGCAGCGCCATCAAAAACACGACTGTTCTGCTGGCGATGAACTCCGGCGGCGTTGGTGGCTTGCCCTTCTTGCCTGTGCCGGTGCAGATGAGGACCTGATCAGCGACGTCTCGCTGTGTCGGTGGGATCCCCGCAAACAGCGGCGCGCTGAGCGAAGAAGTGATACCCGGCAACACCGTCACGCGGTCGCCGAAGCCGTGCTCTCTGAAATACGCAACTTCCTCTCCCCCACGGCCGTAGATGAACGGATCGCCCTGCTTCAGTCTCAAAACCGTCTTCCCCTCCTTCGCGCCGGCAAGCGCAAGCTCGTGGAGCTCCTCCTGCGCTTGATCCGCGTTACCGGGGAACTTGCGCGCAATCTGAACCGGCGTACGTCTCGGAATTAGATCCAACACGCCCGCAGGCACAAGCTTATCCGCAAGAATTAGGTCCGCCGTCTGAATCGCCTTATGCGTCGCGCGGGTGAGCAGGTCTGGGTGTCCTGGACCGCTTCCCGCGAGGATGATCCGCCCCTGCTGTTGCGGGCCTCGCGCACTGTTACCGAGGCTAGCAGCGGGCGGTTTCGCAGCTTCCGGCAGCGTGTTGCCGGAATAGGACTTCAACACAGACTCGACGTCGTCGTCGTTGATTGCGGCGAGGCGCTTCAGGGGCCAGTACTCGCAGACCTGACTCAGCCAGCGCATGCGCCTGTTCTTGGCCGCATCGAGGTCGGCTTCTGTTACGAGCTTGTTGAACGACGCCGTCTGGTCAACCGAGTCGTCGGCCTCATCAGGTTGCGTCGCAAGATGATCCTCTGTCTGGATCCGCCGCCGCACCTCACCCAATCTCGCGCACGCGGCGCCGAGGTCTGTCGGCAGCGCGGCGGCGACTTCTCTCCGGATGCGGGATGCAAGCTTACAGCCCCTCCCATTCGTCGTCACACCAATCTGCAACGGCCCGTCTGTATGCGTCGACAGCAGCGAGAACGAACACAGCTGCGGCGCATCGACGACGTTTACGGGGATGCGGTTGCGCCTGCATAGCGCAGAAATATGCGCTGCCAGAGGGTCGCGGGGCCCGGAAGTAACAAAGACGGCGTCGACGACGTTATCGACCTCATCGCGGCCGAGGGCGAAAAGGTCGGTATCCTCAAAGGCCTTCTTGTGCCATGTCACCTCACCGGCATCAATGCGTTTTTGCAGGCCGTAGTGCAGGTCTGGGGTTTCCGGGGCGAGGAGGATGGCGGTGGCACCGGCGGCGAGGGACTGTGTGCAGCGGGCGGCGGCGAGGGGGTTTGTGCCGATGATGAGGTGGGTGTTACCCTTACAGTTGAGGGCTGTGAGGAGGGATGTTATTGTCGCCATGTTGACGCAACGTGAGGTGAACTCAAAAATCGTTTCTCCTTTTCTCTGAAATGTGTCGAGGTTGAAGATGTTCTTCAAGTGGTGATAGAACCCCTGTCTCCAAGAGACTCGTCTTAGTGGGGAGTCGTGAGAGTGAGAATGAGATGCCCAAAAACAACTCGAGTTGAGACGGAATGAGTGGAATGGTGGAATGAGTCGAGGTCAGTAGACAACCTTCATAACTTTGTCATCAGAAAAAGAGATGGAGCATTAATATCGTTGGCCACTTTGCCATGATTTTCCTTAATAAGAACTCTGTCGAATGCAGTCCACGCCGAGCATTGACAATTACTCTCGCCCTCTCCCCCAAACCCCGAAGACGGACGGGCCCAATCATGCGGCAGGCAAAAAAGGTTGGCCAAATTTTCATTCGCTGGAGATGACACCATCCCGACAGCCGACCCCAAATCTTATCGGCGCACCTGGCAGTCCCGACCAATCAGCGGCATATGCACCGACTCCCGCGGAGCCGTCACCGGAGATCCTTCGACGCCCCTCGAACCCCATGCACGCCGATGCATCTCCGCTGTCAAACCAGTCAGCCCACGCGACTGTGCATGATTAGCCTCATGTCATGCCGCGCCTCCGTTGATCTACCGGTAGCGTCTGGATATCAGATAAGCTTACGCCGATCAACCGGATTTGCTTCTTGACCTTGCAAACCCGAAATTGTGAAATCATTGAGTTGTGGTATTGTAACATGATATGGTGGCTTGTCATTGAGCCATTCTTGGTACACCGTGATATGCCTCCATTCCCGTCCTCTCAAGCTCTAATTGGTGTCGTGGTGGTATTGTTACAATGCATATGATGCTTTCCCCGCCCATTTTGTACATGTCCTGTTGATACATCTCAGCTTACAGCTGGTCCTCCTCCTCCTTGGCCAGTTTTCTCATCATCTCCTGGCGAGCTGCCTTCTTGCTGCCCTTTCTCCTTGGGGCGGACTGGCCGTCCTGGGAGTCGACGACGCCTGTCTCATTGATACCGACGCCAATGATCTTCTTCTTCTTGCTCATGGCCGCCTTGGCGCGCTGCGCTCTAACTCCGCCGTCATCCAGGACCTCAGGTCTCCCCAGGCGCACGCTGCGGTGGTTGCGAGTCTTCGCGCCCAGAGCCCACAGATCGCCCCATTTTGCCTTGCGCGCATCGTGGTAAGCCTGCTTGCTGAAGCTCTTGGGAACCGTCCAGCGCTCGATCTGCGCGTTGGGCGTGCAGACGTCGAGCGTGACGTGACCGCGGCGCTTGATGGGTGGGAGGATCTGGCGGGGGAGGGAGAGCATATCAGGCGCAGTCTCGGACTTCTCAAAACCCTCGAATGCGCGTTTCGTAGCCTCCTCTCCAGCGAGAGGACCTTCTTTGGCGGCGACACCGCGCTGGATGGCGAGGTAACTGAACTGGACGTCATCGTGGTTGCGCTGTGTTGCGCCCATGATCTTCTGTAGGAACGGGGGGCGAACGAAGCGCTGGCTGAAGTGGCAGAAGTCCTTGCGTCCGGTGCTCTTTCCGGGAGTGTGATACATGGGGCACCCGCGATGGTTTGTGCAGGGCGCAATGATCATGCCGGGTTCCTTGACCCTCTCGAAGGCCGGGTTCCTCTCTTCGCTCTGCGTGAGGTTTTCGCCACCCGGTGGGATCAGGAATTCGCTAAGCAAGCGTTCGCGGATATCGGCCACCGCTTCGAAGCCACGGGGCTGGCCCTTCTCCAAGACGATGAGGACACCGCCATCGGGATTCAGCAGAGACCAGATATTGTTCAGAATCGCCTTGCGTCTGTGGCCCTCCTTGACGGGAAGAAGCAGGTGGGAGGCAATAATGACGTCGTACATCTTGCGCGGTTGAGGAACCTCGTTGGCGTCGAGCTGCAAGTGCGCGTTGTCGACTGAGTGGACGTAATCCGGGAGGCGAGGTAGGAAGGTCGTGTTGTGCAAAAACTTGGAGACGCGATTCCTCAGCTTCTCGGCGCCCACAACTACAGACTGCTTTCCAGGGGGGTTCTTGGCGTCGACCTCTCCGCGCGACCGCATCGCCTCCCACTCTGCGCGCGTGATATCCTGCCAGGCCAACAGACCGGCACCGCCAGCGCCGACGTCGAGGAAACGAGGGCCACCAGACTTTTCGAACAGCTTGCGCAGCCAGTCCGTACCTAGACGCTTGCGTACCTCCACCAGACTACCCATAGAGGATGCGTAAGCAGGAGGAAGGAACGAAGAAACAAAAGCGTCTGCTTCAATGTCTGACATCTTGTGCTGCCACGCGGCCATGCCAACAGGCTGCTGCTCCAAGCCCATCTTGGACGCGGGTGTAGCGGGAGAGTATGGCAGACCAGGTCCTCCGAATGCCTTCTCGGCAGCCTCCTTCACATGCTTGATGTCTGTTCTGCCAAGTATCGTCGTGACAGGGGAGATGTACCCGACATGTGGCAAGCTCACAGTACTCGGGTTTGTCGAGAAGTGGCCCTCCCTGGTAAATGGGTGTAAACGACCGGCACGCGTCGAGGTCCTTTGGTCCGCAATCCCGTCCTCGCTTTCGTCGAATTCTTCCTCGTCCTCGTCCTCTTCAAACTCACGCTCCTCGTCCCTCAGTTCTTCCTCCTCCAGCTGATCTCGCTCTGCCTCTTCCACAGCACGAGCGTTGTTTTCAAAGTCCTTTTGAAGTTTCATTAGAGCATCGTATTCTCTCTTGTTCCTCGCCACAATGTTGATGTATTTGTCGTCGCCTTCGGGCACCCGGTTTTCGGTGGCGCTGACATCTGGAGATGTTTCCGAGAAACTCTGATTCTGGGTAGACTCCCCTTCGCCATCGCTCTGTTTTGGCTCTGTCCTCTTCGGAGCATACTGCACCTCCTGCAGCGTGCCACCCTCAACCTGTCGGAAGAGAGTCGGCCCACCAGACCCGTCTCGCCGGAGCCGGGCAGAGTGTTTGTCGTTCAAGTATTTGATGCCAACATCGTCCGGTGACGTCTCTCTCAGTGGCGGCCCGTACCAGCGCTCGTAGAGCCTGTATTCTTCGTCGCTGAGGTAGCCTTTCGGCAAGGTATCCCGAAATCTTTGTTTCGCCTCCCGAACTGTTGTTTCGATGTCCGCTGTGCGCGTGAGTTCTTCTTTGTCGCCTCGGTTGGAATCGGACTCTTTCAAATGTCGGGATGTTGTCGAGAAGGCTCTGCGGGCAGTGGAGTTGTTCAACGATCGAAGGGTAGGGACGCTGTTCTGTTGCGCGAAGCTCGATCGAGGTAGTCGACTGGCAGGAGATGCACCGGGGAGAGGTTTTCCTGTCAAGCTCGTCAAACGAGCTCGACAGTTCGGGCAGGCATTTCGAAGACCACCTGCAGTCAACATGATTGACTTTTTTGCGTGGAGTGGCGACACAAATTGAGAACGAGAAAAGACCAAGCTTGAACTTTTGCAGCTGTCGCAATGAAATTTGGATAGCTCAGAGAAGGTGACCCACTTGTTGTAAATGAAAGCTCTCCGATTGGACAGGGTAGCATAAGTCATGGAAACATCCCTGGCGCTGTTCAGAAACCTTAGGCGCCTGGAATTTCTTTATGATAATCTACCAAAAGGCAATGTCTTGAGAATTGAACGAAATGTAAAAATCGGAATATTCAACACACACCGCAGCTGGGCAAACAAAACATAGCTGGTTGGTGTCTTGACAGTCATGCCTTCTTGTCCTTGCCATGCGTGATAGGCTGTGGCGGTGCTTGTGGCTGGAACAACAACAGCTGGCGACCAAAGAAAGTAGGTAGATCATTTCGGAGTGGGGCCGGTCGGAGCTCAGTTTCCAGCTCCTCTCAAAAACCCGCAACGGTAATTTCTCATCGGCGTCTCCACCAAGTAATTAAAGTAGACGGTCGTCCAGACATGCCATTCGGGAGGATCGATATCTGTAGCCGTATTCCACCAGATAATAGTGCCCAATGCTCTTGAGCCACTGTCATCCAGTCTCTCTGGGACAGTCTGAGCACCCCCCTGACGTAATTCGCGTGCCATCTATCCATATTTTCTTAGTACTTGAGAAGCTCTCCGGGTAAGAGTATGCACTTAAGCCCTCAAATAAGGGGCAGAGTGCTCTTTCAAGCCCAACAACTGAAGCTAATTCAAATCCCCTGAAACTTCATGCATAGCCATGTGTGACGACCAAGTTGACAAGTTGCTCAGATCCCAATCAGCCCACCATTGACACTCTTCTCAATGCTTCTTCATGAGCATATCTTGATGATTCGACTGTCAACTTTGGCGCTTCAACTAAATTGGCTTCTCAAGTGTCTCACGGCTCTTCAGAGGTCCATTCTCTTTCGTAGCAAAGCCATCGACAAGACCACTTTAAGGCGAGACGTCTTATAGGTTACGCAAAATCCACGGAAACGTCATTCAGCTAAACCTCACTGGCGCATGGGTGCAAGATTTACATGATTCTGGTGTCACTTGCTGGGCCCGGATAATCACGGGTGAGCTAGCGAATCCCAAGGAAAGCGGGGGTGGGGAAGGATTACCTGCCTAGTAGCGCATTACGTAGGTAGCTAAACAGATCGAGCGCAGTGTCTCGACGAAGCCCTTGCACACGTGCGTTGCTGATCCTGCTCTGCTGGAACGTGCAAGCTTCATAGTGTCACTGACGCATTCCACTGACCAGAGAGTTTGAGATTCCATTCAGAAGTCTCCTTGAGACATATCGAGTTCCGGAGCTTTCCTTCATAGCTTTCCACGCATCGGATAGCTGAATCACAATGGAAAACCAAGCTCACATCCAGCCGGTCACTATTCGTGGCCGTTACCTATGGACAGGTAACACTAGGGTGAGAGGCTTCCCTCAATCTGAAATTATGGCTCGGTTGGTGCTGGAGGCTCTGCTAACTATCGTCAAGTTCATGATCAAAGGAGTCGCATATCAGGTGCATAGGCCGAGTTCCGGCTGTCGCGACCCACTGGCAGACGAAGCCATCGAAGATCTAAGGCTCAGCATGCCCCTGTTCAAAGACTTGGGGGTCAACACTCTGTTCATATGTATCACCTCCCGATGGTGGTTCTCTCACGAGCTAAATTGATAGCTAACAACTTTGAGATGCCATCGATGCAACCAAGAGCCATGATGAGGCTATGAGCATGCTTGCCACAGCTGGGATATATGTCCTTGCAGTCCGTTTTACCCTTCTACCTGAAGCCTGCGGATGAGCTCACGTCTTCTCTAGTGTCTGTCAAATCCCCATAATTCTATCAACCGCAGCGCGCCGTTCGAGTCCTACACACCAACTCTTTTGCAGAATTATTTCGCCGTAGTCGACTGCTTATCGGCGTACCCCAATACCCTGGGCGTTATCGTTGCAAACGAGGTACTCAATACGTCTGCAGGCACAAGAGGGGCCAGTGTCATTCGTGCCGCAACAAGAGATGTCAAGAGGTACATGGAACTCGCAGCCCAGCTGAGGGATCAGAGGGTGCTACCGGTCGGGCTGAGTTCAGCTAAAATATTGAACTTCTTCCGGGATGAGTTCAAGTACTTTACCGGCGGTGACCCAAGCGAGGCTCTTGATTTCTTCTGCGTAGGTTCCGGTGTCCGTCAGTTGGAGGCATATGCAAGCCGGGCGATGCTGACATGATCAAGTTCAACGACTATTCATGGGTCGGTAAAGCTTCTATGGGCATCTCGGCATATGACCGCACTGTAAGTGCATAGTCAGCCTGATCTGAATCTTACTATGGCTTGCCTAACTGAAGTCCATAGCTCGAGTGGTTCGCCGAAGCCCACTTACCTGTGTTCCTTTCCGAATACGGTGCCAAGACCGATGGCCAGGTTAGACCCTTCCAGGAGACCATTGCTATATACTCTCCGGAGATGTCGCGGGTCTATTCGGGCGCCTGCGTTTACGAATTCTTTAATGGTGCAAACAAATACGGACTCGTACAGAAGAACCTGGGCGGCATGCTGGACACGCTCAAAGACTTTCAGAATCTGAAGAAGAATCTAGCGCTGTCACCTCCCCCTGAGACGGTCAATGACTGGGCCACAGATGAGTTTACTGCGACTCGGCGGCCCGAAATGCCCACGCAGAGCCGCAATTGGCTAGGGGAGGCAGTGTTGCCCGAGTGTCCACTGGACTGGGCCGTGGTTGAGTCACGCCGAAGATGCTGAATGGGTCACTGTCGAGCGGAACACCGCAGACAGTACGGCAGGGGAGCTGGCGGATGTTATCGAAGGCAGATTCAACATCAGATAGTTTAACATCAAGTGACTAAATAGTAGAGCGACCGTCTTTTGGAAAAACGATATCACTACACTTGATACAGCATCCATGAGTGTGTTGATACGACTGAAGTAAGGGACCCACACAGGCCTGGAACTCAACTACGGTGTATACATTGAGATGTCAATCATAACAAGAATAATGTTCAGGGCTCATCTACACAGAATTCGATCACGGAGAATTAAGTACAAAATCCAGTATTAACAACAAAAACAACTGTCAACATGTACCCAATAAAACGTTGTTACCCGCCACAGGGACACCAAGCTATCTCCTCCAGTTTTAGCAACGAAAACTGCGGTATACTTGTTCTCACAATCAGTCTGCTGCTATTTTTTCTGTATACATAAGCTCTTCCGAAGCCCATAATGGGTACACCTTAAGTCAGAAAGGTCAATCAGAGCTTCATCGGCAATGTTCCGTCGATGACAAAGATCGTCCAACACTTGGTTGTGTTCACCGGCTTGCTTTCGAGCGAGACACCGTAGTGAATTTCCCGCTCGTTCAGGTGTTCTTGCAACCGCTCCATAAGCTGTTGCTGACCCGGTTCAATCTTATATATAGACGAGCACACCATGATGCGCCGGGGAACCCTCGACGGATCCGGATATAGAACCGATCTTCTCCGAAGCGTCGACATCAACCATCGCATATGCATGAAGACTAATGCAAGTGGAACTTTCGCCGCAGACTCTTGCAGGATCCGATGGCCCCCAATTCCCAAGCGTATTGATCCGCTTGTTTTTGCAGGCAAATCTCATACCACGACATGTGATCACTCACATTCATTCCAACCCTTCTCGCGGTCCTTGTTATCGTGTCGTATTGCACTGGTAACTAAAAATGGGTAATCTTTCGCCCAGCTGAATCAGATATCCCTCTGTCTTCTCTCATTTTCTCGAGTTGATGTATGATTTGCTTCATCCCCGGGCGAGCTGCAATTTGTTCGTCTCTCTGAAATATATCCTGGGCGTATTCTAGCAGGGGTTTACCGTCACAGCTTTCCGCGTCGAGACTGGCGCCTTTGTCAAGCAGAAGTTGGAAAGCTGCTCTTCGCCCATCATGTATGGCGTAAAAGATTGGAGTAGCCCCAGTTGCTGTTTCTGCCTCGATATCAGCTCCCTCATTGAGAAGGACCTCCATGATCTTCATATGCCCTCGCCTGCTAGCTTCATGTAGCGCTGTTTGGCCTTCGTTATCCTCTGCACTGACTTCAGCTCCTACGTTTAAGAGCAATATAACCAAGTCTGTATGCCCCTTTTGAACAGCTAATGACAAAGGTTTACAGCCTTTTTCATCTTTAGATTCGATATTGGCTCCTCGCTTGATTAGCAGTTCTGCCACATCTTTCATGCCGGCTTTAGCTGCCTGTGCTAAAGGGGTACGGCCGCTGTTGGATTTTGCTTCGATGTCTATCCCGTGGGCTAGTAATAAGCCAACGGACTCCTCCAGTCCTTGAATGACTGCTAGATGCAAAGCAGTAAAGCCTTTTGCTTTCCCTTCGATATTCGCGCCCCGATCGATCAATAGTCTCAGGCACTCGGTGGTATTGTAACGGGCTGCTATATGCATTGAAGTTAAGCCATCCATGGCTTTAGCTTCGACTTTCGCCCCGCGATCGATTAATTGTATCAGGCACTCAGCAGTATTGTAGCGGGCTGCTATATGAAGTGCAGTTGAGCCGTCCGCGATTCTAGCTTCGACATCCGCACCGCGATCGATCAACAGTCTTAGACATTCAGCAGTGTTGTAATGGGCTGCGAGATGTAGTGTAGTCCAGCCGTGTTGCATTGTTGCGTCGATGTAAGCCCCATGGTCGAGAAGCAAGCGTAAAGACTCAAGATTCCCATACCGCGCCGCACATGCGAGTGATGTTTTGCCGTCTTCTACCATGGCTTCAACATCAGCACCCTCTTCTAGCAACAGTTGAATGACTTGGTTATGGCTCCCCATAATGGCGTGGTGTAAAGGATTGCAACCTTCTTTGTTTGTTGCGTCAGCATTTGCACCTGCCTTGAGCAGCAGACAGGCAACTCTGTAAGATCCATGGTATGCTGCCTTTGCTAAAGGAGTATTTCCCAGCCTGTCTTTTGACTCGACTTCAGCGCCCATGTCTAGAAGCGAAGCCACCAATCTGGGGTTGTCTTTGGAAATCGCAAGCTCCATAGCGTTTTGACCATCTGCAGCTTCGAAGTCGAGATTCTGAAGATCGGCTATGAGGAATGACATAGCAGCGATGTTGCCGTTCTCAATCGCCTGCATGAACGCCCGTTGTGTTTGGTTAGACATCAAGTTGATTGCGGGATTGTCCGTCCGGAGAAGGCGGTTGGACAGGTAGTTGATCAGGGCGTCATTCCATTTCGCAAACCTTTCTTTCCCCGCGGATGCCTGCATTTTCCGGGCTACAGAGACCGCTTCGATAATCTTTTCCTCCTTTTCAACAAAAACACTCTTCTTCAAGTTGAGTCGATTAAGCTCTGCTGTACGTTCCTTCAGGATTTCGGCTAATGCTTTTTTTTCGGCCTGCAATCGACTCAGCTGCAGTTGCACAGCTGCTATCTGTTCCTCTGTGCGACGTATGCTCAGACTTTGCTCTTCCATAGCCATCAGTAGCTCGTCTATTTGTGGAAAAATAAGCTGGTTTTCCTCAAAGGTTCCTTGAATGTTCATGCTCTGATTGAGAAGTCGGATCTCAAAGGTAATGTCAATGGTAAGGTCTGGTGGTCTAGCCAGCGGAGAAATATTGACGAGGTAAACCGGATGAGCCCCAAATTTTTGTTTGGTCAATCCCGTCTGGACATTGAGAACGCCGTTGCAGGCGCTAGATTTGCCGAATATGTGTTCTGTGACATGTTGTGCACCTGCAATGGTATCTAGGCTTGTTTCCTTAGAGGCAATCATGGTATGACACCGAGCCAATGATTGCAATTTGTTGGCTTCGAGTTCCAATGCAAGTACAAAATCTTGGGAATCTTCCCTAGCACAGCGAAACCTGACCCATACGAGTTGTACTGTGTCGTGCTCAAAGTTGATTGCGGTGATGATGAAGTCACTTTGCTTGTCCCAATGTCCACGTGGATATACGTCGGTCATCTCCAAATCATCTTGGAGATTATTTTCCAGTAGAAATCCGTACCGACGGTCTCTCGTTCGACGTTCTTGATGAGTAAGTAGTGCATGCGTTCGGATTGATACTGGTTCTGATCCGGAGATAGTTTGAGGCAATGGGATGGCCATGCTACCTTCTGGCCTCATGTACTCATCTGAGCTCTTCCCAGGAGCAACGCGGCATAGTGGGATGCCCACAGCCATATCACTATCGTCGTCTTCAAAACGGCAGTTCAATAAGCCGTAAGTCTTCCCAGAAAGGTCGTTGTGAAGCGGAAGCCGTAGTTGTAGGTAACCTCTAGAGATGCCTGTATGCTCTATTGTGGGAGTTTGATGTTCGCAGAATGAGACCTTACCACAATCCTCAAAAGCTGCAGGGCTGGTAGCCAGAGTAGCCCCAAACAAGTTTCGACATGGCATTTGAGGTCCTTTTTCAACGAACTTTGGGCCCAGACCCCATGATAGAATGGAGTCGTCCGCGGTATTCTTCATAATCTTCTCTTGGAGCCGAATAAAAGCTTGATCGCCTTCACCGTAAATCATTGGTATCATGACATTGAAGAGACCAAGTAGAGAATAGGCGACGTCCTCTTTTCTCGTCGTAGTTCTCTTTGCAGCCCATGACATACGCTGTGCGACGCTTGCCTCGTGTAAATTGGTAGCCCCCAGCAAGAAATGGGCCGGTATGCCCGTAATTTCGCCGATAATGGTTGATAATTGCATTTTAGTCCCTAAGGTACGCCATTCAACACTGTAGAAGACCAGCTCATTGGGAGCCAGAAGTTCTTGCAAGGTCCATCCCCGTGTAAACCAACGACTGACGCGAAACTTGGCCTTCCAAGAACCGTGTTCATCTATTGACGGCACGTCCGATAGGATAACGTAACAAATCTTGGCTTGCTGATACCAGCGAAACATTGAATTTATGGCCTCTCCCAACTCGGTAGAGTTGGCCTTGTCAATGCAGCAGGTATCGATCCAGACATAATCGAGACCGTCAGCTTTGGCTTGTCTACAGCACCCGTTGAATTTGACCGTGCCGAATCCTGGTTTCGATATTTGCCCTGCTTGGATGTCTTGGAACGAAATCTCTTCGTTGTCTTTGCCCCAGGTGTGTGATAAAATGGCGTATTGTGGAATGCTTCCGTAAAACTCCTCCAGAGCCACGGTGTGCACGTTGATGAGTCTCATGGGAATGACAGTCAAGCCTCCACAGAACCGTCGAATCGCGAAGGTTTAGGTATGATGTCGACAGGAAGTGCTGAATCGCGTGGTGTCCAGCAAGCGAAGGGTGTTTGGATACGTATCGTGGTAAGCCGCGACTGCGACAGCCTTGGGAAGGTTGATGTCTTGCGTAGAAGGGCCAACAATAAACTGTGAACTGACGTCCTAGAGATAGAAACATAGCCGAAGGAGCTTGAAATTTTTCAAGGAGAAAGATTTCGGGAATGACAACGAAAGGTGAAAAGAGGGGAAGCCTTGAGCCAAGGGCAGTGCGAATAGTGGTAGCAAGCGCTTCATTCGTCAGCCTTGTCCTGCCATGCTCGAAGCTGCGCCACCAGTATGCAGCTTCATGTCACTTGACTGGCATACTGTTATATCCGGTAAGGCCGAGTAATGGTTTGAAGCATAGCTTCTGCGTAAACGCTAACACTTAACCAATAGCTTGATCCAGGGTTGCGAATAGACACCCGTCTCTCGAAAGTAAAATTAGTTGTGATGGGTTCGAGAAGTAGTACTGTTTAGTGTTGCAAATAGAGATAAAATAGTCATATTAGTC